GCAAATGAAGAAAGCTAAGTTTAAAAAAAAAACCACACAGACACCAGATCTCACTCTTAGGATATAAATTAGAGATGGACAACTTCTGCTCCTCCCCAAGGCAACTTTTGTTATTGTCCCTTGAAATTCTGAGAATTGCAGCTTTTATTGTTAAAATCTAGTTCTAGACCCTGGGGGATCCACATGGTCCCTTCCAGATGTTGCTTCACTACAGTTTTGAGCATCCCTGACCACTGGCTGTGCCGACTGGCACCGAAGGGACTCAGAGCCCAATAACATGGAAGGGGTATGGCTGTAAAAGCCAGGACAGATATAAAACTGACAAGCTGGTATGAAATGTCAGTGAAGGCCTAGGGAAATAATACCAGGTCATGAAATGAGGAGAGGTAATTCCACAAAAAGAAGAACCTCCCCCTGGTTGCTACAAGATGAACCTCTACAGGTTGTGGTGCAAAAAGGTGGGCCTCATCCACAGAACTTAGTAGCCAAGCAGGTCCACAGGGCTGGGCGATATCTGGTTTTCAATATTGCAATATATCACCAGCTAAACATTGCAATTTATTGACATACCACAATGTCTGAAATACGGACAGTGATTTTGCAGCACTGAGGTCAATATCTCTGAGCTTTCAATGCACCCACACGGTGCTCAGGGCCTTTATTTTTATTTATTTGAAAAATGTTTAAACATCATTAGCATTACTGGCCACAGGTAGGTGGAGAAAAACCTTGGTAGTATATTTTATAATTTTATCTGTCCTGATGGAAAAGTGTTGATAGTATTGTGTTCGTTGGCTGGTTTCCCAACTGCTTGTTGCTCTGGTTTTATTACGGTGTGCTGTCACTTTAATCTGACCCTTTCCTCCTGATGCTTGCTCTCTCCTTTCAGGTGTGCATTCATTTGGGCAGAGACATCTCACATTTTAAATGAATCTGCTGCTTTCAACATTACCCCAATTGTGTATTGTTTACCTTTGGGTTAAAGGAAAGATAAAATTGATCTCCCTTAAAATAACAGTAGAGATGTTCCCAACATTAAAAATGTAGCTTTCTGAAGTAACCCATGGATAAACTTTATTTATTTATTAACATATTGGTTTGGTTTTTTAAAAAAATAAAATAGAAAAGCCTCTTTAGTTCCCACCATTACATTTTATTTTGGCATCCTATTGTGAATCATTGATCACATTTAGACACTGTTGTGCGGAGTCAGATTCCACTGGGAGAGGTGGCAGGTCTCTCTTCCCATCTAAGTATTCAGCTCCTCCTCCCCTCCACAGCCTTATTGCAGAGGACAGAGAAATACATTTTCAAACTCGACAAAGGTTCTAGCCACACAGTTTCTGATATTAGCTTACATGTCAGATGCAGTTCCTATACATTCATGCTGAGAAGTGAAAGGCTTGCTGTGCTTCTAGCTGCCAACTTTTCTAAACCAAGGAAGTGGGGTCTGAGGTCAGAGGTCAGAGGGGTCCCCGTCTAATGACTCATTACAGGGGTGGATCTGAGGGCAGAAGTGCTTCATCTTAGTCATCATCTCAATCAATCAATCAATCAATCAATCAATCATTTTATCTGTATGCCACCTTTCCAAAGTTAAAACTGTGCTCAAGCTGGCTTATGTTCCACCCTCTGCTCTGAAGCTGAAATATTTTCTGTGCTATTGGAACAGTCAGTCATTTCCAAAAAACTACCTGCTTGGGCTTTGTACCAAATGAAAAATAGAAATGGGGTTCATTCATTTCATGGCTGATGTTAAAGGAACTAATGCCAGGGTCATGAAAGTAGCATGTGTAGCATTTGAAATATTACAAATGATTCCACAGAGACAGGATTAAACAGAGAAGCAGAATGCTGTTTCCAAGCTACAGTATATACAAAAGTCAAACTAGTTTGAACTTCTTAGCTGCCTTTCTCTGCTAGTGTCACCCAGAACTTGATCCCAGCCCCTGCCCATTTCTGAATCACTTTAGTTCCTGCTCACATTACACAATAACTAAAACCCAACTGGCCATTTGTTACTGATTTGAAACTTGCTTATTTCCCTCTAGCAGCCAGTCAGAATAGGTTGTGTTACAGGGAAAGTAGAGAGAGAGAAGGAAAAGAGAGTTTGGACAGATTGGTCTTTATCTTAAGCACATTCTCGCAAAGGTGCCTAACATCCTGAAGTTACATTCCTCCACAGAAAGTGTGTGCACCAAAAATGAAGATTCCCCCCACTCTGTGTAGGATGTTTTTCCTTCAAGACTGAACATTTGCACATTCCTCTGCTGACATGTTCTCTGTCTTCATGCAAAACAGCTCCCAATTGGAAACCTCTTAAGATTTCTTTAAGCATTTTCAATCCACTGCATGCTGTGTTTCTCTACCTTTCGCATTCCCTTGTGCTTTCTTAATTGTAGTTGGTAATTTAGAGAGATGTTAGTTAATAGTCTGATCTTTGTCAGTTTGTGTGCCTGGCATATTCTTGATTCATTAATGTTTATAGTAAGTCTGGATGAATACCTGAAAATATTGTTAAGGGTTTGTCAGGTGCAAGACACCCTAAATTCCTGGGTCTAATGAAAGTTAGAATTAATCAAGGTTTGGGGAGTTAAACCGTGCCAAGCCAGTTAAAAATACAAGCCAGGCCCACCTGGTGATCCCTCGCTGAGTGTGGGTCCTCAGGAGAATGGAGCTTGAGAAGGGCACAATCGTTACACAAACCAAGGGGCAGTTACTCTGCGCTGAACAGCAGAAGGGTATGAGCCCCTCCTTCCTTGAGAGACAAAGACAAAATGCCAGAATTACTTTCTAGAATTTCAGTGGCCTGATGTAAGCTTATGATTTTTTTTTTTTTACTGATTAGCAAGTTTGCTATGTGTAGAACTTGTTCTTTTTCCATGTGGGAGCATTTCAAGCAAGAAAAATTTCTCCACCTGGAGGCCACAGTGACAACACTTCCTAAGGAAAGCGGCATCTCGCAATTCCTCCACACTTGCAGCCTTACTTTTGAGAATTTGGCTGCACATTCCTCTCATCCAGATGTGAATGAGGATCTGATCTGAGAATTCTGAGGGCTCCTCGCCTGGGCTGAAAAAGCTAGAGGGCATGGCAAAATTATTCTTTACTTCTGTTTATCTTATCTATCTTTAGCAGCTAATTAAGATCAGGTATTCAGAGAGGAGGGACACGGGTGGTGCTGTGGTCTAAACCACAGAGCCTCTTGGGCTTGCCAATCAGAAGGTCGGTGGTTCGAATCCCCACGACGGGGTGAGCTCCCGTTATTCGGTCCCTGCTCCTGCCAACCTAGCAGTTCGAAAGCACGAAGTGCAAGTAGATAAATAGGTACCGCTCCAGGTGGGAAGGTCATCGGCGTTTCTGTGCACTGCTCTGGTTTCGCCAGAAGCGGATTAGTCATGCTGGCCACATGACCCGGAAAAACTGTCTACGGACAAATGTCGGCTCCCTCAGACAGTAAAGGAAGATGAGCGCCGCAACCCCAGAGTCGTCCGTGACTGGACCTAATGGTCAGGGGTACCTTTACATTTTATTCAGAGAGGATGGTGCAGGAACACAAAAATATCTGCCAGTGCTACTTAGTCAGCTGTTCTGAACCATGAACTGAATTGCAACCCCAGTGGCAGAGCTTCATGCTCCGGCACTGGGGGGGGGGCAGAGAGCAGGTTTGGGAGGGGCTGGTGTGCGTCCTGGGGGCGTGGTGTGCCGCCTGCGGGGGCGTGGTGCCCAGCGCGGGTGGGGAGCCGCCATGATGGCACCCCACCGGCATCGTGCTGCCGGGGGCAGTGCGCTCCCCCCGCACTCCTCTTCCTCCGCCAGTGCGCAACCCCTCATCCAATCGGCCTATTTCTAAAAGCCTATGTCACTGCATGCTCCAAACCCCACAAAGCAAATGGCATTTGAACTTTGCCCTTGTCCAGTTGCTGAGGGTTGTATCAAGTTAGTCACTATTTGATTTTTTAAAAAATTACCTTAAGCGGTGACTTCTCCGAGCTGTCTTATAGGACAATAAAATTTCCAAATGTTGTATTTTTCCCCAAATGAGATTGCCAGATCTGAAGGAGTAGGAAGTTGTTTAAAATGGATACTTTGCCATCTGCATTGCAGTTTGAAAACATAAAAGAGAGCATCTCCTATTGATTTTGCCCACTCATTATTCAAAAGAGGGTCAATTTATTTTTTTTAACTCTGCATTTCAAATTAGACTGAAACGTGTGTGTGTGTGCATGTGTGTGTTTGTTCTTGAACAGCTTTTGCCTTCTTCTTTGCCCAGTCAATTGTTGCTGGTAGCTTCGAGAACACTGTCCCACCATCTCGTCCTCTGTCGTCCCCTTCTCCTTGGGCCCTCCATCTTTCCCAACATCAGGGTCTTTTCCAGGGAGTCTTCTCTTCTCATGAGGTGGCCAAAGTATTGGAGCCTCAGCTTCAGGATCTGTCCTTCCAGTGAGCACTCAGGGCTGATTTCCTTAGGGCCCAGGATTTGGGCCATGCTTTCTGGCCAATGTGGAGAGAATGGCTCAGTTGCACAGCACATGCTCTGCCTGCTGAAGGATCCCAGGTTCAACTCTTGACATTTCCAGGTCAGCCTGTTTTTCTTTTTCTATTCAGTTGCTCATTTCTTTCAACAGAAGGCCGGCCCACTGCCGCTTGTAGCCATATGTCAGGAGGCTTGACAACCATATGTCAGGAGTGCTCTGATGGTGTTTCCTGCTTGGCAGGGGGTTGGACTCGATGGCCCTTGTGGTCTCTTCCAACTCTATGATTCTATGTAGCATTTCCCCATCTAATTAACATGATATTGTTAGATGCCACCTCAATGTCCCAGTGGTGCAAAATTCCAGGGATACCAAGGGTCTGTTTCCTTTTGAAGAATGAGGCACAGGGGAAACTGTGGTGTCTTTATGATAGATAGTTTAATTACACACATATACAACTTAGGATTGTAGAGTTGGAAGCGACCGTGAGGATCAAGTCCAGCTTCCTGCAATGCAAGAATTTATTGCACAACGTGGGGCTTGAACCCACAACCCTGAGATTAAGATTCTCATGCTCTACCGACTGACCTATCCTGAGTTCCTTGGATGGGAGGGAGATTCCAGTTTAGCAGTCCAGGGAGGTCCCATCTCTCCCATGGCTGCCATGTTGGATTCAAACTGTCAGACCACATTCTGCTGTGACCCCTTGGATTCCCATGACTGAAGTCTCTCCCCCCCTTTTTTTTAACCCTGGACATAGACAATTAGTATGCCAGGGAGAATGCTGATTGTTCCTGACATGAAAGTTTTCCATGCGCATGGAATGTTGGTATATGCAGAAGCAACAGTAATGAAGATGTTTCACTAATAAGGACTGAATCTTCAAAGTAGTTTGGCAGTGTGTCCTATTCTACAGCAGACAGTCCTCTGTAATCCAAGGCTGGTTTAAATGTAAAGAACTATAAGATGGAAGAGCAGGGACCTTGAAGTTGCCCAGTGGCATTTAGCACCCGGGGAGCAAACGGAACAGGCACACCCTGGTTACAGTCTTCCCCACTGAGTACTAGGCACTGTATTTCTATTTAAATTATAGTAATTAATTCTAAATTTACATATATCTACGCATGTAAATTAAAATATTCAAATTGCATGCAAATTCTTGTCCTTCTTTGACCTCTCTCTTGGTCATACACTAACTCTTTTTTGACAATTTATAAATGTTCACACTAGTCATAAAGCTGAAACAGAAGCTGCAAAACCGTTTCATGAACTCCAAGGATTTGCTGCCTAAATACCAGCCAGCTTGCACTTTGCTTGCCTCCAGGTAAAAGCAGTTTATTAGGCGCCTCCACACTCACCTTAACATGCTGATCCATGTCAGCAGAGAAGCAAAGCAGCTTGCCCAGAGCTAGTACAGCACCTATTCACCAGTTTTCATGTTGAAATGGCCTAAGGAATAAATTTAAGAAGATGTATCCGTATCCCTCCCAGCTGAAAAATAATAATCTTTTAACTGTAATCAGTTCCAGTAATTAGAGATAAAAGAGAGAATACCAGGGGAATATGCAGAACATGACATTTTCAATAGCCTACAAATCACACTTTATGCTCTTTAAAAAAATGCAAATTATCTAAAGCAGGTGTACGAATTTAAATGCTTCACTTGATTTTAAATGGCAGGACACCTTAGAAGTATAGCCTGAAGATTGAGATGGAGTTCTTGATGGGAGTCTAGGATGAGACACACACCAACACCCAGCCCCATGTGTGTGTTAATATAGACACCAGGTTTTCAGGCCTGTGAACTGCCTCATTCATTTCAACGGAGGGAAAACATTCGCTCACAAAAGAACCTCCACTCAGAAAAAAATGTGAGCAAGCTTCCAAACGTGGAATGAATGAGCTCCTGCCTCCAGAGCTTGGCCTCTGCATTGGTGCTCCCATATACTCAGAAAGAAATACAGGGTTGGGGAAATGGTCTATATCTTTCCGATTCTACCTGTCCAGTATGGAAGTTCTTTCTTTCTTGCTATCTTTACAGATGCCTGATGAGCGTTACCTGAAAGTGATTGATTTTACTGATAGCACTGTGTTTTGCTTAATCGTAATACTGTTTATTCTGATCTGTGGAAACTGGCGAGAGAACTTCAAATCCTGGATCCTGAAGAAGACATCCGTGAGGGTGGAGGGAGAGACAGTGGGGCAGTGGTGCTTTGTTTCAGCTGCTCAGCCTTCCCGACCACCAGCTGACGTGTGCAGTTGGGCAGCAGCTGTTTCCTGCATGTCCTCCAGTCTCCTGCCAACCCCAAAGCTTCAACTCCAGATCTTTTGGTCTGAATTGGTCTAGATTGTAACCAAGGGTCGTAATGAAAGCCTCAGATGCATAACCCTTTCCTCCAATCTATGCAGTTCAGCACATTATTTCTCTGACATTTCTTATATGGTTAAATGTCAAAAAGTACATGCTCGAGGATGAAATGTCCTGCATTTTAATGACTCATCAGGGAACTGCATTTGTTCCAACCCATTCTTCCTGGTTAGCTCATGATTTCCCCTAACAAAACACCTGCTTTGAACTGAAAGAAGCTATAATGTGCCGTTTCTTTTTAACATTTAGAAATATAAGGTTCACATTTTGCCCCCCTCCAAAATATGGACTATGATCTTATACTTTTTTCCAAACAATTTCCAAGTAGTTTTACAATTTAAAATGCAACATTTAAAAGCAACTAACTGAATGAAAATACAGTTATGAACAACAGTACAATATAGAAGCAATTGAGGAGCAGATTCTATGAAAATGAAAAACAGAGTTGGGTGTCATCAGTACATTATGACACAATACCACAGACAACTGCCTCCCCAGTGGTTTTGTGTAGATGTTATACAGCACAGGGAGAAACACCCAACTTACCATTCAAAAAGCGCCAAGCCCCATATGAGGTCAAACCACGAATATAGGCTCCACTGTAAAGCACTGCCTTGCTCCACCCCCAATCCAGGAAAGAGAAAGAGGTGGTTAAAGGGATTTCAAGGGAATCGACAAGGTTCCACTCTTATCTCTCTTCCTAGTGTAGGTTGTGATCAATGTGATATCAGTGACAAAACTAGGCCTGAGATCAGGCTGAAATATTACCAGATAATCAGCTTCATGCAAGAGACTGGAGTTATCCAGCCACCATCTGCTAAAACATCTTGCTAAGTAAATAAATATGAAACTGTTTTGCAAGTGCCCAAGATGGGAGCACTCGAAGGCGACTTCTTCAACAAGAGTGCATTTACCACTCTGTTTACTTCTTCCATGACCCCCAGCTAGTTATTTAATGGGAGAGGCCCCCTGCAGCACCCATATCAACATCCTTGAAATTTCAGTGCTTTTGACATCTCTAAATGCATTAACATTTCAACAATCACAAGTTAAAATCACATGAACATCTGCCTTCGCAAATCCCAAGCTTCAAAACTAAGCTTCTCAAGATTTACCAAATTATTATCAGTCAATATGGCTATCTCCGATAAAGAAAACAATGCCCGACCTGAAGAATTTGGAGCAAATGATTCAGCAAAGGAAACACAGCCCAGAATAACTAAGGAGATAGTACAAGAATACTTGGCTAGTTTAGATGTATTCAAGTCTCCAGGGCCAGATGAACTGCATCCAAGAGTATTAAAAGAACTGGCAGATGTGATCTCAGAACCACTGGCAGTCATCTTTGAGAATTCCTGGAGAACAGGCGAAGTCCCGGCAGACTGGAGGAGGGCAAATGTTGTCCCTATTTTCAAAAAGGGGAAAGAGAGGACCCAAATAATTACCGCCCAGTCAGTCTGACATCAATACCAGGGAAGATTCTGGAGCAGATCATTAAGCAAACAGTCTGTGAGCACCTAGAAAGGAATGCTGTGATCACCAATAGTCAGCATGGATTTCTGAAAAATAAGTCATGTCAGACTAACCTGATCTCGTTTTTGACAGAATTACAAGCCTGGTGGATGAAGGGAACGCAGTGGATGTAGCCTACCTTGATTTCAGCAAGGCATTTGACAAGGTGCCTCATGATATTCTTGTAAAGAAGCTGGTAAAATGTGGTCTTGACTATGCTACCACTCAGTGGATTTGTAACTGGCTGACTGACCGAACCCAAAGGGTGCTCATCAATGGTTCACTCTTCATCCTGGAGAAGAGTGACTAGTGGGGTGCCACAGGGTTCTGTCTTGGGCCTGGTCTTATTCAACATCTTTATCAACGACTTGGATGATGGACTCAAGGGCATCCTGATCAAATTTGCAGATGACACCAAATTGGGAGGGGTGGCTGACACCCCAGAGGACAGGATCACACTTCAAAACGACCTTGACAGATTAGAGAACTGGGCCAAAACAAACAAGATGAATTTTAACAGGGAGAAATGTAAAGTATTGCACTTGGGCAAAAAAATGAGAGGCACAAATACAAGATGGGGACACCTGGCTTGAGAGCAGTACATGTGAAAAGGATCTAGGAGTCTTGGTTGACCACAAACTTGACATGAGCCAACAGTGTGACGCGGCAGCTAAAAAGCCAATGCAATTCTGGGCTGCATCAATAGGAGTATAGCATCTAGATCAAGGGAAGTAATAGTGCCACTGTATTCTGCTCTGGTCAGACCTCACCTGGAGTACTGTGTCCAGTTCTGGGCACCACAGTTCAAGAAGGACATTGACAAACTGGAACGTGTCCAGAGGAGGGCAACCAAAATGGTCAAAGGCCTGGAAACGATGCCTTATGAGGAACGGCTAAGAGAGCTGGGCATGTTTAGCCTGGAGAAGAGGAGGTTAAGGGGTGATATGATAGCCATGTTCAAATATATAAAAGGATGTCACATAGAGGAGGGAGAAAGGTTGTTTTCTGCTGCTCCAGAGAAGCGGACACGGAGCAATGGATCCAAACTACAAGAAAGAAGATTCCACCTAAACATTAGGAAGAACTTCCTGACAGTAAGAGCTGTTCGACAGTGGAATTTGCTGCCAAGGAGTGTGGTGGAGTCTCCTTCTTTGGAGGTCTTTAAGCAGAGGCTTGACAACCATATGTCAGGAGTGCTCTGATGGTGTTTCCTGCTTGGCAGGGGGTTGGACTCGATGGCCCTTGTGGTCTCTTCCAACTCTATGATTCTATGATTCTATGATTCTATGATTCTATCAATACAAAGTTTCACATACCAATGAATACAACTTATACATTCTGAAAATGTTTCAGGGTTTCTTTATTATACTGGAGATTTTTTGTGATTTGTTTTTTAAAAATTGGGTTTCATAAACAAGAATAATGTTATACAAATAAGTACACCAAGTTTTCCCATGTCATTTGTATACAGTGGTGCCCCGCAAGACGAAAAACTCGCAAGACGAAAGGTTTTTTCGTTTTCGAGTTGCTTCGCAAGACGAATGTCCCTATCGGCTTGCTTCGCAAGACGAAAACGTCTTGCAAGTTTGTGTCGGTTTTCGTAAAACCGTTAAAACCCAGGGTGCATTGCTGGAAGAGGTGCAGTTGCGACTTGACCTCGAGGAGCAACACATTGCACGCGGTGTGGTGGCCTTTCTGAGCTTTTTAAAGAGTTTGCTGGATTTTTGAAGCTTTTCCAAAACTTCTTCTACAGCTGTTTGGTAAGTTGAACTTTTAAAACTTTTTGGGTTTTGGGATTTTGGGTTGGGGTGTTTAGAATTCAAGGACTTGGTGTTGGGGAGAGGTTTGCAAGAATCTGGGAGCTTGTGTGGTTTTTTTCTGCATTTTTATGATTTTCTGTGACCATTGGGCCATGTTTATTTTTTTTAAAAAAAAATCTGGCTTTGAATTTTTGAATTTCTGTGTGCTGGGTGGATGGGGAACAGCTGGGGAGGTGTTTGCAAGAATCTGGGATCTTGTGTGCTTTTTTTTTTATTTTTTTTGATTTTTTGTGACCATTGGGCCATGTTGGTTTTTTTTGAAAAAAATTTCTGGGTTTTAAATTTCTGTGTGCTGGGTGGATGGGGGAACAGCTGGGGAGGTGTTTGCAAGAATCTGGGAGCTTGTGTGGGTTTTTTTTTATTTTTTATGGTTTTCTGTAACCATTGGGCCATGTTGGTTTTTTTTGAAAAATTTTCTGGGTTTTGAATTTCTGTGTGCTGGGTGGCTGGGGGAACAGTTGAGGAGGGGTTTGCAGGAATCTGGGAGCTTTTGGGCGTTTTTTTGAATTTTTATGGTTTTCTGTAACCATTGGGCCATGTTGTTTTTTTTTGAAAAATTTTCTGGGTTTTGAATTTCTGTGTGCTGGGTGGCTGGGGGAACAGTTGGGGAGGGGTTTGCAACAGTTGGGGAGGGGCTGGGGGAACAGTTGAGGTTTTTGAAGACTTTGGTGATTTTTAAAGCTTTCCCAAAACTTCTTTTGCAGCCATTTGAGGATTTTGAAGACTTTGGTGATTTGCAGCCATTTCGTAAGTTAAACTTTTAAAACTTTTTTGGGGTTTTTGGATTTTGGGTTGGGTGTTTGGAATTCAAGGACTTGGTTGTGGGTTTGAATTGCTGATTTTTTTTCTTTTCTGAGTTTTACAAAGGTAACAGCTGTGCTGCCATGGGACCAAGAAGACTGCTGCTGCTGCGGAGGCCGGCGAGAGGAAGAAGGAGAAGGTGACGCTGGAGATGAAGAAGGAGATCATCCGGAAGCACGACGGTGGAATGCGTGTGACGGACCTCGCCAGGGAGTACGGCAGGAACCCATCGACCATCGGCACCATCCTGAAGATGAGGGAGAAGATCCTTGCGACTGATGCAGCCAAGGGAGTCACCAGGATCGTGAAGAACCGCCCAGCTGTTCTGGAGGAGGTCGAGAAGTTGCTCCTCATCTGGATAGAAGAGAAGCAGCGTGCAGGGGACACAGTGACTGAGGCCGTGATTTGTGAGAAGGCCAAGGCCTTGCACGCAGACCTCATCCGGGAACAGCCAGGAACCTCGGCCGAGCCAGAAGTCTTCAAGGCAAGCAGAGGCTGGTTTGACCGGTTCAAGGCAAGATCCGGAATCCACAGCGTGGTCAGGCATGGAGAGGCTGCCAGTTCTGATGTTCCTGCGGCTGAAGACTTTGCCTTGGAGTTCCTGGAGGTTGTGAAGACGGAGGGCTACGTTCCACAGCAGGTCTTCAACTGCGACGAGACCGGGCTGTTTTGGAAGAGGATGCCCAAAAGGACTTTCATCACACAGGAGGAGGCCAAGTTGCCTGGCCACAAGCCCATGAAGGACCGTCTGACCCTGCTCTTCTGTGCCAACGCAAGCGGCGACCTGAAGATCAAGCCCCTGCTGGTGTACCACTCGGAGAACCCACGGGCCTTCAAGAAACACAAGGTCGACAAGGAGCGGCTGAGTGTCATGTGGCGATCCAACAGCAAGGCTTGGGTCACACGTGTGCTGTTTGTGGACTGGGTCAATCTTGCCTTTGGCCCTGCTGTCAAACAGTACCTGCTGGACAACGACCTGCCGCTGAAGGCTTTGCTTCTGATGGACAATGCTCCTGCTCATCCTAAAGGCCTTGAGGTGGACTTGTTGGAGGAGTTCAGCTTCATCAACATCATGTTCCTGCCGCCTAACACCACGCCACTGCTCCAGCCGATGGATCAGCAGGTCATCGCCAATTTCAAGAAACTCTACACCAAGGAGCTTTTCAGGCGATGCTTCGAGGTGACTGATTGCACCACCATCACCCTGCGGGAATTCTGGAAGGACCACTTCGACATCGTCACCTGCTTGAAGATGATCACCACGGCCTGGAACGGGATCAGCCAGAGGAATTTGAATTGCGCTTGGCGCAGCCTGTGGCCGGACTGTGTGGCACCAAGTGACTCTGATGCACCAGAGTCGACAGTGGTGCAGGACATTGTTGCCTTAGGGAGGACCATGGGCCTGGAGGTCACAGAGGAGGACGTTTGCGAGCTGGTGGAGGAGCACGACCACGAGCTGACCACCCAGGAGCTGGTTGAACTGCAGTCAGAGGTTGCGCAGGAGCAGGCCTCGCTGGAAGAGGAGGAAGCAACTGAGGAACGGCTGTCCTCCAAAGAACTGAGGGACATTTGCCAGAAGTGGAATGAGGTGCAGGCTTTGGCAGAGCGGCACCACCCTGACAAGCACGTGGCACATGACCAAGCGAACATTTTTGACACGACGGTCATGTCGCCTCTCAGGGAGCTGCTGAAAAGGCGGATGAAGCAGCAGACCATGGACAGGTTCCTCAGCAAGAAGCAAAGAGTGGAAGAGGAACCTTCTTTGAGTGGTCCCCCAGAGTCTTAGAAAATGTAATGTACCCTTTTTTGATTTTTAAATGTTTTTCCTGTCATGTTTAGAAACTTAATTTATTGTTCCTTCAATTTTTGATATGCTCTTTAAAGTATGTGTGACTTTAAAGAGCAGTTAATAAACTCTTGTTGTACCAAATTTGGCTTTGATTGGACTTTTTTTGACCATAGGAACGCATTAATTGAATTTCAATGCATTCCTATGGGATTTCGTGCTTCGCAAGACGAAAAATTCGCTAGACGAAAAAACTCGCGGAGATTGGAGATGATTTTTGTTTTTGTCAGCTTCCTCTCAAGCTTTATATGCTCCTTGAGGAGCATAAAGTTTTTTGGTTTTTCATTCAGAAGTGCTGACCAGTTGACCTCTGGGTTTTTATGGGATCGGCTTTGACTGCATGGCTAGACCAGGTGAGGTTGGCTGATGGGTCTTAATGATCCCTTGGTGAGTCAAGGACTTCCCCTGCATGCCAAGACAGGCGAAGGAGACCAAGGGTGGGTCCAGTGGTCAAGAAGGCAGTTTCTGCATGTGGGGGGCAAGATGGGGCTCGTCCACCTGGGAAGGAAGCCCACCCTGATCCTAAGTCTCTGCTGGCTTCCAGGATCTCTTCAGGAGAAGAAAAGGCTCAGGAGTAAACCCTCCACAAATCTGGAGTGAGTCCGAAGGCAGCTGGATGGCACCTTGTCCGCCTCCTTCCAGCAGCTCCTGCAGCCAAGCTGGTGCCAAGCGCCTGGCCCTGCTTTCCTTTGGAGGACCTCAGCGAGGTTGTCACCTGGCAGCCCAGGACCTCCGTGCCCCCCGCCCAGGCTTGTGCCCCAGGAAGGGCACCCGGGTGCTGCAAAGATTGGTTTTACATCACCCCTGGAGGCACACTCCATTGTCTCTTGAGACGGACGGATGCCATCAAGCAACCGATATGAATAACACTGTATGCTTGTAATAGATCTTTTAATATACAAAGAGTCTTTTTTTCTCTTCATCTTTAACGGTTTTCCAATTCTTGGTTCCCCTCCTTCCCCTTGTGCCTTTGGAGCTGCTCTTCTTTCCCTCTTCCGCCTTCCTTGCGCCCCGTCAGCAGAAAAGAGCAGGGCGCAAATGAAGGGAGACCCAGAGGCAGCCTGTCTCTCCGAAGGGTGGTCCTCCTGCGGGCGCGACGGAGCCGGAGCTGCTGCCCGCCCAGCCGCCGCCGCCGACTCGGGAGCCCGGCTCGGCGCGCCCCGCCGGAAGAGCCGCCCCGGGGATCCCGACGGGGCCCTTCCCTGGCCCTTCTGGGCGGGCGGGCCGGGAGCCGAGCCGGGCTCCGCCTCCCGACCCGCTCGCCGCTCCGCCGTCTCCCGCAGCCTCCCCGAGCGGGAAGCGGCCGGCTCGGCCTCCCGCGACACCAGCGCCCCCCGCCCCGCCCGCGCCAGCCGCTCGCTGCGCGTCTGGAGGCGGAGGCGGCGGCGCGAAGGACGGCGGCGGAGGGAGCGGCCGGAGCCGGGCGAGCCGGAGCCCGCGGCCGGGCGGAGGAGAGGCCAGGGCGGAGCCGAGGAGAGCCGCCGCGGACGGGAAGCTGCTGGGCTCGGGCTATGCGCGCCAAGGTAAACGCCGGCGGGCGGGCGGGCGGGCGGGCGAGGGTCCTTCTTCTCCGCCTCGCCAAGGGGAACTTTTGCCTGTTTGGGGAGCGGGAAGTTGCGGGTCGCGGCGTCGGCAGCCCCGACCAGCCTCTGCAGCCGAGAGCCCCGCGGCGCCTTTCCAGGCAGCGCCACGGAGCCGCCAGCCTCTTGCGGCAGCCGCCGCCGCCGCCGGAGCAGCCGCTCCCGCCCGGGCTGGGTCCTGCAGCTGCAGCCCCGCCGGCCCCCGTCCCCGGCGCCGCCCGCCCGCCCGCCGCTGCCCGCTGCCCTCGGCCGCTCTCCCCGCCCTGCCTCGCTCCCTCGCTGCCCAAGTGCGGCTTCCTTGGCTCGTTCCCGACGTGCCACCTGGAATTGGCTCGAAGATGGAGATGCGACCTGCATTTGGTTTCCCCGGAAGGAGCGGGGTTGTCTTCCAAGAAGGCCATTCCAGTCGCAGAGGGTTTGTCCGTCTGTTTGTGTGTTTCTCTTGCCTTTAGAGCACATCTTTTCCTCCGAAGAATCTTGGGAACTGTAGTTTACCCTTCAAAGAGCTGCACCCCCAACCAGCCCCTGTGTGTGGCGTGCAGCCTCCCTGAACCCTGAGGTGTTCTCTTCATTTTATTATTGTCACTGTTTTGTCCTTTTCTTTGGGACTTTTGGAAACATGAAATGTTCCTTACAGTCTTCATTCTCCTGACAATCCCCGGGGGTGTTATTTCTCATTCTCAGAGAGCCCATTACTCTGGGGCTGCATTCACATCATACGTGTTACACCTGCCTGCCCCAAATCCTGGGAATGGTAGTGTACCCCTCACAGAGCTGCAATTCCCAGCACTCTTAACAAACTACAGTTAAGGCGTATATGCAGTCTTTATTTCTGTTTTTTTTTAATAATGTATTGGAATGTTTTGCCTTGTTTTTCAACTCAGAGGTTTTAGCAGTTCCCAAGTGTCTGAACCCTGAACTTTCGAAACATGAAAAGTGCTTTACAGTCTTCATACTCCTTACCAACCTGGGGTATTATTTCTCAGACAGGGAAACTGAGGCTGAAGGTGAGTTGAGGTGTAAGATCCTAATGAAATTAAAGGCAGGAGACAACAGCAGTGCTGGAATTAGAAGTGGGTTGGGAGCAGTGCTGTTTCCCTAGGAAGAGAGGCACCAGAACTCAGCCGGAGCATCTCCCTCGTTCTCTTACAGCCCTGGTTGGGAGAGCGATCTCCATGGTCTACAGTTGCACATATTGTTTTTTGCCGTTCTTTAAGGGGCCCTTTGCACGCTTTGATCACGAGAAGAGAATGTGAAAAGATGGAGCAGACCCTTCATAATGGAGTCTGTTTCCAAGCATCTGAACAGATGAAGTAGGAGAGCTCAGGACACTCTAGTCTTTAAGGTATGCAAATGTAACTGACTTGTTCAAGTGAACTTGAATATAAAGGTAAAGGGACCCCTGACTGTTAAGTCCAGCTGTGAACGACTCTGGGGTTGCGTGCTCATCTCGCTCTATAGGCCAAGGGAGCCGGCATTTGTCCGCAGACGGCTTCTGGGTCATGTGGCCAGCATGACTAAGCTGCTTCTGGCAAACCAGAGTAGCGCACAGAAACGCCATTTACCTTCCCACCAGAGCGGTACCTATTTATCTACTTGCACTTTGACGTGCTTTCGAACTGCTAGGTTGGCAGGAGCAGGGACCGAGCAATGGGAGCTCACCCCGTCCCTGGGATTTGAACCGCCGACCTTCTGATTGGCAAGCCCTAGGCTCTAAGGAGTCTCAAATCCAGCACTATCCATTATACAACAATGGTTCTTCATTTTATTTTTCATTCCTTTCCTTCTTCTCAACATCTGTGGATAGGGCTATATGAGTTTGCATTCTCCCCAAGATCATTTTAGTCCTTGGACTTAATGATCTTGCCTTGCAGGCCCTCCCCACAGTCATCTGTGAGGCACCTAGTAAACATTTCTCCCCACTCCATCCTTTACAATTGCTTCTGCATTCCTGATGTTGGGCGGGGGTTGATGAACAAAAAGCAGTATAGAAGCCCAGACAAAAATAAAACAAAGTTCTGAGCACGGTCATCTTCACATTTTATACTCTCTTAAATCATAGCACTATAATGATTACAGGAATAAAATGGAACTTGCCTCTGCTGCCCTGATGTGAATTTACTTGAATTATAAGCATTTTCTTGTGGAAAAGGATAATATGTTTAAAAATAATAAAATGAGCTTCTGTAGCCATACACTGTTTGTGTCTGCATATATGAGAATGAAGCGATGCTGTAGCAAGTTGCATCGGCCCTGGTGGGCCCTTGCATGCTCATGGGGACTCAGCTGCTGACACGAAACCTTTCTGCTGTGAACTTGGAAGGTGAGATCAGGTGTATTTACGTTTAAAAATAGAGGACCTGAGTGGACATGGTGGGAGTATTAATTTATAACCAATCTTCAACCAATTGATTGATTGATTTATAGATAGGAACATACAGTCATACCTCGTGTTGCGTTAGGTTCATGTTGCGTCTTTTCAGCTTGCAAACGCAGCAAACCCGGATGTGTATACTGTGCACTCTAGCACGCTCCGCGCTTGTGTAGAAGCGCCACTTTAGTTGCAGACTTTTTGGGGTGCGAACGGCACCCTGGAACGGATCATGTCCACAACTAGAGGTACCACTGTTTGAATCATGCTAAAGACCCATCTAGTCCAACGTCCTGTTTTCATAGTGATCAACCATGGGCCTGTGGAAAGCCTATATTGTAATTTTACCTTACAAACTGCCCTTAGATCTACAGATGAAGGGTGGCATACAGGTTTAACAAATAATAATAACAATACGTGGGGGACCTGAATGCAAGAGCGCTCTTCGCTCTGGTGATTCCCATCTGCTGGTACTCAGAGACACAAGAGAACAAAGCCATGTGACAAGGAGCCGCCTTTTCCTCCTCCATGAATTTGCCTGATCCTCTTTTAAAGCCATGCGGGTTGGGGGCCACCACTGTATTTTGTGGGAGCAAGTTCAGTTGTGAGGAAGTATTTTCTTTTCATTGGCAAGCAGCAGAAGAGGTTGCATGTTTTACATGCTGATTAATGTGGAGGGTAATTGATGACACATCTAGATTCACCTTTCTTTAATCCAGGGAATTTATTATTCGAGACTGCTGTTTCTAACTTATTTTAAATTATACACCACAGTTCTCTAATGAGAAGCATTCTGTAAATGAGAAAGAAAAGTTAGGAAATTTTGGTGGACGGAATTCACATGGAAGTTTGGTTTTAGTTTGTTGAACTTAGCTTGTTGGACTGTGAGATTTTTCTCTGTGTAGGTTTTTTTCCTTCGTGTGTGTGTGTGTAGGCTTTCCCCCCATAAACCTAGATTATAATTTTATTCCCTGGTATGCAACTCTTCTACCCAGACTGAATGAAAAATTAGTGAAAATGCTGGCACATGAAGTCAGAATATGGAAATATTTTGACAGATGCTTGCTATGTAGTCTGTTGTGATTTGAGGAGGTTCATTTCCTTCCATGGACATCCAGTTTAAACAAAGCCATCTGTGAAGTTTGTTCCCTCTTCAGAGTGTAAAAAAGAAAGGAAGATGGTTTAAAGCTATGCAAAGCTTTTGGAGCTCTTCGTTGTACTAAAATACAGTAATACTTCCCTCTCCAGTCTTCAGCATCTGCCCCTCTTAGTGTAATCTTTTATAAATAGCATTTATTTTTGTATGACTATATATTTATCCAGATGTTTTGGATTCTCATACGCATTATATTGATTTATCCTTTCTAATGATTTACGGTGAGCCCATGGCGCAATGGGTCAGTGCGTTATTCAGAAGGTTGGTGGTTCGAGCCCACCCAGGGTTAGCTATGGGCAGGATTCCTGCATTGCAGGGGGTTGGACTAGATGACCCTCAGTGTTCCTTCCCTGATCCTATGATATGATACCAAATCTCTGATCTATCTTTTAAAAATAAATAAATATGCTAACTGTGCAGGTCTTTTTTCAAGAATGCCAGACAAACCCATGGCTGTGTTGCAATTCAAAATCCTTGACTTTCTATACATGGCAGATAAAGGTGTATATATTCTGTTTGCAATGAACAAAAAATGCATGCTGAAAACTGAGGTATCTGAACTGCTCTCTTTCCAGGGACTGTGGCCTGATAGAGTGGTTCCCTTGGATGTGAATGAAGTGTGCCCTGCCCTTCTGGGATGCCTTAGGTGATGCCACGCTCTTCTGCGATGGCAATTGGGGCTCTCTCTGGCTCTCTCCTTGTGACTTGCTGCTTGATGGTTGCTCTCTGCAGTTCCACTGCATCTTTCCCAAAACTGGCAAAAGTTCAAGACAAGCAGGAGATAAGACCAAGCCAAGAAAAGCGGGATCACACATCAGCCCGGGAGAGCCAGAATCAGACAAGACTTGGGAAAATGAACGAAATGGGCAGGAGTGGGAGGGAGGAGGGCAACAGAGACTGGAAAAGCAAGGGCAGCAGAAATTATTCCAATAAGGAATCTTGGACTAAGCAAAAACAGGCTTTGAGTAGCCAGGCAACAAGTGGCAAGTTTGGGAGTCTCCAAGCCCAAGGGCAAACGGAAGTTGTTCAGGAGGAGTTTCCAGCTGCTGAAGAGTCTTCCTTTTTGGATGTTGCTGGTGGTACCCCTGAGCCTCCAGAGGAATATGCTTATCCAGATTACCGTGGGAAAGGCTGTGTGGACGAGAGCGGCTTTGTTTATGCGATCGGGGAGAAGTTTACTCCAGGTCCCTCTGCATGCCCGTGCCTTTGCACTGAAGAGGGCCCTCTGTGCATTCAGCCCGAGTGCCCCGGACTCCACCCTCGCTGTATTCATGTGGACACCAGCCAGTGCTGCCCGCAGTGCAAAGAGAGGAAAAACTACTGCGAGTTCCGGGGCAAAACCTACCAAACACTGGAAGAATTCACGGTAAGGAGAAAGGGGCGCTGGGGGTAAGCAGAAAGGGGCTTGTTCTCGTGACGTTGCCCTCCTGTTGTTTTTCGTGTTCACAGAATGGTTTCTTTGACATTTCTTTCACATCCTTTCTTGCACTTTATAGTCCTCCAAAAATACAAGCTTTTACATTAACAAAAGCACAATATTTTAACAAGGAGGTTTGGATCATTCTTCAATTCCTTTGTTATATAATTTTCTAAAAAACATCTGTAAAGCTCATAATCACAGTTAAGTAATTTAATAATAGCTGGGATGTCCTGTGGATGTCCATTGTATTTTAAGAATAATAATTTTATTGTTCCTGTATTTCATTAGCATTAAGGGGTTTTGTGGGGGAAGGTGGAGGAATATTATTTGTGGTTAAGAACACAGTATTTCTGATTTGGCTTTGTACATTTTCTCCTGCTTTTGCCTCTTCAAATGAGGATGTCAGAGTTATATAATCTTTCTGTCAGGTCTGTTAGTCTGTAGTCTAACACTAAGAGCATATTTCAGGGAGCATGCTATGGCTAGTTTAATCAGGGTTGGCATTTCTATCTGGTAAAACACTCTAATGAGGCAATATTTTCATTAACTTGGGAAATGTAATTAATCTTTGACAGAACACTGAAATGATTTGTACTATAGGCTCAGTGACATGGTTGATTTCAGGGGAACTTTTTAAAAAAATACTGGGCAATGTGCTGCCTGCTTATTGTTTGCAAGAGTTCTTATCTATCAGTATGTAGAGAACTGCACTTTATTGACATGCCACTTGGAAAGCATGTTTCTAGGGCTGGAATTATATGTGACATGCAGGGAGGCGGCGTTTTTCCCAATTTCTTCTTTTAAAAGCAAACAAACCACAAGCTGCCATGGGAGAGTTCAGTCTACAGCAGAGGACCAATGGGGGAGGAACTGCTTAACTCTTCTTTTTTTTAGCAGAAAACCTCTGAAGGTGGAAAGAGTTGAAGTAACCTTTTTGGTCAGCAGAACAAACCAGTTAACTATGCTTAAAGTTGACTTCTGAATTTTGACTTGCTTAGAAGCCGTTAACCATAGTTCTTGGTTCAAGCAAGGCTGGATTACCAGTGGTACAATTGCACCAGGGGGCAGGGCTGCAAGGGGCACAGATTCTGAGCTTCCTTTTAAAAAGTAGAAGATGTGAATGTGTCGTTGTCCTTGAGCCTCTTCTGCTCCGCTTCCTCCTCCTCCACTGCTACTACTTGCTGTTCTGATTCCCCATGAACTTGCTCTCATTTCCTAACTCCTCAAAACCTCTCTCCTGGTTACTTCTTAACTTATTTGAAATATGTCTCATATAATTGGCAAGCATTGAACAATCCCCAAATAACTGAATTTTAAACGTTAGCAGGCCTTACAAAAAGTCATACACCTTACTTGATTGTTTTAGTGGCCTGACAGATTTAAAACATTCATCTTCCCAAATGCACAAACACTTCACTGGGAGGCTTTCTAGAAATGTCACAGCTCCTTCCTTGCTAAGCAGCCTCTTGACAGCACATGTTGGTGTGGCAGTCAGTTGTTCTGGCAAGGTTTAAAGATTTTTCTGCAATCGTGAAAAAGTTTTACCTGTTGCTTATGTCACACTCAGAATATGCTTTCTCCTTCTAAAACTGGCTTTTGTCCCAGATGCAGTTGTGGTCAGGAGTTGTGTTCCAAGGCACTCTATGAAAGTGAGGCCACCCAAGCCTTCAAAAGCAGAAATAAACTATATTGAGACCTATGTTAATCTCACCTAATATATTTTAGAACGACATAAAATGTTCCAAAATCCAATATGTATTGAAGAAAAAAATTGAGACACTCCTTTGTGTTCTTCTGTCTATGGTATTAAGTCTGGCCGATGATCGATAAGTGTTTCCAAGGCAACTGCAAAAAGAAAATTACCTAAATTTTAATGGAACATGAACAATTAGGGATTCCACTGAGTCTTCCACAAAGACCCTAGACATTTGCAAAACCAGCCTCTGCCTTTTAAGTACAAACCCTCCCATGAGATGATTAACCTCAAAAGAAAGAATATTCAAAGTATTTGCATGAAAACTGAGGATGGGTGCAAGTGTTACATAAATTTAGGGGTCCACAGGTCAACGACTCTGACATTAAATTTTGTTGGTTTCAGCTTCAGAGCCCTCAACCTTTAAATCAATGTGGTTTGGCTTGAAAGCCCTAAAACTTTAGACACATGACTCATTCTCTCTCTCTCTCTCTCTCTCTCTCTCTCTCTCTCTTTCTCGATTGGCAGTAAGGGAAAGGTCACAGAAAGCTATAAACTAGAGCTAGAAGTTTTATACTGCCTGTCTCCACATTTTGCGAATAGCTTGCAAACACTCTGACCGACACCTCTGGTGTACTCAGAAATGTAAGGATTCTTTTGCAGAGAGTCAGTATATGCATCCACTACGAAAATGTGATTACCCTTCACCTTATGCTCATTAAAGGAATACACCAAAGGAATGAAGAAAGATTGGTTTATTACATGAAACTGAAAGAGACAGAGTATATAGGTGTTGCTTCAGGGAGCAGAATTTGCGGGCAATAAATACAGTCACTAAGCATTTATACACCTTAATTATAGAGTGCAAAGAGAGTCTCTAAGTACCTAAGCCTGAAGAGTGAGTGCAACAATGTGCCACAGACTCACATTAAAAGAGAAGATAGGGAGGGATCCAGATCTAGAAGCAGGCCCAGCGGAAAGCCAAGGATCAGAGATCTGTACCTCCGGTGAGAGTTAGGCTCCCCCTTCAGAATCCTATGCCAGGAAAGCAACAGGTTTCTCACCTGTTCCTTTGCTTATGATCCATCAAAGTGTAAGGTTGGTCCTTGAGAATGTAGAGCAAAAAGAGGATACCAGTGGAGATTGTGAGCAACCCAAGCTTTGAAAATCTGGGGTTTAAGTACAGTTTGGGGACAACTGTACTCTATGGAGAAGAGGGTTTCCTTAGTGAGTTCTTTCAACCATTGGTTATATGTGCTAGTTTACTATTCTGTTTACTAATGTATTTTGAAGCTGAGGGGACGTGGTCTTTAATTTGGGAATATCATATGACCATACAGTTCCTGAATAAGAATGGCATCTTGAAAGGAACTTCATTGTCTGTACAAAGTCTGTTTCCTACTTACATAAGGGTGTTAATTAAGTTTCCCAGTCAACACCAGATTATTATGCTGATCCTTTCTGTAAGCATTAAGGGTCAAGATGGTTGCTTGTACCTTCCAAGCTAGGTCTTAGATAAAAGCTTGTACCCGGGTCACAGATAATTGATGAAATGTATTTTTGTATTAAACTCATTCTAACTGCACTGATGGCATGATTCATAGAGATAAACGGTGCCAAAAGCAGACAAGCACCCATCATTACAAAAGCCAAAAGAGTAAGCAGTGCGTTGTGTTCTTTGGAAGGAAGTAGTATGCCATATGTTTTCATTTCAGGTGTTATCCAACAGACAGTTTCTGTGGGTGTTTGCAGTCCCCCAAAGTAGATCTTTACTGTCCTACCAAGTTATAGTGGCCAAATCTAATGTTACTGCTGTCCGTTACATAGATATCTTACACAACTTCCAGTACAGCTGCTGTTTTCTCCATATGTTTCTATTCACAAATCAGTGACCCACCTAATTGCCTGTTAGGTAGCCATCTGCCTTCAGGGTTATTGGCTGTCTAGGACAGGGGTTTTCATCCAGTGTGCCATGGCACTCGGGGTGCCTTGAATGATGGTCAGGCATGGGCGGAGCCAGGGGAGCAGAGGCCAGCTGCCCCCCATCAATAAAAATCAATACAAATATGAGGTTCTGCTGCCCCAACGAAAACCTGCCCCTGGCTATGCCCTTGTGGTCTGGGGAGCCATGGGCAACACTAGCCTGAATCCCTCTTTCCTTCCACCCCTCCTCTGATGCCCCCTCGCGTCTCTGCCTCCCCAAGACATGCATGGCTGTTTGTTGCAGCAGCCCTAGCTACAAGCTCCACATTTGAATGGTGCCTCTGGGTCTGGCCAGGAGGTGCCAGTTGGCAGGAACCGAGGAGGCCTCGGAGTAAGCAGGTAAGCAGGTGAGGGAGCCCAGATGGTTAGTCCACCAGCCCTTGCTGTTGGGAATGGACAGACAAGTGGGAGGCTGGGCAGGTAGGCAGGTGCTGCACTGGCCTTTTTTTTTTTGCTTGCTGTGTGCAATGCCTGCCTGGGAGCTGAGTGCCCAGTACCGAAGGGGAGCCTTTCTGCCATGCAGGTCCAGTGGGTGCCCACTGCTGCCACTGGTGGCTCCCAAGGTGAGTAAGGTGCTGGCCTGACGTTCACCTTTGGCCAGTCTCTGTCGGGCCGTGAAGGCTGGGGCATCCTCTTCCCAGGCCCCTGGGGGGCAGTGTGAGGAGGTTCCTCTGTTTGGGTTGGGCAGGCGCAGCTCAGAGAGCAGGGGCAGCTGTGGTGGTTGCCTGGAGGACTCCCAAGGAGAGGGGAGAGGAGGCTGAGGGAACACTCCACAAGGGAGGGTGTTCGAAAAGGGGTGGGGGGCTGCTGGCTCTGCATTCAAGGGCTGTGCTTCTGAGGCTCAGAGCACATTTACCTGCAGGGGAGCCACAGAAAGAATGTAGTTGGTCAAGGGAGCCATGGACTTTAAAAGGTTGAAAACCTCTGGTGTAGGACGTGAATGATGAAAGAATACAAACAACATGGCTGTGCTCCTCACCCCACTCCCCACCCCGTGATGATGGAGATGTGATGAGGCTTGCTCATCTGAACGGTATTATTTTTAAGTATATTGCAATGGTTGAACCTCATAAGTTTGAGGTGATGCCAAAAAGGGCACGTGGAAAATTTACTCCAGCTTTATTGTGCCCAGCAGCACCCTGGTGAATGGTTTTGTTCTGTTTTTGTGATTTTCCTAAATATATTGTTCAATGTTTGAATTGCAGCCACCAACACCTGGTTCACAAACAACCCTGGGAGGTTGTGTGGCAGGCTTCAGTTTTTAAACCATCACAAGGTCACACAGCGAGCTTCATGATTGCATGTTTTTTATGCTGATGTCAAAGGACATAGTCTTTACGAAAGACTGGTTATGGTTCCAAAGCATATCTTGTTTGGGAGTTTGTTAAATGAAGTAATTATACCTAGAGCTGACCCCCCCCACAGGTTTTTGTATGCGTTGTGAACAGTAATATGGTGAGGACCAGTAGAAATGGGGGGTGGGGGGTGGAATTGGACTGCAACCCTGTGTAGGCTCACCTGGGAGTAAATCCAGCTGAACACATTACTTCTGAGTAAACATGTACATGATTGCATGCTCTTATAATTCTGGTTAGTAGGTCCTATGCACTTACCTCCTGTTTTATTGCGTATTTTAATTATGAATATTTGTATTTTAGTATTTGTATAGTTGGTTTTCATGTTGAACCATTAGAAGCCTATTTTGGCATTGAACAGTATATAAACAATAATAATGATTCCTAAAACCTCAAGAAATCTATACTGTGAAACTTTCATTCACCTTTATGTTCCAGCTTCGCTCATTGCAATTATGGTTGGAGCCCTGCGCACATTCAGTGTGTTCAGAGTTTTTGCTTCAGGCATCAGACTTCTGAAAAACATTATTTTTGTCATTCCATTGACTGAATTTGCCACAGTACCAGTGTGACAAACACCCAGAGAAGTTAGCATAAATGGAATAAAATAAAACCAATGTTGAAAGTGATCTTTTTCTGTTAATGATGTCGTAAAGGCACTTTGTGCTCACGTGGCAAATGTCTGAAGGGCAGCAGAACTTCTGTTTGAGCTTTGGACTGGAACAGATTTCTCCCCCACCCCTAGTCTTGGTGCATGCCCACTCTCTTATTTGGATAATACTCATGGTGAACTAGTAACAAATTTGAATTTGGAAAGTTGCCCAGAGCATCTTAACGACACATAATCTCAGGAACATGAGTTAATTATGTAGATTACTGGTGAAACAAATAGGTTGAGAAGCAATTAGTGCAACCCAAATGCAAAATCCACCAGGATTTCCCAGCTGAGTTGTGGTGATGCTGGCATAAATCCTTCACCCCAGTTCAGCCGGTGGAACCTGTGCCCACTTAAGTCCCTCCAAGGGGGGCTCTGGGGGAGTGGCAGGAGGAGGACGGGGCAAGGAGAGTCTTGCACCTATTCTGAATCCTGCTCAGCTTGGTCATGGGACCTAGGACCCAGTCCTCTAAACTCAGGCCGACACTCACCTGCCCACTCAGCCAGCCCTGGCCCCCTCCCAGGGGCTTCTCAACAGAGTTTAGGATAGGGGCAGCTTACCGTCAGGTGAGTTGCACCAGTTTCCTATAGTCAGGATTTCTCTGTCTGAAATAGCAAGGATCATAGTGGGCTGTCATTAGTATTTGCAGTATTACTTTTAAAAAAAGGATCCTCTTCATGCTAACATTAAATTGCTTTATACAATAGATAATTTCTATATACTGTATTGGCCTGAATATAAGCCTCACTTTTTTTCCAAATTCCAACTGTGAAAAGTTTAAGTGTGGCTTAAATTTGCGACCTTACAAAAATTGGTTTTTACGACATCACTGCTGAAACAGTAAAACAGAAAGGGTGTGAGTGCCTGCAGAATTTTAAGGGAGCAGCTTATATTCGTGTATTGTCTTTTTTATATTTTCCCCTTGAATTTTAAAGGTGCGGCTTATATTCAAGTGCGGCTTATATTTGGGCCAATACGGTATTATGTAGCCAAGGCAAGGCGAATCGCAAGTAGCCTACTGCCATTTCCCTCCTTCTTTTAGCTGATGTGGAGCAAGCAGAGAACTCTGTCATTTGCAACAGCTAAATTGGCATCCTACGCAAGAAAGTGGAGCAAAGTTATAAAACCTGTCTAAACCCTTGTTATCCTTTTTTTTGCCAGCATTACATTGGGCTGCTGGACAGAAGTGCTTGGACTGTCCTTAGGATGCTCCTGCATGTGTGTTTCCCCCCCCCCCCACGTTACTCCTAAAAGCCCTTCTTAAAGGTGGGGCTGGCTCTGGGGACAGAGCAGTAATGCTTGAGTCCAGTGTTAGAAACTAGGATAGGAGAGCTTTCTGTCACATGGCTCCTGGAACCTACATTATGGGCGCAAAAACAGAAAGTCTAGTTGCCATTTTGTCCTTTTCACAAGAGCTACTCCTGTTGCACTGGGGGAAGTGGCATTTCCCACAGAAGCCGCCGTGATCTCTCCTACTGTGGAGGTGGGCATGGGGGCATTTCTCCTCCCGTGCCGTCAGTGCCAGCAGCGGCAAATTTATTCTTGAGTCTCAGATCCCATACATGGTGACAAGATTTCTTGAAATGCTCGCATTCTGACAGTCCCGTTGCAAAATGCGCCTGGTGCCTGACTAATTTCAAAAGCTGCTTGACCCTGTGCAGTGTTGCTATTTCATTCCTAAGCATAGTTTAGAAATTATGTTCTATTCAGTTCTAGTCAGCAATACTTATTTTCAAGCTAAAGTGTCCATGACTGAGGTATAGAACTGTAGTCCTCAGCTTCTGTTCCTCACTAAATTGTTCTATTCTTAGTTGGAACACTACATTTTGGATATGAACTCTTGAGAGATTATCTCCTAGACACCTATTTTCAGCCTTCCTACAAGCAAGACTTGTTCAGAAGGCTATTAGAAAATGGTTATGATGACCAGAAGTGCTGAGCGTTTTGCAGTGTTGATAAAGCAGTAGGACAGCAGCGCCTTCACTTTTTGAAACCTGCCATTCTGTTCCCTGCAGGCGATACACATGTGCATAAAAGAGTTTGGTTCCTTTCCCTTTTTTAATTTCAATTTTTATTAGTTTTCCATAAAGCCAAGATACACAGAGTCAAGCACAAAACATTTTGTTTCATATAAACAAAACAATAAATAGAAAATTTAAACTGGATTCCGAGAGGACATGGCAATATTGACAGTTTTGGCAATACAGAAAGGTAGGTTATACCGGTTAAACAGAGAAGTAATACTTGGTTGTTACCAATAACAATTACATTTGTGCACTTTTAGTTATATCCATTAGTTACAGACCCCTTACATCTGTTTTCCAATACAGTGGTACCTCAGGTTACATACGCTTCAGGTTACAGACTCCGCTAACCCAGAAATAGTGCTTCAGGGTTAAGAACTTTGCTTCAGGATGAGAACAGAAATCGGGCTCCGGTGGCACAGCGGCAGCAGGAGGCCGCATTAGCTAAAGTGGTGCTTCAGGTTAAGAACAGTTTCAGGTTAAGAACGGACCTCCGGAATGAATTAAGTACTTAACCTGAGGTACCACTGTATAAAATAAAGAACATATGGAAAAAACAAGAAAGCAGAGAAGAATTAACCACCTATAGACTCCATCATATTATAAACTGTAGGCATCTCTCTTCCATGTGCTTCAACATTTGTGTCATCAATAAAATCAAACGACATAAAAACATCTCCTATTATTTAGCATGAGAAAATGAACTGATTCTTTTTCCCTGTAGCTTTTAGGGGAAAGAAGAAATTCACTGGTGTTTGGTCAAGTAACACTCGTGTAAGATGGCCTTAGGGAGTCCTCAAGGGGCAGAGTTAATGTTGCTTTAGCATCGCTTTACCTTCAGTTACAAATTATTCCCCAAAAGTGTTACTGTCAAGAACTGTTTGAAAAGTGATGAAAATCTAGGCCACGTATGACTAGACTGTGTGGCGTATTTATGAACATTTATGCAAGAAGGCCTTTTTGTTCACGTAAAGCTGTAACCATGTCTTTATTAATTAGTGCCAGTATTCTGTTATCCTTCTAACCCATGCTCCCTCACTTGTGTCCTTTATGCATCGCAGTGCATTTGGTCTGCAGTTGTCAAGAGTGAACCAGGGGAAACACCTGGCCATTGCACTTCCATAGCAGGGTGTTTAATCACACAATTTGAGCTACTGCTAGCTCACTTTTCCTGCAGTTCTAATACAGAGCCACAAAGGATTTAAAATCAGGTTTAATGTGAGAAAGAGCTGGAAGATTATTGAGAGCAAATAATTCCATTAACTCCCTAGGAGATACACCACAAGACAACAGGGCAACCCTTAATATTCATTTTTCAACAAACACAAAGATAATCTTTAGAACCAATTTTCCAGAACATGGACTCTAGTTTATCATAGTTAATCCTCACCCCCAACCTGCCAGCCCCTTAAACTTCAATCTGTTGATGAAGGGCAGGCAGAGTGTGGAGAAAGAATGGGTCAAAATCCACTTCTACCAGTGTGGGGCTATATAATCTAGATACCGGGGCCATCTCCAAAGTGGTATTTGTGAAGAAAAGTACAGAAAAAGACCACTCAGTGCAGTCAAAGGCCTTTAAGGGTACAAACCAGGGGATTTCTGTTTTGTCAGCTGTGGCGTATATTTAATACCCTCTGGATGGAGGAAACCATCTTTCTACTTGAAATAAACCCTACTTGGTCCAGATGAAATGCATGCCACAAGTACAGCTGTGAATATTTTCTGGTCCTGCTGAAGGAGAGAGATGGGGCCATAAGACTCCAGCAAGGGAGGGCTCTCCCAGGTTTAAGTATCAGAATCATCCACTTCCCCAACTAGGACTCAGGAATGGCATCTCCTTGCATAATGTTATTAACAAGAACAGACAACTGCAAGACAAAAGACATCCTTCACCAACTGCAAGACAAAAGACACGCTCGTTTGGATCACCCAGAAGTCCCATCTGGGCCTGTTGACTTGCGACTTTTAAGCTTCTAATAATGGCCTGTTTCCTTCTTAGAAATTATTTGAGAAAGAGCTTCCCTGAAGAGATTGAAAGGTACAAAATAGGGACAGAGTGAGTCCAAAAAGATGTTGTAATTTGTGCAACATCTGGATTGGTGGGAAGTATATATCTACATAATACTTCAGATTTGTTGGTGCTGACCTTTAAAGCACTAAATGGCCTTGGCCCTGTATACCTGATGGAGTATCTCCACCCCAATCGTCCAGCCCAGACACTGAGGTTTTGCTCTGAGGGCCTTGCAGCAGTTCCCTCAGTGCGAGAAGTGAGGCTACAGGGAACCAGGCAGAGGGCCTTCTTGGTGGTGATGCCCACCCTGTAGAACGCCCTCCTATGTTAAGGAGATGAGTACCTATATAACTTATAGAAGACATCTGAAGGCAGCCCTGTATAGGGAAGCTTTTTAATGTGTGATGCTTTATTATGTTTTTATATATGTTGGAAGCCGCCACCCAGAGTGGCTGGGACAACCCAGTCAGATGGGTGGGGTACAAACAATAAAACAACAACAACAACAACAACAATTCACAAATAATTTCCTAAACCTGAGATCCAGAAAGATCATTCACTGATAAGATCTTGTGTGTAGCTCTACCTTTTAAACACATTAGCCAATAATTTGGAATTCTTGTTTCTAAAATTTGTAGTATTTTTTATTAACATAAATAAAAGACTTAGCAATCATTGAATCCTAAAGCTTCAAGTATGCACCGCTTAGATTAACGATATTTGAGCTCCCTTGGAGAACCGGTCTGCTTGTGTTTCCATTCCAATCTCAGGACATCGGTGGTTAATTGGGTTTTGATACAGGATGAGGTTTGTTTTATTTATTTAATAGATTTGCCTGTAGGGGCTCCACAAAGGACCACCGTCATGGCATCCTAAACTACTGGGTATTGCAGACCAATGTCCACATTTAATTGAAAATATTGTGAGAGAGAATCGCTAATGGTTACAGAGTGGTATTTTAAGTGAGCAAGGTGGAATTAAAGTACCATGTTGGAGAACTCATAGCAGAACTATATAAGGTGCTTGTCTCCCAAAGTCCCTTTGAGAAAAAAGTATCAGTACTTTGATACTATGAATCACAGTATCCTTCTGGATATGTTGTCCAGGCTAAGTGGCTGAAATTCCCCTCTTACTTAGGATGGATGTTTCCAGAAAGTGGGCAGGAAGATTACTGCTTGACCATTGGCAGTAATTTTGGGGGAGCTCCACAGATATCTAATCTTTTTCTTGTGTTGTTGAACATTCACCCAGAAATTTGGCCCAGGGTTTAGCTAGTATTTACTGTAGTATATGACATCAGACTTTAGCTCTATTTTTTCATTAGGCTGTGCTTGTCCTTGACCAGTGATGGCCTGGATGAGATGGAAACCAAGCCTTAGGAGGAACAGTGGAGGGAGTTGGGTACATTTAGCCTGGTAAAGAGGAGACTGACAGAAGACATGATAGGCCTGTCACATGGAGGATGGAGCAAGCTTCTTTTCTCCTGCTCCAGAGGGTGGGACCAATGGATACAAGTTACAAGAAAGGAGATTCTGACTAAACACCAGGGAGAACTTTCTGACAATAAGAACTGTTTGGCAGTGGAATGGACTCCCTCAGAAGGGACAGATTGGTGACCACCTGTCAGGTGTGCTTTAGTTGAGACGATTCTGTTCTTGCATTGCAGGGGGTTGGACTAGATGACCCTTGGGGTCCCTTCCAACTCTGCCATTCTATGATTCTATGCATAAATGGAGTCTTAGCCCAGAGAAGATGGAGGTACTGCTGATTGTTGATTCATCCACGCAGGTGAATATTCTGGACGGGACTGCACTTCCTCCAAACCAGGTCCCCAGTCTGGGCATGCTTATTGATCCAGCACTGTTTTTTGAGGCTCAGCTGACTCTGTGGTCAAAGCACTTTTATAGAGCTTCAGCTGGTTCACCAGCTTTGCCCTTCCTTGAATGGAGACAGCTTGACTTAGAAATGTATTTATTATTAGCCAAACATGCTCACAGGGCAGTTTACAGGAATATAAGGTGACCTAAAATGTAATATGCAAGAGCATCAAAAACAATGCTTATTAAATACACTTATTAGATAACTAGAAGCTTCATAAACATAGCAAAAAAGTGAGCATCTATAAAAAATACCAAAGCTGGTGCTAGACAGACACCCTTCAGTGGAGAGGCCATTCCACAGACATGGAGCCACTACTGAAAAGGCCCTTCCATGGGACCCCACATCTTGTATCGCACCAGGGAGCCCTAATCTGCTGATCTTTATGCATGGGCAGGTTGGCACGGGAGAATGAGATCTGAACATACTGCAATGTGTTATGTGTGGTGTTTTCTTTAAAAACAGTCTGGAAACTGCCACAAGATGATTAATTGCAATGAACATCTTGACCATATGAAGTCTGCACTTTTTAATCTGCACTGGTTCCCAGTCTGTTTCCAGGTCTTGCCCTCCTTCTTTGAAGTCTCACATGCGAGAGCCAAAGCCAGTTGGTGAGTCTTAGTTTGCAACTTGTGAGTTTCTTAAATATGTGATTATTTTTAATTCTGGAAGTGCTGTTCCAATCACTGTTTTTATTTCTTACATAATTGTTCTGCTCAGGTTTCTGTTACTATATTAGGCTACTTATAAGGACTTCTCTGTTGAAATGCGTTTGTCTTATGTTGTCATATATGGGTATGATTTGGCCTCTTGCGGGTATTTTATTGTCATTGTTTATTCATTTGTGTAGCTGAAGCCAAAACAAGAAACACACAAACAAAATATGTTGTGCAGTTAAAATAACAATTTAAAATAGGCATTCTGCCAAATAGAAATTTGCACCACTGAAGAATTTAACTTAGCACCCTCACAAACGTTTCTCCTTAAAATTGCTGCTCTGAAGGCAAAACAACCTGCCTTTCAGAAATGTCAGAGAACAGGTCTCCTAATAGAAAGTTAACCAAGCACTCAATTGATCTGTCAGCTGAGATATTTAAGTCTTTGAACAAGGCTGCTCTTAAGGCCTTATAAATGGGGCAAACAAGTAAGCAGTGGGATCAATCGTCAGGCACATGGCCCCACCTGGATGCACTCGCCTCCTGCAGAATCCACCAGTAGCGTCCTTCAGCTATAGCAGAGAGCAGAGACTGGAATTGCAGAGCTGTAAACTCATTTTTCCTATTTAACATTTGTAATGCTGGTAAGGAGTCTGAATGAGTAATTTTAGTGTACCGTCATGCTTCCCCCCCCTTTTTTGCACATGTTTATCCTTAACTCTGTTTGTGGTTGTTCAAATTCATTCACAGCACAATCTGAACTGAGATGAGATGAAAGAGTTTGGATTTGGCAGATCTAAGGATTTTCTGGCTGATCTAGGGATTTTTCAGGGGGGCACCTGGCACCAACAGGAGCTCATGCTATCTCCTTGTTCAAATTACTATGAAGAGGAATTTACAACATGAAATCAAATGCTTAGAGCCTAACCTGCTGAAATATACTGACTAAAACAAGGGTATGCAGAAGATAGATGAGGATCTATTGGTATATGTCGGATGGTCTGAAGTAGATTGGCCAGGAGTTTACAGTTCAATACTGGTTAACAGCAACACCAAAAAGTTTCCCCTGCATGAAATTTGGCTGTTTGAACCCTGATCAATAGTAATCAGATGTCTTTTTTTCTCTTTGTAATTCTTGTTTTGTATTTTGTGAACGTACCACCCTCCAATCCATATATAACACCCATCTAGAACATGGGCACATTTATAGAAGCTGGTCATAAGCCCAGTGGGGCTCTGTCCCCTGAGCTACCATTCTGCATGTAGCTCAATAGCGTCCCTCCTTCCCCAAGGAACTACTTTGTACCTGACTCTGCTTGGTGGCAATTTGGATTCTAGTAAAAACAAAGTAGACCTCAAACTTGAAATCTGACAGCCCCCAAGCTAAAACATAGTTTGTTTTGTTTTCAGGTTTCGCCTTGTGAAAAATGCCGCTGTGAAGCCAATGGCGAAGTAGTGTGTACAGTGTCTGCATGTCCTCAGACGGACTGCGTGGATCCCGTATATGAGCCAGATCAGTGCTGTCCTATCTGCAAAAATGGTAAGCAACAAATTCAAGCGACAGTTGGCTTAAAGCTTCAGCTATTTAAAAAACTATCCCTACAACATTAACAAAAGTGCAGTTTCCACAAGTATGTGCCTTTCTTGCAGGGAATGGTATTTGTTACCTGATGGCCAAATAAAGAGCCCAGCACCCAGAGTTGTATGAACTAGGACTACTTTACTTAAGTTTAAATCAGTAAAAAACAGATGCAGAGGGTAACAACTATCGGCGCAGGAGCTAACTGTAACGTAAGGCGAAACGGCAGCCGCTTGTGTGATGGAGCTCATGCCTTGGCAAATGGAAGTAGGACTGCCTTTCCCCAGGCCACACCATGAAGGGAGAGTAGATAGGCCTTGCTGCATTCCCCCCCGCCGGGGCAGATGAGGCAGGTGGGCCTCAAAGGGGGCTCATATCCCACTCCAAGGCCCCATAACCTAGAGGACAAGCCTGAGGCCAGGCCATCACCAGGAAAGGTGCCTCAGGGGGTCACTTGGCTAAAACTTAACTCTTTTCCTTCTCATACCTAACCACCAGAAGAGGGACAGAAATCTTTTTAGTCACCCTTTTCTCCAGTCAAGAACAGTCTCTCTCGCGCAGGCCCTTCTGAAGGTTTGTCCAAAATTTGTTGTTGCCAACATCTGTGAGGCGAATTCCATCTGGCCTATGCAGTTCAGTGTTACTGGGCATGATATCTGGGGAGCGAATTAGTGACCCTCCCTGTTCATGCACTGCCAACCTCAGCTTCTGCATTAAGTTTTGAACGGGCCCTGTTAATCACACTAGGGTCCCCTTCACAGCAGGCAGATAGTTGTACATGTGACAGACACTGGGAAGTCTCCACTCCCTGGCTGGCACACTATGTGCGTAATTGTCCATGTAGCTTACTGAGTTTCTGCACGGAGAGCTTGGGTTTCCTTTGGGACAAGGAAAGGAGGGGCACAATGGTGTTCCCCGGCCTCTGCCCTGCTGCTGAACATGCCTCTCTGCTGAACTCGCTTTGATGCTTTGTGAGCTGGGGTTCCCTGGAGCTCATGAAGCAGACTCCCTTCACTAGCTTGCTCTGGCCAGCATGCGTCTTATGAACACTACAATTTCCATGTGACCCTGGTCTGTCCCCTCTTCCTGAAATAGGACCCCATGGATACCCCGTCTTCTGACTAGTCCCACAAGTGCTGGCTGCTCCTATCCCCACAGCTTCCACCAGTGCCCACTGGTAGGAATGGCTCTCCGCCCTGGCTTCTCCAAATATTCAAAATTAAAGGTGCAGCCTGTGCTACTGCCCTCTGTAGCTGCACCAACACACTTTCTCTGGCTGCCTGACATAGGAAGGACACCACTATCCTGCTGAGAGTGAGGTCTGATGGCAATGTGCCGTAGGGAACCAAGAGCTCCATCAGATGCTGGCACCGGACAGATCTAAACAGAATGAAACTGTTTAATGCCCATGTGTCTGGTGACTTGTCTTGGTGCTTGTCAGGCTTCGGGGAAGCGGCTCCCTCCCTCCCTTTGGCTGTGGATAAGCAGAACAAAGCGAAAATAGTCTCTTACCAGTTAAAGAGAATTTAATATTCACAGCGAAAGAACAAAGACTCCATCTCAGAGGAAAGGTGCTCCCAGTTAAGGTTTCCACCCACTCCCCCCCCCCGAGCCACCCTTGTCACTTACTTGTCTGGAAACATGATCTCGCAACCATTTGGCCTTCTCTGTAGCTACCTTTTCTGCTCTCCTTGACCTTGGACTGAGCGCTTGGACACTTTCCAGTGAGAGGGAATCTGTTCATTCTCTCTCTCCCTGTTCTTCTTCTCCTAGCTGTTCCCCACTCAGTTCTGCCCAGCTGTTGTCTTCCAGACTATATCCCTCTGTAAACCACTGCTCCAAATCTATACTGCTCCACTGCTCCTGGGCAGCTTCAGGATCCTGTTCAGGAGCAGGGGGCAGGGGAGGCCTCTACCATTCCTCGTCAGAATAGCTCTCCTCAGCCTGGTCTCTGACAGTCCTGCAAATGGCCGTCTCATGTTCCCATAGCGCCCCCACTGTTCTAATCAAGTATCTAACAGAAAATCTGTTTCAGGCTAAAAACAGACATAACACATAAAAACATAAGACCATTAATTCCTTGTTTCTTTCTTTTTGAACCAATGTCAATGCTTTCTGTTGTCAAAGACTATTAAGGCAAAAACTCATGGGAGGGCCACCTCAAACTACACATTTCAGTAGTTCTTGCCAAGCACAGATGTGCTAACCTCACTGACAAAAGCATAAAGAACCCATCCTTTTTCTTGGCATCCATGAGATATAGATCACCTCTTAGAAACCTCAAAACAGGACTGTTTCATGTGAAATCTACTTCCCTGTTTTATATCCTGAGTATAGTAGTGCTATTTATTTTTTTAGAGTGAAAGGTTACCTCAGACATAGACATTAAAATATATTGCACTATATACTGAAGTGCAAGGCTGAAGAGGTATGGAATTCCATCAACAAACAGAGATTAAAGTGTAATAAATGCTTAGCGGCAGAAAGCCACTCCAGGATCATCTTCCACCTTCTGTGCAAATTTAGCTAATCTTTAGGTTATTGACACAAATAGAAGTTGATATATAGGTTTATGTTAACCTAGCTTTATGAAATAAATTCTTTTTATTAGCATTCACGATATTACCTTTCATTTGAGCTGAAATTTTTATTTGCTGAAATTCTGGCCTCCAGCAAAACTAGGTTCAGAATGTCAAATCCATCTTTGCCTCACTTGTAAAATATAATTTCAAAACAAATAGAGATAAATATAGGGCAGAATGGGAAATAGGGAGTGGAATGAAACAGGAAATTGAATGACCATTAAAATGGAAAGTCAATTTTAATAATAGTTCAGCATTTGATAACTTGGAACTTTACATCACACAGAATTAAAAATGATCTTAAAATCTTCATTTTATACAGTGGTACCTTGGTTCTCAAACTTAAGCCATTCCGGGAGTCTGTCTGACTCCTGAAACCATTTGAAAATCAAGGCGCAGCTTCCGATGGGCTGCAGGAGCTTCCTGCACTCAAGCGGAAGCTGCGCTGGACGTTTGCTTCCAAAAAGCGTTCGCAAACTGGAACACTTACTTCCGGGTTTGTGGCGTTCAGGAGCCGATTTGTTCGGGAGCCGAGCCATTCAAGTACCAAGGTACCACTGTATATCATCTATAAACCACTCAAGCACTTTCAAACAAGCATGTTTTAATGATGATGATCCAATTATTTTTAGGACTTAGTAACAGGCGTATCCTGTAGAATTTGTTATGGGTTTTGAATTAATGATTCCAGCTTTCAAACACAGTAAAACCTCATGGAAATTAACAAGGCCTCGCTCTGTAAGTTATATTGACGAAGAGTCCTTTAATAAAATTTCAGCCTGATTAATATTTATATATTAGACTTTTGGATACCTGTGAGGTATTCCGCCCCTTCTTTGCATTTTAATGTGTCATATTACTGTATTCAGCTACCACCTTGAGGACAGAGCTTTGAAGTGTTCTAAATTACTAATACTTTAATTTCAGTCTTTTAAGAAGTCGAAAAGTTTGGTTAAAAACAAACAAACATTGAGTGGTAGTTCTAAAGTAAGATAGTTTGAAGTCCCATTGATTTCAGATTTAACAAGACATTTTACTTTTGCACTGAAGAAAATGCTATTTTGGCTCAACTGGAAGGCTCTGTTGAATAGTGGGGTGCTATTTCTATTAACTTCTAAGTTCATTGACCATGACTGGCCCAAGACATATGGGCATCTGAGGCGAACCACAGTATGGTGCCCCCCTCCCCACCAGGGAAGAAGGGGTGAGTGAAGTTCTGCATCAGGAGCAAGGGGAGAATAAAGATCTCCATTGGGATCTGCTGCCCCTATAGCTGCTGCCGCCTGAGGTGGTTGCCTCACCTTGCCTCATGGGTGGGCCAGCCCTGCATATTTCAACTGTTAGGAGCTTTTTCTAGTGTTCCCTGCTGAAACAGGTAGCATGCAAGGTCTCCCATTCATATTGTGGATTTATTAGAACTACAAATGCTCTAGGATTCGACGTTATGGGAGATCTCTAGAAATGAAGTATCAGAGAGGAATAATCCCGGTGATTGTGGAGATGACTCTTGCCTCTGAAGAAAATACCCAATGCAATCTGGAAGGGAGTGCAGACTGGGCAATAATATGCAGCTAGCTATTGTTCCTTCCTATGCTAGGAACCTATGATGCAACTGCTGGTTAAATCTCTTCTTTGGAAGTGTCATTGAGCTTAAATTATTGCTGCAGTTTTTATCACATAGGCAACTCATATGCCATGAGCATGCATCACAGAGCTTTTTCCTGCAGAGGGGTAGGTAGGCAAGCAAGCAGTTTTCTGAAGACTCCGGACTCAGCTATACAGCTGCAAATAAAATGTTTCAAGTGTGCTTTAAGTACAATATACAATGTGACACTAGACGGTGATAGTGAGCCTTAAGGAAAATTCAGTGTATTTTTAGAAACGTTTTTAAAAAAGCATTTGCAGAACTTTTTTTATATTGTGTGTAGATTTCACCTCCATGAGCTGGCAACAATAGTGGAAGAATGAGAGAGGCGTTGCCATGCTAGGCCAGGAGAGGGTATCTCTTATTGATCATTTGATTTCATAAAATTTATATACCACTTGACTGTAAAAAAAAAGAAAAGGAAACCACCTCAAAGTGGTTTATAAGAAGATAAAACTATAAAATCAGGAAAAACTTACAATGCCTTAAAATATACAAGTTAAAATACTAAAATACTCCTGCCTTTGGGATTACTACCTACTCCCCTTCAAAAATCAGACAATTTTCTTCTGTGAGTTTTGCCTTAATCATTCCAGAATTCTCTTCTGGCCAATGTAACTTGATGCTTGCAGGTAAGACATTCTGCACTTAGGTTTTTGTTTTCCTTTCCCTCGCCTCTCTCTGTTCTGCCTGATTTCTTCGAGTCTGTGGTTGCAGGGAGGTGTTGCAATATCATGGGCCCCTGCTCTTCCCAGTCCTTCTCTGTGGCCTTTTCTCCTTCTGCCCAGTTGTGTGAGAGCAGATCAGCTGCAGGGATGTCTTTCCAGGCTTGTATGTTACTTTTGAATTTGTTTCAGGATCAGAGCCGAAGTCTTGGTGGAGCAGAGGTTAGAGGTTTCTCTAGTGTGTTTGCAAGAGGTTGTGATCAGTTTCCGCTGTTGCAAAGTGCCCTCAAGTGTACACCCAGAGACAATAGCAAGTAGTTCATTTTCAACTTGAGCATAATTCTGCTGAGTAGATGCTGATGCTCTTGAAGCATCTGGGACAAGGTGCCCTTCCTTCAACAACGCAGCCACAACTGTTGCCTGTGAGGCACGTAGTTGTTAATTCCTTTGTTTCAACACAATACTTCAGTTGGGTGATAACTTCTTTTGTGTTTTGAAGTGTCTTCTTGTTTCAGTACCATTCAGTGCCTTTTTTCTTCAGGCCTCTTTAGCAAGCTGTGATTTCCGTGAATCTTGGAATGAACTTTGATATGTGTGACACCATCCCAAGCACAGCTTCTTGTTCTTTCAGGGGTTTTTGTGCTTTAAGCTGTTTTATGGGTTCCACATCACTTGGGCTGGGTCAGATGCCTCCTTTCTTAACCTCTTCCACTGCGAGAGGCCCATGGGCCAATTCCACTGTCATTAGGATTTTTATTAGTTCAGTGACAATACTGGTTTTGCAGGAGCCCAAATGTTGGCACCTGTTCTTTTAGCAGAGAATGTTCCTACTATGCTGAGTGACTGTCTGCCATAGTCCTTTGCTCCAGGTGGTATCAGTGTGAGATGGTGGGCTGGGTGCTGTGCACTTACCCTCCTGTGATCAGTTTTAGATTTTACGGGTATACTTTCTGAACCTTTGAGGTTTCACCCTTAAAGCCTTGAATAGTAGCCAGAAACAGTGTTGAGCCACTACTGCCTGATTTCTTCTAGCATCTTCTAATATTAGTTTATTGCTAAAGGTAAAGGTACCCCTGCCCGTTCGGGCCAGTCTTGCCAGACTCTAGGGTTGTGCGCTCATCTCACTCTATAGGCCGGGAGCCAGCGCTGTCCGCAGACACTTCCAGGTCACGTGGCCAGTGTGACAAGCTGCATCTGGCGAGCCAGCGCAGCACACGGAACACCGTTTACCTTCCCGCTGGTAAGCGGTCCCTATTTATCTACTTGCACCCGGAGGTGCTTTATTGCTATTATTTATTAAATTAATGCCTAAAGCTTAGCAGCAGAATGGGGCTGTCGGAGATCAGTGGAGGGATTGTTCAGCCCCTTTCTCTCATTGGGCTAGTCTTCAGTCCTTTCCAATATCTTACACATTTCGCCCCTCCCTTCTCCTCTTTCCAGACCCACTTGGGGCTAAGTCAGCCAAACGCAAAGTATTACTTGCCTGTGAGGGGCTCCTGAGTGGCAGATGTCACACTAGAAAAGGTGGGATTCTGCTCTCTGTCAGCCAGAGCAAACATTCTGTTCTATTTTAAGGTTTTGCCTCTTTCCTGACAGTTGGTGTCTGCATTCAGTCACAATCTGCCAACACAGTTTTATTTAGTACGAATAAATAGGTCATAATTAGTCAAAAATGAGTCTTGTAATTACAGGTATAGGGTTGTTTTATTTTCTGAGGCTTGATGCCTCAGGGAAAATGCCTCACTACGCCACGGATGTTTAAAACCTGAAATCTACATTTATCAATATGATTATTTAGCTGATTAGAGCTTTCAGATTTTCATAGAATTGAAGAGTTGGAAGGGATCCCAAGGGTCATCCAGTCCAACCCCTGCAATGCAGGAATCTCAACTAGATCCTCCCTGACAGATGTCCATCCATCCCATGCTTGAAAACCTCTAAGGAAGACGAGTCCACCAGCTCCAGAGAGAGAACATTCCAAAGATGAACAGCTCTCACTGTCAGAAAGTTCTTCCTGATTCCATAGAATCTTCTAGTGTTCATAACTTTTCCTGTCACCTCCCACCCAGTTACCCTGCCATCCTTCCAACCCCCCAGTCTCTGTTCACACCTCAGGGCAAGGGGGGAGGACAGCTCTCTTGCATTGCCAAGGGCTCTCAATGGCCCTCTCTTGTTTCTTAATGGCCCTAGCTTGGCCAGCTTGTTTTGCCTAGGCTAACCCAGGAATTCCTCTGCAGCTTGCATTTCTCCCTTCACATGACCAAATAATGAAATTCTTACCATTTATTAATTTCTAGGGTTTAGGGGGTCCCCCATCCAAATCTATAATACTGGGTGCTCTGGGGAGAAGGGAGACTGGCATCCATCTTGGGCAGGCTGGCTGTAGAGATGACTGGGAAATGCCTTGGACTGCAGGGTTGTGCTGCTGTGGGGACAAGCCCCTCTTGAAATGACCATGCCATAAGGTCTGGACTCCCTCCATGCAGACCCAAGGTGTAAATAGGTGAATAAACTACCGTATTTTTCGTTCTATAGGACGCACATTTCCCCCTCCAAAAATTAAGGGGAAATGTGTGTGCGTCCTATAGAGCGAATGCAGGCTGCGCCGCTAAGCCCAAAGCCAGAACAGGAAGACGGAGCACTGCGGAGCGCTCCGTCTCGCTGCTCTAGCTTGGGGACGGCTGCGCGCAAACCTCTGCAGGGCAGTGGGGTGCCTTCACCCCGCTGTCCTGCAGAAGCTAGCAAGGCTGTTCCCAAGCCAGAACAGCAAGACGGAGGGCTCCGTTTCGCTGCTCTAGCTTGGGGACGGCTGCGCGCAAACCTCTGCAGGGCAGCGGGGCGCTGCGCTCCAAAGGCTTCAGGGATCTTTGAGGCTGGCGGTGGGGGAAAGCAGCGCTTCCCCCCACCGCCAGCCCCACAAGCTCTGGTGAATGTACCTTGAACGCACCTTGTTTTAGAGGGGGAGAACAAGAAAAAAAAATTTTTCCCTGTTCTCCCCCTCCTATGATCCGGTGCGTCCTATAGTCCGGTGCGTCCAATGGAGCGAAAAATACGGTATATTTCTTAAAGCTAAGACAGTCTCTGCCGTGGAACACAGAACCTTGGGTAGGTGCCTGGAACCCCCTGGGATCTTGCTATCGCTTGATGGAGTGGGGTGTGGCACCCAACTTTTGTAACCCTGGTGTTATCAGTGGGATCTGTGTTTCCTGGAGAGAAGGCCTAGGAGCAGCGTTCTCCTGAAATTGAAAATGGAGGGAGGAATCGCAGGACTCCTTGAGCAGTTCAACATGATGGAGAAGAAGAGGATGGTGGAGCAAGAGCGGCACGTGGAGCAGCCCCACCAGCAGCGGATGCAGAGGCTCAGAGATAAGGATACACAGGTCTCATTCTCTGAACCCAATGCGTCCTCAGGAAATCATTTGTTAGGCTCACATAACTAGTCAATGATTTCTATTCATTCCCATGGGGAAATTTCCAATGTGTTCCTGACCATGGAATTATGACCCCCAAAGTGATGGGAAAGACCCAGGAAAATCCACTGAAACTTTGCAAAAAGCAAACAAGGAAGGGGAAAATGCTCATTTGTCTGATATCTCCCACCTTCTCCCCACCTCCCACCATGGTTTCTGGTGAAATGGCTGCTGTGAACCAGCAAAACACAAAAAGGAAGGCTTGTTTAAGGCTGCTTCTTTGTTTAAAGCACCACATGCCGGTCCAGCTGTTTGGGTATCTGACTCTGCAGTGTGTATAGTGAGGTTTGGGCACAGATTCCTCATGTTTGGATAAGCGAATTCTCAAACAATGGGTGTTTAGATAGCGGGATAGGAGTGCACATCCTTACCTGTTGGTAAAGGGAGGGGAGGCCCTGCCCATTGGTTGATGCTCAAGACCAGCACCCCCTTCACTTCATAGGTCCTTAAAACTTTAATGTTGCTTTAGCAAGAATACTTAAGTCTCCACAGTCTTCATGTATTATTGGTGAAGCATTTGATTGCGCCACAAAAGCTTGGGACCACTTTGATTGGCAGAATTGGCACTAGTGCAGCTGCCACACAATACCTATTTCATATTTGTAAGAACATGGAACTCCTTGTCTATTGACATCTCACTGTCCTCTTTTCAACACCTGCTAAAACCATTCTTGTTTAGACAAGCCTACCCAGATGCTTAGAAAGATGAGGTCATTTTAATCTGTTTTAGTATTTTAACTTTTCTGTGTTTTAAAGTATGATTGTGATTTTTTTTTCTTGATATTTTTTCTTTTGTAAATCACTTGAGGTTGTTGTTTTTTTAAACAATCAAGGGAGTATACATTTTAGGAAATTAATACATAAAATAAACTCTGCTTCAGAATGCATTTGGAGATCCCCTAAGAGTCATTACTAAAAATAACTGCAATAACACTTTGGAATACACTAAAAGCTTTGCCATTCTTACCATACTGATCCTCCTCACAACCATGTGACGTGTTTGTGGGCTTTAAGGCTGTGATTTGCTTGAGTCCATATTGTTAGTCAGAGAGAGGATTTCAGGCCGTCTCCACATCCACCTCTGGCGCACCTGGCACAACCTGTGAAGCAGCTGCACTCAGTGCCCCCCTCCTTCTGTTCCAGGGCCCAACTGCTTTGCAGAGACCACAGTCATCCCTGCAGGTCGAGAGGTGAAGACTGACGACTGCACTATATGCCACTGTACCTATGAAGAAGTGACTTGGCGAATTGAACGGCAGGCGATGTGTACCAGACATGACTGCAAGCAAATCTAGATCCACAAACCCAATGCCGCGAGATGTTTTTATAAAAATACTTCCATGCTCCAAACGATATTTGAGTGAACCAAGAAACATCTTCAAAAGAACTATTGCTTTGCTTGAGGACAAAGGACCCTGCTGGCATTTTCTTTTTCCACAGTAGAACAGTATTTGAGCAAAAGAAGGTTTGGACTTGATTGTTCACATCTTATTAAATGTGTTATATTTCCAAGGTGAGTACTGTAAATTACATTAAAAGATTATATTATTTCTATAATCCTATTATAGAGTTTAAAATAAATGTTTTATATAGTTGAGAGATTAAATAAATGTTGGGAGAGAGAAATGATTGTCTTCTTGCATACCTGGTCTTGACTAAAAGAAAACATGACTTTGTGATAGAAGCTGTTTTTGTGGGGGGAGGACAAAAAGGCAGGGAAATGATAAATCTGAAAATGATAAGAACTTGACGGTGGTCTACTCTGAAAAGTTTACAATAGGTTCAGTCCTAGCCTCTGGGGTTTTTGTTGCTGACTTCAGTGAGTTTATGAGTGTATGTGTGTGCAAAATGTGAGCCAGGTTTTCTTTTCTTGGATGTGGGACAATATTGATTACACTAGCAGTAATATATTCTGGCTGGCCAAAATCGGGTTACTCTGTGACCTGGCTTGATATCTTGACAAATTCTACCTATATTAGTCTTTACACACTTTCTTGAGAGTAAACCCACATGAAAATAGGACTTACTAGACATGTACAGAATTGTACTGTTAGCCTTTACCAAAAATGTTCATGGTAATATACAAATAATTACATCAGTGTAAAAAACTAATTAGAGGATTGTCTTTATATATTTCTAGACCTCCAGAAGGAATTCTAATACACAAAATTCCTTTTTGAAAAAACCATGCACTGATAGTGAGCATAGGAAGCATATTATATTTTTGTAGCTATCACTGCCCAGTTGTCCCCAGGGAATGTTACACCTCAAATCTCTTCATGGCCCCCCATATCCAAGTAACAGAAATGTGAATAAATTTGTTGAAATGTGTAGCAATAGCAGTCTACGCCAACATCGTTTTACAATACTTTTGGAAAACACGCTAGATCATCATGTAGGAATCTACACTCTCGAGAGCAAATAATGAAGTATTTATTTGCCACAAATAAAACCGTATCACCAAAGCTAATGGGGGTAAGTTTGCTATTTGGAAGTATCATATATTATCCCTAACTTTAGACTATAGCATGTTTTTTTTAAAAAAATACTCTCTTGCAATTATGTTTTTGAAAAAGAATTGGGGTGCAGAGCTGTAATATATTGTAAGATATTTGTTGTCAGCCATTTAAGCTGCCATCTTGTACCTGCTTATATGTATCTTATGTTGCAGACCTATGCAGTTACCTGGGTGTAAGTTCCATTAAACTCAAAACTTAGTTTTGAGCAGGAATGCCTAGGGTGACACTGCTGTCCCACTGACATTAATGAAGCCTTTGAAATGCAACAGAGGTTTGCATTTTTAGACATCAATTTTAAAATGTGTAGTAAGCCAAAACAAGCATTTAATAGGTAAATAAAATTTTTATCCTTCAAATCATTGAGTGCAGAGTATAGCAAAAGCATCAGAATGGCACAAGATAAGCTTGCTATGTTGAGCACACAATTTGGGGCACACGAGAGCATTGTAGGGCAAGTCATGGTGTTCCATGGAAAAAATGTACATTCGATAGAACAGAACTTCATGTGGAAGTGTGAGAGTTCACTGGATTGAGCAGTCAGCTAGCCTTACATGCACGTGTTGCAGAATATCTGCTAAAACATGTCAACATGTATACGTACCCCCTTTTCCTAACACTGTTGTGGCAATGACCTCAGTAGGATGTTCTTTTTAAAATTATAAATTGGAAAGCTTTTCACATCACAGTGCTGAAGATAAAATGTTTTTATTGAACTCTAGCTTTTTATATAGAATTTCCTCTTACCCACACTTAGATCTTTGCATGACCATCGCTGCAATGTGGAGCAAGGATGCCCTTATGCTTTTTGATGTGGTTACAAATGACAAGATGTCTCAGGGGATTCATAATGGGCATTGAAGTCTTTCACATCTAGGTCACTGGACTCAATTCTGGCCTCCACTGTAGCTAGCAAGAGACCATAACATTTGATGGCTGTTCAGTGTGAAATTAGCTGACAGACTAAAGAATATCCGTAGTAGGCAGACTTCAGCAAAACAAACAGCTCCAGGCAGCAACTGGACTGGCAATGCCAACAGCAAGGCAAAAGCCTAGAAGGAACATAGAAACTGAAAATGCCCAAAGGTGATTTTGGTGTCAGAGTGAAAAAAGTGAGTGCAACAAAAAACATTTTTATCCACTCTCCATGAACAGCCATTTCCCAGTGGCCTTTTCAACATAAGGGAAAGCTTCTGAGCTAGGAATGGTTTAATGGGGCATTTGCTGTTTGAAGACAAGTTGGTGTGCTGTTTCTTTGTGTGAATCAGAAAATCAGACAATGTATAAGAGCACAAGGAAGCAGAGTATTTTTTTCAAATGGCACAGAGAAGTTAAAGCCACAAGCTCATGAAATATATTTCAGATTTAGCCTAGAAATCTTTTTTTTTATAATACCAAAACATACCCATCAGCTCATCATTACGTGGGGGTTGAAGAACTTATCACTCAGAAATGTTCATTATATAAAACATTTGAATTACTTGGAGGTAAAAAACAGAAGAAATCGCACAGGTTTCATAATCTGAGAGGTTCCAGAAGGGACAGCCATGCCTCTGTGAAGAGAGATTGCTGCATTTGGGGCGTTTTAGTTTAGAAAAAAAGAAAGTACAGCACAACATGATAGAGAGCAATAAAATTATGCATTCAGTTACGCATGGTGCAGGTACATTTTCTCTCTGATTCTAGAGCCCAGGACTGTTCAATAAAGCAAAATGTTGGCAGATTCAGAAAGACAAAATGAAGTACTTCACACAGTGCAATTGAGCTATGAAATTTCCTCCCCAAAGAAAATCATGGCAGCCAACTTGGATGGCATTAAAAGCTGTCTAGACCAATGTATAGAGGGTAAGCCTTTCAATGGCTGCCAGTCATGGTAGTTATGTACTATCTCCACTGGAAGGGACAGTCTGCCTCTGGGAATTGTAAGAGAAGACAGCGCTGTTGCACTCAGGTCCTGCTGGATTATGATGGACCAGTGACCTGACCCAGGACGGCTCTTCTGATCTAGAAACTGAATCTCTAACAGCTTGCAGTTGTTGCTGAAGGAACCAAGGAAGAAGATAAGGGGAGCATGTTTCCCAGACCGCACAGGAAGTATTTACTTAAGCTGAGAGATGGGAGCCCATCCATAAGAGAAAGGTACAAACAGCAGCAAAATATGGATGATTTAAGATGGCTTTCAGATAGTTTCCCTTTTCAAGTCGACATGTCTGCCATGCGATGGCAAGTTCAGTATGCTCTCATTCATCTCAAGAGCTCATGTTTCAGATGGTTTAGTACAAGGGTACCCAGTGAGATGCCGGTTTAGATGTTGCTGAGACTTCAGCTCCCACCATCCCTGATCATTGGCCATGCTGGGTGGGCTTCTCATTTTCTCCACCCACGCCTTTAAGTATTTTCTTCTTTCACTTTTTCAATTTCCTTTTTAAAATTTACTGGGAAGTCTTCCATCATCACCACCAGAGTTTGTAGGAATTTGCTGGTATCAATTTTCCTTTATATTGTGCCCATATCTCAATGATGTTTCTTAATAAGGTATTTTCAATATTCTGTCACCATTGCCTATTTGGTTTGATAAAAAAATATACTCAACTTAACTTCTTCATTTATTGGGTACCACTCTCTAACCATTCTAACTCACCTTGTTCTGTTATCCCATCTATGATATATTTTAACTATATAACTATATATATATATATATATATATATAACTATATATTTGCTATATAACTTGATGTTGTTGAGCTACCAGTCCACTCCTTTTCTGGAGTTTATACCATCTTCTAATTCTAGGTTTCTTATCCCCATTACAAAATTTATTAATCATACTTTGCCAACCCTTTATCTCTGTCTCTGATAGCTTAATTGGTAACAATCTAAATAAAAAAATTGTTCAAGACAAAAATTTCATTTTAATTATAGCTATTCTTCCAAACCATAAAAGCTTAATTTTCTTGTATTCCTCCAGCTTTTCCTTAATTTCCCATTTTAAGATTCCCTTGGTCTAAATTTTCTGAATTTCTTGATACATTTATTCCCCATTAATTTATTACATTTCTTAATTGTATCTATTTTTATTTCCTTCAAAAATGTTCATTTTTCATCTTCATCAGTTAAATATCTTCTCTGATTTCAACCAATTAATTCGCAACCCTGTTATTTCTCCAAAAAAATTCAAATGTGTCTCTTATTACCTGCATATTTTCCCATGGATTTTTGAGTTAGCAAGGTGCCATCTGCAAATAAACTTGTTTTCTATTTTCCATTACTGCTTATGCCTTTTATATTTCCATCTTCTCTAATTACATTGGCCAGAGTTTCAATGACCAATACAAATAAAATTGGGGAAAGGGGGCATCCTTGTTTTGTACCTCAGGCTAGTGTTATTTGTTCTGTTATCCCATCATTCACTACAACAAATGCCTTGTTCCTCAAATACAATTGATTTATTAATCCCTTAAATCGTTCTCCAAATCCTAAGCTTTCTATAATCATTTTTAATGCTGGCCATTCTACACAGTCAAAAGCCGTAAAAATATCCAATGCTACTATACCAGCTTTCAATTTATGTCTTCTTGTATCTACTTTATTCAACACTGTTCTTATTAAACTAGACATCTGTCTTCCTGCTACAAAGCCACATTGGTTTATATATTTATACATAAAATTATTCATCCATTTTGAGAGCTTCAATTCTCAGAGCAGGAGTGGCTAACCTTTTACTGGCCTGAGGGTTCATATTCAAAGCTGGCCAGCTTTCCAAGAACCACATACTAGTAATCAGCACAGCCAATGGACCTACTTGCACACATGCATAGAGGGGGATGGAGATTCAAACTGCCCGGTCACAGCACAGATTTAAGCCTCTTCTCAGTCTTAGCACTGTGATAAGAGAACCCAGTGCTTACCTTGAAAAGGCACCTCTTGTCCCTCTTGCATGGTGCCATTGTTAGGAGATCTTGGTAGCCCTTCCTAGCTGCTAGCAACTCCTAGCAAGGTCATCTCGTCACAGGAAATAGCAGCTTTCGAATGTGAAGAGACATTCGATTTTGCCTGGGGCTGGTGGATGACATTAAGTGGCTAGATGAGGGCTGGATTTGGCCCATAGGTCACAGCTCCATCATCCCACCTTAGAATCATCACCGATTCACAAGCAGCACGGATCTTTGACCTTGCCAGCCATAAAGGACTCTTCACATTGCTCAGCAAGATCAGAGGCCCATCAGCCTGATGAAGACCAACATCCTGGGTCAGGACATCATCAGCACTCCACACACCAGCATTGGTGACCACGCACTTGAGGCAATAGATGATTTTGTCTACCTGGGCTCCACCATAACCAGCAAACCTCTCCCTCAAGGCCGAACTGCACAAGTGTATTGACAAAGCACCTATGGCAATCACTCACCTCTCCAAAAGGCATGGGAGAATGTGATGCTAACGTCCAATACCAAAATGTAGGTCTACCAGGCTTGGGTGTTGAGCACGCTGCTTTATGGAGGTCATGGGCTACTTACAACCATCAGAAGTGATGGCTCAATGCCTTCCACATGTGCTGCATCAGGGTATCACATGGCAGGACAGTGTTACAAACGAAGATGTGCTCTCCCAAGCCCACAATTCCAGCATGTTCGCACCCCTGTCTCAGCGACGTCTACGCTGGCTTGGTCATATCCGCAGAATGAAGGATGGCAGGAACCCCAAGGACGTGCACTAGGCTGTTGACAGACCAGGTCTGCGTTAACCACCCAACAGTTTGACCTCACCCCCAAAGGCACACTCCTCCACTGTCTTCTATGCCAGCAACACAGATCAGTAACAATCTTTGGGTCTAACTAGCTTTCACAAAACTGCTTCCGATAGAGATCTCTGTGTTCATATATACTCACTGGTTTTTTGCATGTACAAGAATCTCTATTTCAATGGAAGGAGCCTATAATTTCCACATGAATTTATTTAGTGACCTTTTACAGAGTTTGCAAAAGCCATTTCATATTGTGACTTAAAATAGTGGGATGAACCAGCACAATTCAGAGCCCTATAGCCCAGAATACATTGATTGCGGCAAACAGATGAATTGTATTGTTCAACAATTACGTTAAGCTAATTTCAGGAGGGTTGCTAACTTTCTCTTTCATAATTTTAGTACATAGCAAGAGTTTCACAACACGAAAAATAGCCTTGGCTCCATATCCGAAATTATCACTTACTTGCCACATCTGCACCCTATTTATATCTCTCCAAAAGAACTTAGGGAACATGCATTGCTAGCATATTTCCCCCTCATATTTATTTCTTTATGGACAGCATTTAGATCAGGCACAGGCAAACTCGGCCCTCCCGATGTCTTTGGCCTACAACTCCCATGATCCCTAGCTAACAGGGATGATGGGAATTGTAGTCCCAAAATATTTGGAGGGCCAAGTTTGCCTATGCCTGATTCAGATCCTGCCTTTTTGCAACTCTCAAGCTCATCAGGGTGAGTGCTAGTGAATGGCCCAAGGTAAGCATGAGGGTTGAGCAGATCCAGTTCTGTTCAGTCCATATGGATGCACTCAGTTGGATCATCTACTACATCAGACACAGGTCTGATAAAGGTCTTAAGATAAGAGAACTCGGTAAAAATAGCATATCCCTTTGCCCTTAAGAATATGTGAAATATGTGAAACTACCAGAGGCATCAAAACGGGTTGTAGTTTTTCTGGCAGCAATCTCATACCATTCTTCATTCAACCAAATGCAAATTTAATACCAATTAAATTGGAGTTTAAAAAATCATTTTATTTGCATTACAAATATATTATAAATCAAGAACATCAGTGCTACTAAATATAGCACAAGGTCTATGCTGGTATTCTGTTAACAATGTGTTGCTCCATATTCCAAACTTTTGTTGCATGGAAGGCAGTGAGTTCCTTCACGAGGGTTATAGGATCCTGGACTGCAAACCACTGTAAACAAACACATTGAACCATCATTTTTTAAAAAATCATTTATAGAGTATTTGTTAGGATTTTTAAACTCTGAAATTCATTCTGCTTTAATTCTTCATATAAATTTCAAATTCTGCCATGTCTAGAAAGGATCTCCAGTAACAAGGCTGGGAAAGAGATGCTGCCAGTCAGAATAAATTCTCCTGGTCAAAATGGCCACCAAGTTAACTCCTTGTATCGGGGGTGAGTGAGGAGGCTCCAGCTTGTGGGTCAATTGTGGCTTGGCAGGGGTCCCAACTGAGCCTTCAAGTTTGTTTTCCCCAAAGCAGGCCCACTTGACATCATATGGGACAATCAGTGTGTGGCAGACAGACATATCTGGACCAACTGTGTGACTGAGCTCTTCATGAGGAAATCAACTGAGCACCCAATCCTTACAGAAAGCAAGTATAAAGTCATAGTCCAACAGCTGATGGGCCATGACTTCAAACCTGCTGATCAGCAGTGCTCCAAAGCACTATGCAGGGATCTTTGCAAGGCCTGTGTGGTGCTTTAAGTCCTTACAATCATCACCTGATGCCATTGTGACATCAAGCAATTGACAACTGGATGGCCTCACCCACCCGCCAAATGTGGCGTATGAGGGTGGCCATCTCTGCCTTATATTTGGAATTACTTTTAGGCAAACAATTTAATTTTTAAGAAGCTGCAGTGATAGCTTCATGATTCCATATACAGATTTTCTGAAGGCATGAACACATGCTATAGAGAGATAATGAAGGCCAAATTCCATGAATTACTCTTGGAACCATATAGCCCCAAGGGATGCTATGAGTTCTCTTCATTCTGGTTTCTATTATTCTCATGGATTTCTCAATATGCTGAAACAGCAATGTCTATAAAAGACAAGCAAGAACCTTTGTGTTATGTATTCAATATTGTGGCATTTCCTCCTATTGATCAGTTGTCCCAAAAAGTGAACAGCAGGTCACCAAGATTTACTAGTTTCATTCATGCCAACACATTACACATTACCTGTATGTGTTCCATATTCAGTGTATGTGATTTTAGGACATGAGAACACAACCAGAGTTTGCAAACTAACACCTGTGCAGACATAATGCTGGATGCTGGTATGGAAATAACTCCTAGGAAATGGACAATGTTACATTACATAACTATCCATATTTACTTGTAGGTTCCACTGGACTTACTGAGATTTAAGAAAAGAGCATAAGAGCCTGACTGGATCACAACAAAGGCCCATCTAAATGCAGTACCCTGTCCTCACAGGGACCAACCAGATATTAATGGGAAGCCTGCAAGCTGGAGCTGAGGGAAAAAGCACTCTCTCCACGAGATTCCCAGGCTGTTATTTGAAGTATTCAGAGGAATACACTGCCTTATCCTCCTGTTTTTCATATTGTAGATTTTTATTAAATAGCATTAGCTCCACCTAGTGATCAAAATATTGCAGGCCAGTTAGAACTAAGCATTGCCAAACAGTATTTGAATGGTATTTTTAATGAAAATTTAATATTATATCAATCAATTAAATTGAACTATGGTATAAGCATTTGCTTTCATTAAGTAATAACTACCCTGGAATCACCTGTCAGTGAAAGGGTGGGGAGATTAGAAATTAAGTAAATAAATATCACTACTACTATTTTTTTGCAAGAACATTTGCCTATGTTAGCTTATTTGGCATAGAGTCAAATAAATAGGCATTCATCATGGGCTACTTCAGTTTTAAGAAGTATAACATTTGTGGGGTCCATGTCCTCCTTTAAGCATAATATAATCAACAGTTGCTCTAAATAAATTGGTCACCAGGGGATGGATTTGCTCAGCATCCACTATATGAATTTCTTCAAACAGCATCTGCATAATGAAGTATTTAGAGTATCCACAGCAGGGCTCCCCCAGCCATAATAGGAGGGGGGCTTAGTTTCACCCTGTCTTGACCCTTGTAGCTCTTGTTTAAACCCTAGTTACACAATGTTTAATACCACTTTTAATTGCCAAGGCCCTTCCACCAGGAGACTGTTCAAGCAGTTTAACAGTCCAAACTAGATGTGGCAACAGACCCCTAGGCTGCTGTCTAAACTAACAATCCTTTAAATTGATTTAACAGTTATAGCTCTATGAAGCTATACAGTATATTCAGAAGGGCAGGGTTTAAGATTAAAAGAAGGGACAGGAAAGCAAGAAGCAGGTTCAGCTCCCGCAATGACACAACACCCCCATCAGCACCCAAGGCAGACTCGGGTTCAGGCAAACTAGTGTGCTTGTGGAATCTGTTGTGTGGCTTTAGTGAGTCATACGAGCTAACACACTAAACACGAACAAAGAATTCTCCGATTCTATGATTTACCATATTTTCGCTCTATAGGACACACCGGACCATAAGAGGGGAGAACAGAAAAAAATTTCTCCCTCTCTGCTCAGCGCCCTTCAGCAAAGCGGTAGGAGAAACGGAGCCCCTTCCATTTCTCCGCCCGCTTCGCTGAAGGAGCGCTGCGCAGCTCTCCCTCTCTGCGCAACGCCCCTTCAGCGAAGCGAAGCCTGGAGAGCAAGAGTGATCGGTGTGCACCGACCCCTCTCGCTCTCCAGGCGGCTATCCGCAAGCCTTCAGTGTGTGGCGGGAACTCCTGATGCGCTCTGAAGGCTTGCGGATAGCTGCCTGAAGCCCCCGGAGCACAGCAGGAGTTCCCTGCGCTCCGGCGGCTTCAGTGAAAGCAATGCGAAGCCTCCGGAGCGCGGGGGGAGCTCTCCCTCTGCGCTTTGGAGGCTTCGCGTTGCTATCGCTGAAGCCAAGGAGCCTGCATTCGCTCCATAGGACGCACACACATTTCCCCTTCATTTTTGGAGGGGAAAAAGTGAGTCCTATAGAGAGAAAAATACAGTAGTTGCCTGAATATTTCTGCTCCATACAGTGCCAAGAATGGTATGGAAGAGGAGAACCTTTCAAATGTTTAAGATGACATGAGAACTGGAGAGGTTTCTCTTCCTTTTGTCTAGTCTCATTCAGACTTCCTTCCGGGCTGCGTTTCTAGGCACAGGCCTACGCTTTAAAGCTCCATGTTCCCCGTGGAAAACCTGAATTGCTGTTTGTTCCAATTCAGCAGTAAAGAAGCAGGTTCCAATTCCTGGGGGAAATGGTGGGACAAAGGAAAAGGAAAAAAAGAAGATATTGGGCATGGAACTTTAAAGCATAGATCAGTGCCTAGAAAGTCTAGGGCAAAGGTAAGTGTGGCTAAGCCCTGAATCTTGGAGCCTAGCCCAGTGCTGTGAAAAGACCTTCAGTGTTTGTTTCAAGGCTTCAGTGTACAGTTGTACAGTCCATGTACAACCACACAGGGCACAGCTCAAAAAAGTTCCTCAATCAATTGAACAAAAACCTCAACAGTGTCCCTTTTACATATAACAACATGCTTTAAGTGCTTTTCAACAGGAACAACAAGACTCAAAAGCAAAACATAAATGCTGTTTTGGTACAACTAAAGTTGCAATACTTTAGAATAACACACCAAAGCACACACTAGGAATCTAGTACAGTGGTACCTCGGTTTGCGAACTTAATCTATTCAGGAAGTCTGTTCTTAAACCACAACCATTCTTAACCATTCTTTCCCTGATGAGGCCTCCCGCCGGTGCCCTTCCACTGTTCGGATTCTGTTCTTAGACCGAGGTAAAGTTCTCAAACCAAGACACTATTTCCGGTTTTGTGGAAATCATTCTTAAACCGGACTGTTCTTAAACAGAGGTACCACTGTAATACACTCAAGGACAGATCCAAATGGAAGTAATACAGTTCAGTAATACAATACTGATGACATAACTCATAGTCTTAAATAAAGTTGTTTTTTAATGGAGGAAATAATCTTTTAATATGTCAGAGCAAACTTAGCATTACATCAACCAGTAAGATTAACTTCTACTCTCTACTCCTTAATAGCAAGGGTTGTTTCAGACATAAGACTCAGCTTAAATAAAGCCAAGAACTAGTATTGTGGTTTCTTCACAGGCTAGAATTGAAGACTTCTAGGGTTTGTTAATTTCTACTTACATTAATACGGGAAAGGGGTTTAACTGCAATGCAAGAAGGAGCACAAAGGTACAATGATCACTCTCTGCTTCATGAACTTCATTTATTAAGCCAAGATTGTTATTTCCTAACTGGCCCCAAGAGTTCACATAAGATTTCGTAAGATTCTTAAGCAAAATCAATGGGAGAAAGATCTAGATCTGCAAGGACTTGCATTTTTGAATACAGCATAATTTCTGCCTCTTAGAAGGCAAGCAAGGGGAACTTGAATGGGTGATCTGGCACTTATTTAGATCACTGCTGATAAAGTAAATAGCATTTATCTACACAATAAATAAACTACACCTAAGTTGTCTTTAGGGGACATCAGCTTCCATGGTGCTGTTTCAACCCGACAAGTATACAGTGGTGCCCCGCAAGACGAATGCCTCGCAAGACGGAAAACCCGCTAGACGAAAGGGTTTTCCGTTTTTGAGTTGCTTCGCAGGACGAATTTCCCTATGGGCTTGCTTCGCAAGACGAAAATGTCTTGCAAGTCTTGAGATTTTTTTTTCGCTTTTCGCCCCCTTTATCTAATCTGCTAAGCCTTTAATAGCCTTTAATAGCCTTTTAGCAGCTAATCTGCTAAGCCTTTAAGCCTTTAATAGCCGCTAAACCGCTAATAGCGCTAATCCGTTAAGCCGCTAATAGGGTTGCTTCGCAAGACGAAAAAACCGCTAGACGAAGACTCTCGCGGAACGGATTAATTTCGTCTTGCGAGGCACCACTGTATTCTACTTGATTTATTTTATGGCCTATTGTGCCGTTTCACACCTTACAAATATTTTAGTGCACTGAACATGTTAAATTGTTCTAAGTGACATTTTCTATTTGATTTATAGCAAATACATTATACACTATATTATACAGAGTCCTAGCTCAGTGGCAAGACATATGCTTTGCATGCAAAAGGTCCCAGATTCAATCCTTGGTATATCCAGGTAGGGCTAGAAAAGACTCTTGCATGAAACCCTGCAGAGCTCTTGGGGTGCAAACAACACTGAGTTAGATAGACAAATAGCTGAACTTGGTAGTTAAACATATGTTCCCCTTTGAAATAATCTCGCTTTTCCCTGTGAAATTATACTACTCTGGAAGCATATTTCAAAGGCTCTTTCATAATAAAAGATCATGCTTCAGTCCACAGACTTAGATCTGGATGACTGCACCTTCAGCCTAAAAGTCTGTCTATACTGGCTAAAATGTGACAGAAATGCACCCATACCGCAGACATGAGACACTCAAGGGCAGATTCAGATGGAATTCACCACAATACTGATGACATAATTCATAGCCTTATATCAAGGCTTAAAAAAAAATACAATAAAATAAAATAAGCACAACACAATCACTGCTGTATTTTAAAATTTGCACTTCAAATACCATCTATCAGCACAATGGTTTATTTTAGGTCTCCTAGCCAAACTTGCATTCAGTTACAATGAATTTTGCATAATGCAAGATCCCTTGGCAAGAGACAGGCAATCTCTTCAGCATCAAGCATCATTCTAACACTACTCAAAAGGGTATGAATGTAGCAAGTTAAATGGCTACATCTACACATCTCACTTGAGGTTGAAGTTTGCACACTCATTCGTGTATTTATTCCATGTATTTGTATGTACTTTGTAGACAGGCCAGCAATTGCGGACACATCTTAAGTGGCTATTAACATTCTAATGCACCATATTAACCAATTAGTAATTAACATATATTTGCAATTAATTAGTATTTTTCAATACCTCCAGCATATGCCCATGAACTAAATTACCTGAAATGATGAAAGGACAATTGCTAATTCCACTGAAATAAAAAGTATTTCTTAAAAATTAAGATTTATAACCTGTGAGATTGTTATACTTTCTACCTACCACAACAGTTAGGACAATCTGGATGTAGTAGAGGATTTATTCCATAACCTGGAGTACAACGATTAACCCACACCATTTGCAGAGTGCCTTCAATATAGTAGATCTCAGGCAGCGGTGCTGTCCGTTTCCCAAGAACTTCAACTTGCTGGCTAAAAAATTTCTCTATTAGGTCTTTTGCCTGAAGTAAACAGAAATGGTTTTCTTGGGGAGGGAGAAAATAAAAAGCAATACTTTTCTTATCTAACTAGATAAGAATACAGAATACATTGATATTCTGTACAGTACGGATATTCTGGCAAGTTATCATATTCAGTGCAATGGATTCCTATAGTCTGAGATAATACATAATTTGTTAAAGGTAAAGTTACAGTGGTTTCAGTCTTCCTCTGAATCACACAAGGGGCAGCAATAAACAACCTTCTAACTGTAACTAAATTTTATCTGAAATTTATCCTTCCTGTTTTTATGTATTAATTTCACACATGGAAAAATAAATGTGTTATATGACTAACTGAAGCAATATTGATTTTAGTTATGGGTAGCTCTACAGTTTGACATTGCATAAACAAGTCCAAGGCTCCTCCATTCCTGTCCACCCTTGTGCACTCATGATTCCCCAGAGGCTCCTGGAGGACAGCCTTTACGCTGGGACGACTCCTCTCCTCTGCCTGGACAGGCAGGCAGGGTCTCATGAAGATCCTTGCTGGGGGAGAAGTCATCCCACGGTCCCCAGACTGTCCCTGCCTTTCGAGATGGGCAGGTGGGTTTTTTTTCTCCAGTGCTGAACAAATTCAGTGACCCTAAAAACTTCATTTCTTCTTTGCTTGGATTTAATTTTGCCTTTCTATGGAGTTACTTATTTTTCCTTTTGGAGGGTTTTCTTTGGATTCTACTGAATTTAATTTACTTTTACAGTCCTCCTGCTCCTCCAAGGCTTTGTTCCTTTAGCTTCCCTTTTCCACCTGCCTCGATTCAATGCCGCAGAGATGGCACTAGAGCAGACTCAGGGGAATTTTGGAACGCTCCCCTTTTCCATGCCTCAGACTGCCTGCAAGAGCAAGGGAGAGCTCTACCTCTCTCTGAGTAGCAGAAGCGTTCTGGGTCAAGAGGGACTGAGCAAAGTAAGACAGAGCGATCAGGAGAGACGCACACCAGCTCCACTGAAAATGTGTTTCCCACCTCTCAGCTGTTTTGTTTAGCACAGGGAGCTCCCGTGTGCATGTTTAGCCTGCGCCGTAGTCTCTATCATTGACAAAACCAAAGGACTGCTTTTTAACCTGAGAGTCTTCTTCCGCCTGCAAGCCAACTGCAGATCTGGAGGCTAGCAAGGGGCAGGAGAGCAGTGTGGCCCATGTCCATCGCCTTATTGGCTAACACAGCTGCAGGCACCATCTTGGGCCTTGCCCACAAGGACCCAACTCAATGCACTTCCCTCCTCACCACAGGCCAGAGAACAGGGTAAGAGGCATTGCCCAGCACCCAATCTCCACCATCAGAGGGTGCCCTCTCAAAGGAGGCTGGTGGATATAGCAGTGGAGAGCAGGAGACAGGATCCAGCTGCTACCAAGGCCACTCAAACAAGTACCAGGCACCACTGACACAGCCATCAGAAGGGGAATGTTCCCTAGGACCCAATGGGGCAGCATCCACATGGCCAGGGGAGAAGCTTCCTAGATTCATATCCTGGGTAAGAGGAATAATGACGCAGGGGGCTCAGGGGATAGTAGTGGCTCAACTGGCATCAGCTACCCAAACCTCCACTCCAGCACAGGCAAACTCACCACCCCTCCCCAACTAATTCCCACCCCAAACCAGCAGGAGAGAAGGGGATGGGGAAGAAAGGGCACAAGGAAAACCCATAGCTCAAGAAGGAGGCAACAGAGGGCATCTCCTTTGAGCCCATACTCATCTCTTTCACCATTACTATCACCAACCTGCTCAGTATCAAGGGAGTCCCTCTCATCCTCAGTCCCAGTACCGGAAGAAGGCCACACAGGAACAAGCAGTCTAGGCAGATAAACTGCAGGTCATGCAGTGACAAAGCCATAGTAAAAAGCAGCTTGAATAGCAGGTGGATGGCTAATGCATCAGGCTTGGTCTCATCAGATGATCTGGATCATACCTCAGAGGAGGAGGGAGAGCTTTCAGAGGAGGAGATCGAAGTCACTCCCTACCCAAGGGTAGGCTTTTCACCTCAGAATACTTTTGATCCATGGTAGCCAAGGCGAAGAGGATTTTGGAACTACCCAAAGAGAAGCTGAAGGAGACAGGGGGGGACCAGCACCTGAGGAGGCGGAGCTAAGAATGCCTTCCCAGACAGCCAGCCACACATCTTGGTGCTACCTCCCCCAAATTATTTTCTACAAATGTGACTCAGAATGGGACACTCCTAGCAGAGTTCAGAGATGACCAGAGTGACCATGATTCGGACAGATCAACTTCTGAGGAGGACATAATAAAGCAGATTAAACGCTAGATTTTGATTGCATCTACATTCCAAGCCAACACCTCCAGGGATGCCCTGCAGATGTCAGCCAGAGTTACGGCAGCCAGGACAATCATGAGGCAGTATCTGTATCTACGCATTTGTGATGCCAATCCCGGTTCCCAAGAAAGGCTTGGCAATTCACCCTTTGGAGTTGGCAAGTTATTGGGGAGCGCCCTGGGGAAGGTCTTGGTGGAGACCAGGGGCAAAACAGAAAGCACTGCCAAGGGAAAGGGAAGTGGAGTTCTAACTCCTTCCGCTCACATTGGGACAGATCAGGCACTCCAAGACACGATCAGGCAGGGGGAACAGTGCCTCAGCAAGCCAAGAAAGGGGGCAATGCTCAGTGACACCATGCAACAAATAATGGAGCCCCCTATAGGATGCAGACTCCTACACTTTGCCCACAAGTGAGCAAGGACAACATTGGACTGATGGATCAACTGTATGATTTCCTCAGGATACCCTTTGCAGTTTTCAAGAAGAGAGAAGTTTGTGGGCAACTCTTGCTCCCAGAAAGCAGAGAAGCACAAGGCATACATGAAAGCAAAAGAACACCTAATGAATGTACAAGCAATCAAGCACGTTCTATGTAGGGAGAGGGGTGGGGGTGTCTTCAATTTTTTCTGGTGCCGAAGATCCTAGATCTCAAATGGCTCAACAAGCACATCCAGTATGAACACTTCAAGATGGAGACACTGAACTCCATTTCAGAGGCGATAGAGTGGGAGGACTGGACGGCCTCCATAGCTCTATCAGAGACAGACCCACACACCGCATACACAAGAGCTAAAGGAAACACCTCAGATTCTGCTACAGAAATCTACCTCTGCAATACCGGGCATTATCTTTTGGCCTCATGTCCATGCCAAGAGTATTCAGCAAGGTCTTGGCGGCATTAGGGGCTTACCTCCATACCTATACAACATTCTGATCTGGGCCCTGACAAGAGACAGATGTCAGAGGGATATTGAGAGTACACTGGACACACTCGGAAAACACAGCTTCATGCTAAACATGGAGAAGAGCTCATTGAATCCCCCACAAAACATAATTCACCTGGGAGTACAGATAGCCTCCAAAAAAAAATACCGTCTTCACCTCACAGAGGAACAAATCTAGAAGCTCAGATCTTTAAGCCAACAGAGACGAGAGGCAGAAGAGGCAGACATCATGCTCCTGGCCCAACTTCAAGGCATGATGGTCTCATGCAAAGGATTGGTGGATTGGGCATGCTTCCACAAACACCCCCTTCTTCAGATCCTTCTACCATTTCAGGACCACATCACATCAGCACACCATTTGCAGATAGCAATTCCAAAGTCTATGTGTGAAGAACTGAAATGGTAGCTAACTCCAAACTAATGAAAGGGAGTCAGCCTACAGAATGCCCAATGGAAAGTCATAACCACTAACGCCAGCAAATCAGGCTGGGGAGCTCACATGCAATGCCACACAGCTCAGGGAACTTGATCCAGAGCAGAAGTGAACATGAGCGTAAATTGGCTGGCCCTGAGAGAAGTACACTTGGCAATACTGCAGTTCGGAACTATGATCAGGGGATGCTGATACACTTGCTGATACAGACAATATTTCCGCCAAGGCATATTTGAACTATTGGGGGGATCTGATGGAAGAGGCCAAAAGACTGGTCAAATAGGCAGAAGGGAACATCCTTTCTCTGAAGGCAAAACATGTCACTGGGGTGGAAAACAAAGGCTGGCTCAACCACCAAACCATCAGAAACAGACTGACACACCCTCAGGTATTCCAGCAGCTAGCACAGCTCTTTGGATAACCAGTCATGGACAAAACGCTCAGACAGCAATGTTTATGTCACATTACAATGTTCAGGGAACACAGGGCATGGACACTGGTGACAGAACAGCCAATGGGTCTCCAAAGAAGGTAGTTCCAAAAGAATTGACCAAATCTGGACTACTAGAGGACTGGCACCTAAGGTTAGGAAGGTAGAGATCTGTCCAAAAACATACTCCGACCATAACGCCGTGAGAATGGAGATGAAGTTAACATCTACTGGTTCCTTCCGATGGAGGATGAATGACACCTTGTTTAGAGATCAAGAGGTGATTAAGAAGGCCCAAAAGACATTGAGAGACTATTTTGAGATAAACTTGAATACAGCTGTAGAAAAAAGAATAATCTGGGACGCAAGTAAAGCTGTTATGAGGGGCTTCCTGATTCAACAGAATTCAGTTAAGAAGAGGGCCCAAAATGTAAAAAGAAAGAAAAAATTCTTGAAAAAATAAAGGAGGGCGAGAAGAAACTGAGAGTGAAGCCCAATTCACAAGAGATTCTGAGGGAAATAAAGCTGTACCAAGTGCAGTATATGAAATTGATAAATCAAGAAGTGGAATGGAAAATTAAACAAATGAGACAAAAGACTTTTGAATCGGCAAATAAATGTGGGAAACTGCTGGCTTGGCAGTTGAAGAAACGACAAAAACTCAATACTATTACTGATTTGGAAGCGGAAGGGAAAAATATCCAGAATCCAGAAGAAATTAGGAAATGCTTCCAGAGATATTTTAAACAATTATACACACAAGGGCCTCAGAAAGAATTTGAAATAGAGCAATTTCTGAAAACCAATGGATTACAAAAAATCTCTCAGGATAATAAGATATTGCTGAATTATAAAATTACAGAACAGGAGGTTGAAGGTGCCATTCAGAATATGCAGTTGGGGGCTTCCGGGTTAGCGCCATCGCCGAATGGCGGACTTCCTCCGAGCTCCGGAGGGAGTCTGCTCGGCAGGGGCTGGGTCCTACCGCGCCGGCGACGCGGGGACCCTTAAAACCACGGGCACGGAGTCCGTGGACATGGGTGACTCGGCTTGCACCATTAGCGCCCTCCCGACTCGTGAAGGAGCCTTTTAAAGGCTTCGGATCGGGTGCCGGGAGTGGCGTGGTGCTTGAGTCCACTGCTTTCCCTGCCGGGCGCAGCCGCATGCCATTCGACGGAGTTCGCTGACTTCCTCTATTGAAAATATGGAATAATAACAACAACCCGTGTTGTATTGGGAAACCGGGTTCAAAATTTTGGTTTTGGCACGTGGGGGGGCGTTTTTAAAATGTATTCAATCCCCCCCCCCTATTGTAAGCATTCCAAAACAAGGACTGGGTAACCAAGGTCCAAAGGGAAGTATGTCTCTGATAAAAATCATTAATTTCACGATGGGAAATTATAAGAAATGTGCTGGAGGAGAAGAGTGGAGGGTGAGAAGAAAAATGCTAGCCCCCCGGGGAACCGGGGCGGTTCGTGGAGCCTGGTGAAGAGAGACGGAGACTTTGACAGCTGTCAAAGTGGCTGTCAAAGCTGGAGAATATAAAGAGGACTTTATGAGGACCTTGCTGGTTAATTTTGTTACAATTTGCTATAATATGGATATAAACTGTTGGAAAATAAGCAACAATTTGACTTTTGGATTAGAGGATACAAAGTTATTACAATCGCCCTAGAGGGGTTTCGGGATACTCCAAGAACGGTCGTAAGTGGAAAAATACCCTGGGATTCGCACAGGATTTGTTATCTTCTGGGAAAGCTGCAAAACTGAAAGAGTATTTTGTCTACAGAGGAAGACAATGGAATTTTTATTGAAGAAAGAAAGGGACTGGACGTAAGTTTTTGTTCCTGAATAACAAACCTCTGCAGAGACACTAGATTTCTGAATTAGAAAGTTTTAGCAGCTGAACAGGACAAGAAACCTGAGAAAGTGAGGAATAAGAAGAATAAAGGACTGATTACGACACGGAAAGAACAACGGGAGGAGTGGTAAAGATCAAGGAAATTAAAGGCCTTTGTTAGATTGGACATTTGAAGTCAAATATTATTTAAATTAATAAACTAAAAGAAAACCGGCAAGATGGAATCGGGGAGAAATCTGGTCATGAAATGAGACTTCCAAGCTGATAATGTATAGACTGATGGACATGGGGAATTCAAACCGGGGAAGGGGGGGGGGAGATTTGAAATCCAAAGGCTGTGTAACCATTTTTGAATTTTTCTATATCTCTTATTTTCTATTTCTTTACATCACTTACGCAAGTTATTTTACTTTGAGCGGACGTGTTTAAAAACAAGGGACTTTGTGGAAGGACTTGGGGTGGATCCGGGGGAAAATGTTGTTGCTTGTTCTGTTAATGATGTGGGACGGTGGTAAGATTTGTACAATTCAATCTGGATAAGTGGGTTAAACAAATTAAGCTTTAAATTGGGAGTGAGAGCTTGTAGAACCAAATTAAGGAAAGGGGAATACAATTGGGGGGGGGAGGGGGGGAGTCCCAGAAAGTAGGGAATGAAAGTAAGGTTTTTTAAATATCTTTTTTTTTTTTTTTTTTGTGTTTTTTGTTTTTATTTTTATATTTTTGGAAAATTTAATAAATATGATTTAAAAAAAAAAAACAGAATATGCAGTTGGGCAAATCTCCAGGACCGGACGGTTTAACCTCAAAATATTACAGAACTTTGAAAGACTGGCTAATTCGACCATTAACTGAGGTTTGCAATGAAATTTTAGAGGGGAAAAGAGCGCCAGAGTCGTGGAAGGACGCATTTATTACACTTATACCAAAGTCTGAGACTGAAAAGACACAGCTTAAGAACTATCGGCCCATATCCCTGTTAAATGTGGATTACAAAATTTTTGCTGACATTTTAGACAAAAGGCTTAAAAAGTGCTAAAAGGAGTGATTCATAAGGACCAAGCTGGCTTTCTTCCAGATAGACATCTTTCGGATAACACAAGGAATATAATTGATATTCTGGAGAAGCTGCAAGAGGAGATTAATACTAAAGCAGTTTTGATTTTTGTGGATGCAGAGAAAGCCTTTGATAATATTTCTTGGAGTTTTATGAAAAAAAATCTACAGGGGATGGGGGTAGGCCAAGAGTTTGAAAATGGTATAAATGCAATTTATTCAGAACAAAAGCTAAATTAATAGTTAATAATGTGATAACAGAGGAAATTAAGATAGAGAAAGGGACACGACAAGGCTGCCCAATTTCCCCATTACTTTTTATTTCTGTTCTGGAGGTTTTGTTAAATATGATAAGAAGGGACCATTTGATTAAGGGTATAACGGTCGGAGCGAAACAATACAAACTGAAAGCATTTGCAGATGACCTTGTACTGACATTACAGGAGCCAGAATCTAGTACGAAAAGAGCATTAGAACTGATTCAAGAGTTTGGTCAGGTGGCAGGTTTTAAGCTGAATAAGTTTAAAACTAAAGTACTTGAGAAGAATTTAACACCGATTGAAAAAAGAGAGGTTTCAGAATGAGACAGGTTTAACAGTGGTAAAAAAAGTGAAATACTTGGGGATTCATATGACAGCTAAAAATGGGAATTTATTTAAAGACAATTATGAAAAGTGTTGGTCGGACATTAAAAAGGATTTAGAAATATGGACAAATTTGAAGCTTTCCTTGTTAGGTCGAATTGCTGTCATCAAGATGAATGTATTGCCAAGAATGTTGTTTTTGTTTCAATCGATACAAATAATAGACAAAATGGATTGTTTTAAGAAGTGGCAGAGAGATATCTCTAAGTTTGTCTGGCAGGGCAAGAGGCCCAGGATAAAATTTAAAATATTGACTGATGCTAAAGAAAGAGGGATTTGCCCTGCCAGACTTTAAACTTTATTATGAATCAGCAGCTTTCTGCTGGTTGAAGGATTGGTTACTTCTGGAAAATACTGATGTTTTGGACTTAGAAGGTTTCAATAATGTGTTTGGGTGGCATGCATATTTGTGGTATGACAAGGTTAAAGCTCACAAAATATTTAAAAACCATATTGTCAGGAAAGCATTGTTCAATGTCTGGATAAGATATAAAGACTTACTGGAGAATAAAACCCCAAGGTGGCTATCACCAATGGAGGCAAAGGCCCTGAAAAAGTCCAATATGGAGGCCAAGTGGCCAAAATATTGGGAGATCTTGGAACAAGAAGGAGATAAATTCAAATTGCAGAGTTTTGAAAAACTAAAAGATAGAGTGCGAGACTGGTTGCATTATTACCAAATAAGAGAGGTCTATAATTTGGATAGAAAAATTGGCTTCCAGGTGGAAAAATCAAAGTTGGAAACAGAACTGCTAGATTCCAAAACTAAAACACTATCAAGAATGTATAACTTGCTGCTAAAATGGAATACTCAGGATGAAACGGTAAAATCTGCTATGATTAAATGGGCACAGGATGTTGGACACAACATTATGTTTGCTGACTGGGAACGGTTATGGACCACAGGTACGAAGTTTACAGCATGTAATGCTTTAAAAGAGAATATAATGAAAATGGTGTACAGGTGGTACATGACCCCAGTCAAGCTTGCAAAAATCTACCATTTGCCCGATAATAAATGTTGGAAATGTAATGAAACAGAAGGTACATTCTTTCACCTTTGGTGGACGTGCCCAAAGATTAAGGCCTTCTGGGAAAGGATATATAATGAGTTGAAAAAGGTATTTAAGTATACCTTCTTAAAGAAACCAGAGGCCTTTCTCCTGGGCATTGTTGGCCAATTGGTGCCAAAGAAAGATAGAACTTTCTTTATGTATGCAACAGCAGCAGCAAGGATACTTATCGCAAAGTATTGGAAGACACAAGACTTACCCACTCTGGAAGAATGGCAGATGAAGGTAATTGATTATATGGAATTGGCGGAAATGACTGGCAGAATCCGTGACCAGGGAGAAGAGTCGGTGGAAGAAGACTGGAAGAAATTTAAAGACTATCTACAGAAATACTATAAAATTAATGAATGTTAAATTGAGGTCTGATTGAAAATAATTGGTATTGGCAAAATAAGTTTAAGAGCATGGAATATTTGATTGATAAGGTTGTAAAAATATTTATTTATAAATAGATTAAGTTTGTTGAGTTAGGATAAAGGAAGGAGGGTAAGGATTTGCTGAAAGGAGTCTCTAAATGGAAATACAAGTGGGGAGATGCGGGAAGTCAAAGAACTAAGGAAAGATAAGAAGGTCAAATGAAAGTATAAATTTTTAAATTTTTCTGTCTTCTTTTTTTCTTTCTCTCTTTTTCTTTCTTTGTTATGGATATTGTTATCTTTGTTTTCTTTTTGTCATTGTCATTGTTGTTGTTTTTTTGTCTGTGGAATTTTTGTATTTTTGTATCTTTTGGAATTTTTGTAAAACCAATAAATATTATATTAAAAAAAAAAAAAAAGAACAGCCAATGGGTCTCCTATATGCATTCCCACCATTCAGTCTCTTGCCAAGAATGATCCAGAAGATCAAGCAGCAGAGATTATCCTCATCACCCAACACTGGTCGAGGCCATGGTTCCCAGAACTCTTGCATCTTTCCAGACCAGCTCTGTGGTGACTACCAAACAGGAGACATGTACTCAGGCACTGCTCCATTCCGACCCAGAGCCTTTCCACCTAACTGCTTGAAGACTAAGAGCCCGGGAGGGTCCTAGAAACACTTCTGGCTTCACACATGGCCTCGACTTCAATACTGTGAAGAGGCAAGCAGCAGCCCTGAGCAGCATCCTGGGATGCAAAGGGGAGTTTTCTGTCTTCACACCCACCCTCTGCTCCGTAGGTTTCTAAAGGGGGTGAACCAGAAAAACCCACCAGTAGTGCATAGACTCCCCTATTAGAATTTGAACTGGGTGCTAACAGCCTTAACAGGCTCACCATTCGAGCCCCTGGCAACAACAGATACCTGTCTACTAACCCTAAAGACGGTGTTTCTGGTTGTGATCACATCAGTGAGGAGTTTCAGATAGGAGCCCAATCCTCGGACACCCAGTTATGCATCTTCCACCAGGACAAGGTGGTCTTACAGCTAGACCCTTCATTCCTAAGGTTAATTCCCTATTCCACAGGGCACAAGAGGTAGTACTGTTAGGATAGTTCCGTTCCACCTTAAAAGAGTCAAGAATGATTGTTGTGTATCACATGCCTATTTACGTCCAGCACTGTCTGCTGGGAACTTTCTCTTTTGCTCTGGCTGTTTTAGAATCATAGAATCATAGAGTTGGAAGAGACCACAAGGGCCATCGAGTCCAACCCCCTGCCAAGCAGGAAACACCATCAGAGCACTCCTGACATATGGTTGTCAAGCCTCTGCTTAAAGACCTCCAAAGAAGGAGACTCCACCACACTCCTTGGCAGCAAATTCCACTGTCGAACAGCTCTTACTGTCAGGAAGTTCTTCCTAATGTTTAGGCGGAATCTTCTTTCTTGTAGTTTGGATCCATTGCTCCGTGTCCGCTTCTCTGGAGCAGCAGAAAACAACCTTTCTCCCTCCTCTATGTGACATCCTTTTATATATTTGAACATGGCTATCATATCACCCCTTAACCTCCTCTTCTCCAGACTAAACATGCCCACCTCCCTTAGCCGTTCCTCATAAGGCATCGTTTCCAGGCCTTTGACCATTTTGGTTGCCCTCCTCTGGACACGTTCCAGTTTGTCAGTGTCCTTCTTGAACTGTGGTGCCCAGAACTGGACACAGTACTCCAGGTGAGGTCTGACCAGAGCAGAATACAGTGGCACTATTACTTCCCTTGATCTGGATGCTATACTCCTATTGATGCAGCCCAGAATTGCATTGGCTTTTTAGCTGCCGCGTCACACTGTTGGCTCATGTCAAGTTTGTGGTCAACCAAGACTCCTAGATCCTTTTCACATGTACTGCTCTCAAGCCAGGTGTCACCTATCTTGTATTTGTGCCTCTCATTTTTTTGCCCAAGTGCAATACTTTACATTTCTCCCTGTTAAAATTCATCTTGTTTGCTTTGGCCCAGTTCTCTAATCTGTCAAGGTCGTTTTGAAGTGTGATCCTGTCCTCTGGGGTGTTAGCCACCCTCCCAGTTTGGTGTCATCTGCAAATTTGATCAGGATGCCCTTGAGTCCATCATCCAAGTCGTTGTTAAAGATGTTGAATAAGACCGGGCCCAAGACAGAACCCTGTGGCACCCACTAGTCACTCTTCTCCAGGATGAAGAGGAACCATTGATGAGCACCCTTTGGGTTCGATCAGTCAGCCAGTTACAAATCCACTGAGTGGTAGCATAGTCAAGACCGCATTTTACCAGCTTCTTTACAAGAATATCATGGGGCACCTTGTCAAATGCCTTGCTGAAATCAAGGGAGGCTACATCCCCTGCGTTCCCTTCATCTACCAGGCTTGTCATTCTGTCAAAAAACGAGATCAGGTTAGTCTGACATGACTTATTTTTCAGAAATCCATGCTGACTATCGGTGATCACAGCATTCCTTTCTAGGTGCTCACAGACTGTTTGCTTAATGATCTGCTCCAGAATCTTCCCTGGTATTGATGTCAGACTGACTGGGCGGTAATTATTTGGGTCCTCTCTTTACCCCTTTTTGAAAATAGGGACAACATTTGCCCTCCTCCAGTCTGCCGGGACTTCGCCTGTTCTCCAGGAAATCTCAAATTCCTGGACACGGAGGCAAGCAGTCTTGTTTTTCCTTTGTTCTGAACTACGTTAAATAAAGCTGTAAATATGCTCTCCTGTCTGAATCTTTCATTGTGGAGACACTGTTGAAAGGGTGTGCATGCGTCTTGAAATGTCTCTGAGGCTCGTGTCGCTAATTGACTGATGCTGTTCCACGGGAGACCAGTGATCGTCCGGAGACAACTGGGGGCCTGCCTGATGCCTCCGTCTCTGTGGCAATATCCCAACAAGTACCACAAGAGGCAGTCTTTAGAAATCTGAATCCCTATTGGTCTCATTCAAGTGTGGAGATAATCAGGGGTGTAAAGTTTTCACCTCCTCAATCTCCAGATAGCTCCAGGAAGCCATCTCAGTGTCGACCGGACAGTGGGAAAAACACCCCTGGGAGGGCTGACAGCACATTCCAAGGCGGCGGCGGGGGGCATCAACAGCATTCACTGGGGCCATGGATGTTTCCGGCTGACATCACAATTTATGATGATCGTGCTCTGCTGCCCTCCGGGGCAGTGGAGCTGTTTGGGCAGGGGAAAGACAGGATTTATGAGGTAAATTCCTGGCAAGGCTCCTCAGGAGGTTCTGGGGAGTTTACTGCATCCTGCAGTGTCACTTAAGCCCATATCTGTCACCTTGAAAGGCAGAATGGGTGCGACCTGGGAAGTGTGTCCCTGCCATGGACCAACCTCTGTCTCCGGAATGGTCTGTGATCAGTTCCTCACTAATTTGGAATATTGGTGTTAATTATGAGGCGCTCCTGAAACGGCATATAATAATGGGCTGCAATCAATCAGCTGCTACACACACACACACACACACACACAGTATTTTTCCATGTATAAGACCCTCTATGTATAAGACGACCCCTATTATTTTTAACCCAAAATTAAGACATTAAGTTGTTTAGCTTTTTGGGGTCAGGGAGGTCATTTCCACCAATCGCTCACCCACCTGTCCGCCACTGCTGATTGCACACCTCGCCGCAGCCACCAATTGTCTGCCCACTCACTGCCAAACAGCCCACCTGCCCACTTGCCGCAGCCATCAATCGCCTGCCCGCCTTGCCACAGCCACTCGCCAGCAGGCCTTGCTGCAGCCACCGATTACCCGCCCAATTGCCGCTGCCAATCTCCTGCTTGCCGCTGCCATTAATCACATGTCCTCCCTCTGCATTCACCATCCGTGTTTAAGAAGACACATTCATTCATTAGCAAAAAGCATTGTCTTATACACGGAAAAATATGGTATATAGGCCTTGGACACATGCAGAGCACTAGACACTACAAACTGGACAAATGAGCATCCACTGACGCAGCCTTCAGGAGGAAGGTGCTGCAAAGGGTGGTGCAGCCATAATGCCTCTAGTCAGCGAAGCTCAGGTGGTCCCAGCATAAAGGCTGTCCTCCAGGAGCCTCTGGGGAATGAAAGGAAATTCTTACCATTAATTTCTATTCCCAGAGACTCCTGGAGGACAGCACCCACCACTCTGGGAGAGTCACACATGGCTGGGGATACAACCAAACTCTTGAACTTGAGGTGGACATGAACATCACGAAAGATGCCAACCAAAGCGGGGTACAGCAAAGTACCTGCAATGTGGCAATGTATGGGGAGGGGTTCTTTCCTGCTTGATCAGCTGGTCTGGGGACCATGGAATGACTCCTCCCCCAGCAAGGATCTTTATGTGACCCTGCCTGTCCAGTCAGAGGAGAGGAGCCATCCCAGCATAAAGGCTGTCCTCCAGGAGTCTCTGGGAAGAGAAATTCACGGTAAGAATTTCCTTTCGTTCCCTCTTCCATGGTAAACCATAAGTCCCATTCAGGCATTATTAGAACTAGTCTATAGGCCACAAGAGGTTGTTGGTACCATTCTGAATGCTAAATGAGACAGTTTGCTCAATAGCCTACAAGTACACTGACAAAATGTTTAGCCATTTTTATTGAGTTTCCACTGAAAAATACCAAACATCTTACTTGCATAAAAAATAGCCTAAAATACATAATATACATTTCACACATTTTGTCCATAAGGATTCCAAGGGCACCAATTGATCAGAAGAGATCCAGAATATATTGATATCATTTGAGAGGTATCACTGATATTTTGAAGATAGTAAGTGATGGGGGGGGGGGGAAATCTTTTTTGCATTTAACTTGAGCATAAAAATGGTCATGGAGGCACAGCTTTAGTCTGTCCTCTGCATATATTACACCAAAACTATCTATATCTAAATATGGTTATTTAAATTGGGCATTTAAACAAAGTACTTTATTTCTTAAATAGCCTATAAACTTAGTAAAATTTTTAGCCATGACTGACATGGATAATGAGTAGCGTGCGTACACACACACACACACACACACACACACGTGTAAAACCCAAGGCAACAAAATAATTTAATGTAGCACTGGTGTTCAGTTTGGTTATTCATGTAAAGTTGGACTCAGTCCAGCAAATTTACATTCTCCACACAAAGGAAGTGGGGATGGTCTTGAATACCTGGGATTGAACAATTCTTGTCTACGTTTCTGTGCGATCACACACAGAGCAACCTTTTGAGAAAACCATAGCTTACAGGAAGAGTTTAGTTCATAGCCCAGCACCTAATTGAAGCTTATTTATACATGGGTCCTGTTTAGCGATCCTAATGCACAGCTGTAGGTGCCACTCTTGCATTCCGCGTGAAGGGTGGGGGCTGGGTGCAATTTGCAATGCCTGCAACTCATCTCTTCCCTCCACCCACAGCCCCACAACAGGCAACCAGCAGTGGGAGACAGCGCTAATCACCTGTGTGAAAATGTAGCTATAACTGTAGGAGTGATATGTTTCCACCCACTAGTGCTCAATACAGAGTTCCTTATGGGTAGGCTCACATTGGGAAGACTGATCTGCAGATGGAAGCCCTTTTCAAGATAAGAATTGCTGTTTGGAGTACAGAAAACCTGCAAGTTCACAAATTTCTCTTTTTGAAATGCAAAGTACTATGTGAGAGATGACTTTTGCCTTTCCCTAAGTAAGAAGGAAAACCACTGGTCAGAGTCTTCTTGATCATAGCCATTGTGTGTGACTGCACAGAGACCAAAGAATAAGTTCAATTTATCTTATTCTTTGCTTAATTAATCTGTGTATGTGGATACAGCTTCTGGGTTTCCAATGTTTTTCTAATACTCTCAAGTTAATATTAGAAAATATCATGAAAAAATACCTCATTAGTAGCAATAGCCAGTAATATTACTACAAATTCTAAATAGTGAGAAGTCCATCATTATGACCGGCAGGATATTTGTGGAAAGACTGTATGCTAGGGAACCTCTGCCAGATAAAAGTGTCGTGATGGATAGCTTTTGCTATGTTGTTTCTTATTCAGTGCTTTGTATTTCTCCATATGGATGAATGGTGGTCATTCACCTTTATGGGAAAAAGCAAAGGATTTCAGTCAGAACCACCATTTCATTGGAGCAAAATCTGACATCCTGTAGTCTTTTCAGATTGAAGGAAATTCTGCCCTCTCTCAGCTTTGTAGTTCATTCAGTTTACCCACTATTGCACAATAAAAGCCATGGAGAACTCAACATGCTGCAAGCAATTTCTTCCTCCTTCCATGAACATGCTTCTATTATGCATTCAAATCCATTGTGTGATGCTACTGTATAATGTGTGTCAACAACTGGCTTCTAAAACTATTTTTTGAGGGTGCAAGGACTTATTAGGAAATTTGGAACCATCTTCTCATAACCTTACAATGCAACAGCACAGCTAGATCAGACCAACATCTAGTCCAGCACCCTGTTTTTTTACAGTGCCTGACTAGGTACCTTGGGAAATCTTATAAACAGAACACAAAGACTAAACACCACAGTTCCCAGAAACTTGTATTCAGAGGTCTACTGCCTTTTAACCCAGAGGCTCCACATAGCTAACAGTTGTTGACAAAGCTATCCTCCATGAATGCATCCCATCCCCCTTTGAAGTCATCAAAGCCAGGGGTCATCATTATTACCTTTTTAAACATTCCAATCCCTTTTTAAATGATGAAGAGTTAGAAACAATGGTAAACTTCTGCTGACTTTTATTTCCTTTAAGTGGATCTACACTACCTTTCGTAATCTTCTTGTGACGTCGCATGCACTTTTCTGACACACACTTTTGCCTTTCTCTGTATCTAAAGAAGCAACTGTAAAATAATGTTCTGCTTTACAAGGGAAGCAACACACATTGCACAACATAAAGCATTCATGTTTTCCAAGGTCATTAACTGCATCCATTTAAAACCTTTAAGCCACATTTCTTAATAAATCTCAGGAATTTTATGAAGTTGTTTATTTATTTATATACCACTTGATTGTTTTTAAAAAAGCCCTATTTCTTATTCAAGGGTCACCAACTGTTAGGAATTTTACAATTATATTCTTATACCCATACAACTGAAAGAGGATGTTGCTTTTTCAGGAGTGGAGAAATGTTTGGGCCCGACAGGCGAGTTCTTTCTCTCTCCCACCCTAGTGGGCCAACTATGACAGGTGAGTGAGATTACCCACCTGTCAATCATCTGGCATCATATCGCCACCAGGTAATTGAGAGGTGGGTATTCTTGCCCACCCATCAAAGTTGGAGGTGGGGGAGGATACTGCTCGAACTGGACTGATGTGCAAGCCTATTTTCTGCAGCCACCAGGTATGGGGCAGGTGAGCATGGTTTTGAGAAAGCAGCCTGGAGGGCCTTGTATGACCCACAGGGTGGTTTCCCATGCCTGCTGGAAAACATTTTGCACAAAAGTTAACACCTTAACTTACAACTTCAATGTGTTTTTGCACATTTCTAAGTCCCTTAACTCTCATCTTCATTGTTTTTAAGAAATACATATACATAGTCATACATTTCCTTCCACATACTTTTGATTAGGACTAAGCCCATTCTGATGTTAAATAGGTTAATTCTGCTCTAGCCCAGACATAGAGCTTAGAATGTTAAAAGCAGTGATAATGCAAAACTGTGGAGATGGATCTTGCTACGAAATTAAGACAGTGCTATCGTAAAAAATAAATCAATTGAAAGCCATACACCAATCCTGCAATGGCTTAAAAATGTGGAAAAACTGAGGGTGATATCCAACAGTCATAGTCAGAATAGACCCACTGAAATCAATGCATTTAGTGCACTGATACCACCACCCTGTGTTATTGCTACTAAGAACTAAAATGCTGCCGTACAATAAAAATGACATACTAACATTACTCTTCAGTATCACGTCAGTAACATCATTCTCTGTTTCTCTGATCTTGAGCAACAACTCAATTTGCAACTCTATTTGTACCTTATTTGAGTGAAAGATTTCCGGTATATTCAGAAAATTGAAAGAGCACCCAACTATTTTCAGTGACAACACAGAGACATTTTTTTAACGTTTGAGTCTTGGAATAGTTTCAGGATTGGCATCCATTATGGTCTGTGATACAAGCTGCAATATTTTGCTACTAAAAAGTCTACATGTTGAAGGGCAACTAGATCACTATTATTTTCGTAGCCAAAGATTTGGTTTGGTTCACCCTACGCAACCTTAGCTAAGCCCTGGTGGAGCAAAACGTGTGGAGGCTCCTGGAGAGGAACGTGCAGCTGTTCTGCTCATCCCTGGCTCTTTCCTTGCTAAACACGAGCTGTAACCAGGAACAAACCTTGATTATAGCTCATGGTTAGCGAGAAGAGAACTGACCCATGAGCCCCAAATCAGAAAACAGTTCCATGTGGTGTAACAACAATTAGGACTGAGGCGCAATAGGGCTGCAAGCTCCTTTCTGGGTATGTGTGGACACACTAAGCCGCTGTTTGGAAGAGTTTGGCTTGAGAAGCAGGCCATTATGGGTCAATAAATGAGAAAGTGGTTTTTTAAAAGCTGGTTAAAAAATTTGTTCCAAAGAAACAACTGAAATCTCAAACAGTATGTTCTGATTCACAAAATATTTTAAAATAATCCAATCAATTAACAAAACAGGAAAGTTACCAAAAATGCAGTACCAACTGTGCATTCAAATAAGTTACTTATTATATACACTTTTCAGACAGCATTTGTACAAATAGTGCCTTTCCATGTATCTGGCTGATGGCAGTAAAACATTTTTAATACATGTATCACAACATTTTTTATTCAAGCAATTCTTCAAAAGGCAACAAATTTTACCTGTAAAAGTGAAGAAGATTTCATTTTGCATTCCAGCTCTCTGCATTTTTACATGATGGCATTCTGATTTGCGTAATGCAACCTCACAGGATAGCTCAACGACAAGCTTGGTCAGTATCTGAAGCAACTTCTTCTCAAATGAAGTGTTATAGATACTGTTGCAGGGAGCTGCATGATATCGTGCTGTAAACTCATAGTAAAAGTTAGGGTCAGAGTAAGCTGCAGAAGAAAAACACAAGATTAACATTTCAGCTTTCCCCTTCTATTGATGGTATTATAAAATTATTTGAGTTACATTTTGAACTGTTGATTAACAAACACATGCTTTTATTATACACCTTTTGGTTTTCACGGACGCTTGGAAAATGCCATCCAAGCCAAAGATTACATGAAAGATCCAAACTACAACAGGCACAACCAAGAGGTTAGGCTGTGTGGGTTATTATTTTTCTTATGAACAGTATATCTTACATCAAATTGCTTTTGAAACTTCCCCTAGTTTCAAAAGAAGTTTAGCAGCAGCATAAAGGCCGCTCTTCAAGAAACACAAATCCAAAGAGTTCTTCATCATCCAGGGTTCATGCAGTTCTTCCTATCCAGGCCTACATTACAACTCAATCTCCCAATCTGTTTTGATAAGTCAAGAGAGTTTGGGACTAGAAGTGGAAAGCAGAAATCCCTGTTTAATCACAAAGTACACTGGATGACCTAGAGTCAGTTATGACATGTCAACCTATCCTCCCTCACAGGGTTGTTGGGGGAAGGACCAGGAAAGACCATGTATGTCACTTCGATTCCCTTGGTGGATGGGGGAGATCTAAATGTAATGATAATTGCAGGGAAATGGTACATAAGAATATCTCAGAGACAACTTGTTTTAAAAACGAAGAGAATACAAAAGAATGATTGGTTTTTAACAAGGATGCAGAAAAGGGGAGGTATGGGGAAGTCCGGAAAGTAAGGTTTATGAAAAAATGGTTATGAAATTATACATGTTTATATGTTTGTATGTCGGTGTACTGTGTATTGTTTGTCTTTTTATTTTGTGTTTGGAAAATTAATAAAAATTTATTTAAAATAAAAAAAAAAAAGAATGATTGGTTTCACAAAACAAAAAAGAGTGAAACAGAAGCAGACAGATGCATCTGTTTAGAATGTTTTATTGGAACTCTAATTGTAATTTTAACAACCTTTTGAAAATACCTCTGTACTGAGCAGTCCAACAGACACAGTGCAATGGATATAATGCCTGACTCAGTATGCCCATGATTACAGTGGTTGGTTCTAAGCTGTGTTTCTCATGAGCACAGCAGATCAGAAATGTTCCACCATGCTCAGATTTCTGCTGACAGGTGACATCTACACCTATGCAAGCTCTGGGTCAGATGCCAATTGCACCACAGGGCTGCTCAGCTGCTACAGAGAGCCACAATAATATAAGATCTGCCCAATTCAATTCCTTTCACTCCAATTCCTAGAAAAGTATGAAATAATAAGTTTAGAAGGAAGCAGCAGCAAAACTTTAATTCAAGAAAATAACCAGCTCTCTAGGAAGTGCTGACTACAGCAGGGATGGGGACCCCTACAGAACTCCCGTCATCCCTGATCAATGGCTAAGTCGGCTTGCGCAAATGGGAGCTGGGAGTCCACAGCAAAGGAAAAAAGCCCCCCCCCCCCCGTGCATTCCTAATTCCTAATAAAACATGAACTTTATTTCAGTTGCTTAAAAGTTAGGAAAACTAGGAATTCAGGTATCTGGAATATGCTCCCTGTCAACTCAAAAGTCAGAGAGTGCTTCCTGGGGACACCAACAAAGGCCTTTGCAGACACCATGACGCCCATGGGCACCAGGTTGGTAACCCCCAGTCTAGAACTTCTGATTGAGAAGACTAAAGAAAATCTGTTTGGGATATACCACGTGTTGTCTATCAATGAGAATCAAATGTAAATGGTTTTGATTTTGCTCATTAAGGGTGAAATGAGGACAATGAAGCCCATCACCAAACTCAACTGGGATTTTTAACTATGCACTGATTTCCCCTCATAATTCCAACAAATCCACTAATATTTTTAAAAGGGAAAATGGTTCAGAAATGAAGGTGAATTTCTTACCATAAATGATATATTTGATTAAATAGCTTTTTTCATCTTGTTCAATGGTTGGCTTAAAAACAAGAGAACATGTGTAGACTCCACTGAACTCATTTTTGAAGTGTCGGAATAGCAAAGTTCCTGTTGGTGTTATTTTCACAGTCTGATTTTCTATTTCAAAAAATGTAACAAAGTTAGTTTTACTGAAAAGAAATTACCACCACCCAACTGCTGCTTCATACTGCAACCTTTCCATATTTATTCCAAGGCTAACTACATCTCAGTACCTCATGGATAGTAAAATTATGCATGAACAAGTGATTACACTTTAAGGTCCCAATATCTCACAAATATGTATAGATTTCTGTGAATATTGCTTTTTCTATGGGACTCATTAGTTTTCAAGAATAAAGATTAAACTGGCCACACACATTCCTAACTCAGTGAGGCCTCATACCCACCCAAAAAGGTATTTCCACAACAGCTTAACACACATACACCATTTTTCTAGGAATACCCAGAAAACGCACCGAGAATATTGTTGAAGAAAATGCAATTACAAATTAAGGAAGGTGGATTTGGAATTCCAAATTTGGAATTATACTATCATGCTTATTTATTGACAAGTATCAAACACTGGAGACCTGCTGACGGTTGTAATCTCCTAAGTTGGGCAAGGTTGGAGTATAAATATATAACACCTTTAGTTGGGTGGACAATATTACAATCAAAATATTTGAAAGTTCCAACAAATCTTGAAACAATTAAGCCAGTTAGAAAGATATGGAATATATTCGCTAATAAAAATAAATTTGATTCATTTGCACATGCTAAACCTACTCTGTGAGAAAATCCTATTTTAATAATTGGAAAAAAGATGGTAATGTGGAAAAACTGGATGATAGCAGGTGTATTGACCCTGGACCAAGTGATAGATGAGGAAGACCAATTTTGTACGTACGATGCTCTGAGAGAAAAACACCATCAGCCAGAGGTGGCCCAATGGCAATACTTGCAGCTACAACATCTTTTAGTAACTTTGTTTGGTCCAGCAGCCTTCACAGCATCTGAGACACCTGAATTTTTGGTGCAAATGGATAATTCATTTGAAACTAAAAAGTCAGTGATTACTTTTTAGAGATATTATCAACAAATATGTTTCATACGCAGAGCTTAAGAAATGATTGAAATTAAGAATTGGAATGTTCACTATTACCTAGACAATGGGAAAATGTCTTGGCTTTGGTATCAGATGTATCAGTGGGTCTTAAATTAAGATTTACACAACATAAACTACTATATAGAATCTACTGAACACCCTGACACTTGTATAAGAAAGGCCTATCAAATGTTTCTTTGAAACATATGCTTTTACTATGTCCCACACTTACTAAGTTTCGGGAGAAAGTGCTGGACTATATAAACAAGACACTATGGGAAAATGTAAGATTTTCAGAGGTGCTCTTATATACCCATTGTATCGAAATTGACGTCAGAACAGCAAAAATGGATCCTATGCACCCTAATGGTGGCCAAGAGACTAGTACTGATGAAATGAAAGAATATGATTCCCCTTAATCAATGACTTGACAACATGACAACATTGGCAACATATGAACAGGCAGCTTATAGACAGAGACTTTCTTTGGATAAATACAATAATATCTGGAATGAGTTTACACAGAATATATTAGGTTACTGACAATTATATGTACATTAGGATAATAAGAATATACACATCTGAATATTAATGTATGGTAATGTAAGAGTATTATTTCTTTTTTTTATTCTCACTTTTTTCTTTCTTTTTTCTCACTCTATCTTTTTATAATTGAAATTATCTTAATAAAATGTTAAATAAATAATAAAGATAAAAAAATGAATTGCTGGGGACACAATAGGTAGACAGTAAGTTATCATGTTCAAATAAACACAACAGAGCTAATAGACATCCTTTCACTCATGACATTCTCCCAGGATGCCTCTCCAAGAATACTGAGCTGAGATTTCTGCCCAGAAAGTATCATTGTTCCGATTTATTGGACAATCCTATATTATTAGAACATTGATAACCCCTCTCAAGGAAGTGTAGGTTCAAACTGTCCTGTATCCCACTGGATGAAGAACTGAAAGAAATCAACTTAGATTACAATTTCTACTAAAACCTTCAATATTCAAATTGGTACAATACACAGGCAAAGTAGAATTTGAAGGTCCAGCACATACACCCCATGGCTAAGCAAGCAGAGATGTTGATCCAACAAGAGTCACAGCCACTTTAATCCCATTATATGGGACTGGGGTGGGCACAATTTAGCATGGAAATCAAGACATTCTGACACGATAATTTAATTCCTATGAGGAATCTAAGTCAGTACTATGCAGCTGCAGATTGCAATGAACATTTGAGCACAGGTCTTTCAGGAGGAAGTATGGGACAAAGGACAACAAACAAACAAACAAACAAACAAACAAACAAACAAGCTATTTTAGTTGCAAAACTTTTAGTAGTAATTATTGGAACATCAAGAAGGTTCTGTTTGGCCTAAAGGGAGAGCAGAAAATAAGTTCAAGGGCAAGCTTAAAGAAAGATCAGTCAAAACTATTGTACAATATATATTTTTTTAATCCATGTGAATACAGTCATGATCTCAGACACATTAAGGTTGCCTTAGGCCTCTTAGTCTCTTGGGAGAAGGAAAATCCAAGAATAAGCAAAGCCTCCACCTTGAAATTCCAGATGCAACTAAAGCATATTTAAAAATTGCTTTTGCAATTCCACAATTAGAAATCATTAGGATTGCACATATTCTGTACAAGAAAGGCTTTTGAGAGTCCAAATTACTAAATGAAACTTTTTGTACACCAATTCACTGCCATTATTGGCTATTGGGTTTTTTATTTTCAAATAAATCTCAAGCAAATGAAACTGTCATGTTGTTGGCATCCATCTGTCTGGGGAGGAGTGCACCTTTGCAGGTGAGGTCAAGCTGTTGGGAGATTGCAGCACCTGCTGTGGCTGTAGAGACTGATGCAGGAGAGACATGTTTTGCTGCAGCTGGGGTAGAGGAAGGCATCCAGTTGTGCTGTTGCAGATGCACTATGGCATTTCTTCTCTCTATGCTCCACCAGTGCTCATTTCTCCTCTGGTCACTGCTATGGATAACAACTTGACTGTCTACGGGTACTGCAGTCCTCTGCAAGGGATTTCCACATGGCAGGATTGATGTTGCCAGGCTTCATGCCAAGTTTGCAGACATCTTTGTAACTCAGAGTTGGTTTGCCAATGGGCCTGGGGCCAGCTCACCAAAAGCATGTCCTTGGGGGATCCTGCCATCTTGCATCCTGTGGGCATGACCAAGCCAGCGTAGATGTCACTGAGACAGGAGTGTAAACATGCTCAGAATTTGGGAAAGCACATCTTTGTTTGGAATTCTGTCCTGCCTTGTGACACCCAAAATCCTCCTGACGCAGCGCATGTGGAAGGCATTGAGGCATCACTCCTGAAAGTTTTAAGTTGTCCACAACTCACTTCCATAAAGCAATGGGCTCAACACCTTGATAAAGCCTGGTAGACCTTCATCTTAGTATTGAACATTAGCATCACATTTTCCCATACCCTTTCGGAGAAGCGAGCCACTGCTATAGCTGCCTTGCCAATCCAGCTCAGCCAATACAATTCACTTATGCAACTCCATTGCTAAGGGCAGAAGAATCCAATTCAGTCTTCACTCTGAAGTAGGTCAGTTCAAGTTTATTAATAGTCTGCAGACCTTCAAATTCCAAAACATTGTATTTGATTCCATACAATGGAAAAATGCAAAGAATAATTCACTTTTCATTGGTAAGAATGTACACAAGATGAAAAAAACCAACTAGCCCCCCCATCAATTATGTAAAAGCTGCTAGCCAGATGTCAAGCCTTGCCTAGAACAAGCAGCTAAAGGTGTGTGCTTGGGAGCAGCAAACCTTTCAAGCAAAAACAACAAAATTGACAGAACCACCTCAAGTTTAGAATCTACCCCTAAAATTCACCGTTAGACCCCAGACAAAAGCCATGCCATGGATTTACCAACAAAGTCTTTAAGGGCAGGGCAAAACTGGCTCATATATGTAAGAAAACATTTTAACCAGAATTTATCTCTTTTCGGGGGGGGGGGGGGGAACACTGAAACACTGAGTTCTTTTTCCAAGCGGGGGCAGGGTGTGGGTGGTGTCATTTTACCTCAATTCTAAGCAATTAGAGAGGTTTGGATACAGAGTAGCATGGCTCAGTCACATCTCACTAAACAGTTTAGTACAACATCCAAATGCAGCCAGCTGGACTTAAAAGGGTAAGTAACCTTACCTGTAACCAGGTCACCTCCAGGTCCATGCCACTGAAATATTGGATCGATCAATTCTGAATTTCTCAGACGCTTTGTTACACATAGAATACGTGGACTGTTATGATTCAACCTGACGTATACTTTGACTGAAAATACAGTATAATTTAATCATCAATTGTAGGCAAAGCAAAGTACATCAAAAGTTCAATGGAATTCTACTAATAAAAACAAGGCTATGCTTTAAACCAGGGGTGCCCAAACATTTTTCAAAGAAGGCCAGATTTGATGGAAGTGAACATGCATGAGGGCCGACCAAAGTTGAGCTTTTTTTTAGGATTGAAGAGCTTTTTGGGGCATGTCCCCCCAAGCTTTATTGACCTTTTTAAAGGATTTGACAGCAATAAATGAATGAACTGCCACAGGGGCCTGATAAAACCGGCCGGAGGGCCGAATTGGGCCCCAAAGCAGACTTTGGATATGCCTGCCTTAAGAACTAGCACAAAATAACCCATATATAAACACAGTACTTGTTGCTTCTTGTTATGTGTTACACACACACACACACACACACACACACACGACACAGTACTTGTTGGTTCTAGCTCCTGAAAGCTCTATCTTAAAAGACCTCCAACCCCTTTGCCACCATCTATTTCCCGAATTCTTCCGTTGTCCCCCCCTGTTGTTGTCTTTTTATAATATAGCATTCATCAAGAATACAAACAACAAGTAATGGATACCGGTCACCAGCTACAAAGCGAAATGAGGTGGAAAATAATAGCAGCATGCTAAAATTGTACTTTGGCTTCAGGATCAGTGCTACAAACTTTTCTGTTTGTTTGTTTGTTTTTTTGGAGGGGGGAGGAAAGCTGCACCCTACTTTGCTAAATTCCTACTTATCCTCATGAGGGAGGTTACAATCCCACCGACACCAGCCCCATATTTTTTCCACCTCTCTGACTTCCCCCTCTCTCATATCTATATCTATATCTATATCTATATCTATATCTATATCGGGGAGGCAGCCGCGCCTGCACAATAAGCGATAAAAAGAAGGGTGCTGCTGCTGCTGGGCTTTTCTTCGCGGGCTTTCTGCTGGGGGGGGCGGGCGAGGCAGAGAGCGCTCTGCACATGCTCAGGAGACCCCTTAGCCCACAATAAAACCCTCCCCCCGGACCCTGAGGAGGCAGCCCGGCCTCTCTTGGAGGCTCCCCACCTGCGCCACTCCCGGACGAGGCTCCGCCATTCTCCTCCATGGGCATCGCGCCGCCGCTTTCGACTCGCGCCGGGTTTCAAGCGCCTCGCAGCGCTTCCGGCGGAGTGGGCGGATGAGGGGGAAAAACTGCGCGCTTTCCAAATATCGCGAGATAAAAGCGGCGGCTTCGCGGGAAACTGCCGAGACAACAAATCCCTAGACTGGCAGCCGCCCATATGATGAGGTCTGGCGGGCCAGATTCGGCCCGCGGGCCTTGTGTTTGACACCCGTGCTTTAAACAGAAAAGTATTTTGATTGCAAGATTAATTCTCAAGCCATACGTTGCATCTTCACCTTTTCTTGTGCATTCTGCTCCATATTTAGAAGGTGCCAACCCTGGTGTCCCTTTTTTTTTTTTTTTTTGCCAGGTCCCCAGGATCCTTAGAACCTCAAATAGTCTCTTGACCTCAGAGACTGCCTGGTGAAACCCTTACTCCCTTACTGTCAGGGAACTGCCATCGGACGGAAGGGAGGTGAAAGGGCTCACACAGGTTGGGAGAGACGCAGCAGCTGAAGAGGAAACCAACAGGGAGGTGAAAGGGCTCACACAGGTTGGGAGAGACGCAGCAGCTGAAGAGGAAACCAACAGGGAGGTGAAAGGGCTCACACAGGTTGGGAGAGACGCAGCAGCTGATGAGGGAACCAGCAGGGGAGAGGAGCTGAGCTGGAGGGATGGCTCAGAGACACTTCCAGCGAAAACAGTGGAGAGGTTTCAGGACCTCCTGTAAGAACACCCACTCCTCGCCGGAAACTGTCACGCAGAGATTCCAGAAGACGTGTTTCCGTTAAGGAGCTTTTATGTTGGAAGCGATTACGAAAGCAACCACTGTCGGAATCTGCTAGTGACTAGAGTAGCCATGTCTGAGGGGCTCTGTCACAGACAGAGGTTTGTGGACTTGAACAAACTCTGAGGGGATACGATTTTACGCACAAGCAGCTCATCATCCCATCACAGCATTCCGACAGTCTTTGAAAGCAGCTTGTGCAGGAGAAGGTATCATGAGCAACCCAGCCGGAACCGGAGAAGCAGGAGCTGGAGCGGGTCCAAGCCTGGAAGAAAGGTACCAGATGTTGGAGGTCCAGCTAGCGATGCAGACGGCGAGGCTTGAGGAGAGGAGGGCTCAGGATGCAGACAAAGGGGGAAAGCCACCCATTTCGCCAGAAAGGTACCAGGATTGGTGCAGAAGTTTGGGGGAGCCCAAAACTATCATGGTTTTCGGACAGAAATGCAATATGCCCTCAATCTGCAGTTTGATGAATTCCTGACGAGGAATCACGAGTGGCTTTCGTGATTGAGCATCTTGAAAAGGGGGCGAGAGACTGGGTTAGACCCCTGATGGCAGCGAATAGTGACGTCTTAAAAGACACGATGAAGTTCTTTCGCGCCATGGATCTGATGTTTTCCAGCGATATTGAAAAGGGAGTGGTGCGCAGACAGTTAATGGGTTGCAAACAGGGGAGCCGATCTGTCCGTGAGTACTGGACTGAGTTCACCATGCTTGTTCACAGATTGGGGTGGGACTTATCGGCGGAACCCATTCAAATGCTCTTTGAAGAAGGGCTTTCTTCGGCTGTGAAAGACGAACTTTCCCGGGCGCCCAGGGCGGAGTCTATGGACCAGCTGACCAAATCAGCGCTGGCCATAGGAGCGCGCCAGGAGGCGAGAGCATTGGAGAGGCGGGAAGGGAAAGGGGAACGTTGGAAGGAGTTCCGCATTCCAGACATTCCAGAGCCAACTTTCCCACCGGCAGAGCCGATGGAAATCGGAACAGCGCGCGCGCGCAGTTTCAAAGCCCAGTGAGGGGGCAAAGAAGGAGGGAAAAGGCGCCCGGAAATGCTATCTCTGCCAACAGCCAGGTCACTTTGCCAGAGTCTGCCCCCAGAGGAAAGAATGGCAAGGGATGGTAGGGGCTGTGGATGGAAGAGAGGAAAATATACCGGAGCAAGTAAAAGCCAACGCCTGGCTGCCACTGTCAGGGCACAGCAGCCAGGCCAAAGAGCAGTGAGAGTGCCCACGCCAGAACCTCCTAAACCCGCCCTAGTGATAGAAGTGACGCTAGAGCTGCCAAACGGACACCCTCTAAAGATAAAGGCGCTGTTGGACTCAGGCAGCTCCTGCAATTTCATGAGCAAAGAGTTTGCAGCTGAACACCAGATACAGACAATCCCTTTAAGCAGCCCCCTGCAGGTGACCACGATCGATGGCAGGGAGCTGTTGGGTGGAGAAGTCAGCTTGCAGACCGTCCCAATGATAATGAAGGTAGCAAGGCACACCGAACTGATAGCTTTTAATGTGGCCACCTTGGGAGGAGCTCCCATTATATTGGGGATGAGCTGGCTAGCGTTACATGATCCGCTGGTGGGCTGGCATCAGAGAGTGGTTTCTTTTGGTTCAGCACATTGCTTAGAACACTGCAAAGAGGGAAAGGGTTTGGCAGGGGTCCAAGCCACCCTAGCAGGGACTGAAGTAACAGAGAACGTGAAGGTACCACGACAATATGCAGATCTCCGTGACGTCTTCAGCGAAAGGGAAGCTGACCAACTACCCCGCATAGACCCTTTGACTGTCAAATCAACTTACTCCCTGGAGCACAGCTCCCTGTAGGCAAGCTGTACGCCATGTCAGACAGAGAGATGCAGGAGTTAAGAGAGTTCATTGACAAGAACCTGAAGAGAGGGTTCATCAGAGAGTCCAGGGCGGTGGGGGGCAGCCCAGTGTTTTTGTGGATAAGAAAAACACGAACAAGCCGAGGCTGGTGTGTGACTTCAGGGCCTTAAATGCAGTGTCAGAACCAGTAGCCTTCCCTATGCCCAGGATTGACGACATTTTGACAAGGGTGCGGAAGGGAAAGATTTTTACAAAGCTGGACCTAAGGGGGGCGTACAACCTGGTACGAATAAGGAAGGGGGATGAATGGAAAACCACTATGTTCACCCCTTTAGGGGCATTTGAATATTTGGTTATGCCCTTCGGCCTCCAAGCAGGCTCCGCAACCTTTCAATCGTTTATGAACCACGTCCTGGGGCCTTTGCTTTACAAGAATTGTGTGGCCTTTTTAGACGACGTGTTGGTGTATTCTGAGAATGAGGAGCAGCATGTGAGAGACGTCAGAGAAGTGTTGAGCAGGCTGCAAGCCAACCAGCTGTGGGTGAAACTGGAGAAGTGTCAGTTTCATACCAAGGAGGTGGAATTCCTGGGGTATCGCCTGTCAGACAAGGGATTGGCCATGGATCCCGGCAAGGTCCAGGCTGTGCTGGAATGGAAAGCACCCAAAACAAAGAAGGATGTGCAGAGGTTCCTAGGATTTGGGAACTTCTATCGTAAGTTCATCCGAAACTTTGCCCACCTGACGGCGCCCATTACGGACTGTCTCAGCAGTAAGAAGAAGTTCGTGTGGACTGAGGAGGCGGAGCGAGCATTTGAGGAACTAAAAGGGCCTTCGCCTCGGAACAACAACTCCTGCATGTGGATTTACAAAAACCGATGAGAGTGGAAACTGACGCATCAGACAGAGCGATTGGGGCGGTGCTTCTGCAGCCAGGCAAGAAGGGGTCAGAGTGGAGACCGTGTGCCTTTTTTCGCGAAAGCTGAACAAATCCGAGAGGAACTACACGGTGTATGACCGAGAACTACTAGCCATTCATGAGGCGTTCCGGAGATGGAGGCACCTGCTAATTGGCGCACAACATAAGGTGCAAGTGTGCACTGACCACAAGAACCTAGAGTATTGGAGGACGGCACGAGTGCTCAACCAACGGCAAGTGAGATGGGCCCAGGAGTTCTCCAAATTTAACTTTGAGATTAGTTACGTGCCAGGCCCAGAGAACATTAGGGCGGACGCTCTCTCACGCAAACCTGAATATTTGGAGGGGAGGGGCACCCGAAGAGAGACATGTCATTCCAGAAGACCGCTGGGTGTGTGGGGCGGCATTGGTGGGACAAAGAGAACTGGTAGAGGAAACAGAGAATGATGAATACGCCCAGAATAAGCTCAGAGGTCTTAGGGGTGATGGAGAGGAACCAGGGGTTTCGAGGAAAGAAATGGAGCTTTGTATTACAAAGGGGCACTGTATATCCCTGAAGGAGAGTTAAGGGGAGGGTACTCAAGCAGTTGCACGACAGCCCTACGGCGGGGCATTTTGGACAACACAAAACCATGTGGTTGGTCACCAGGGAATTTTGGTGGCCTAAGGTGAGGGAAGATGTACGTGAGTATGTAAGAGGGTGCGAGCAATGCCAGCGAGCCAAAGGGGAAAGGCGGGCGCCGGCGGGGCTATTAGAACCCTTACCAACCCCAGAACGACCTTGGGAGGCAGTGTCGATAGATTTTATGACTGATCTGCCGAAGTCCAAAGGGAAAACAGCCATCATGGTGGTGGTAGACCTACTAACAAAGATGTGCCACTTTGTAGCTTGCTCGCATGCAGTCACGGCGGAAGAGACAGCGAAGTTATTTGTAGAAAACATTTTTAGGTTGCACGGGGTGCCATTGAGGGTGGTCTCAGACCGAGGAAAACAATTTACTTCCAGGTTCTGGAGGAAGCTCATGAGCTTACTGCAGGTGGAGGTCAATTTTTCGACTGCCCGGCACCCTGAAACCAACGGGCAGGCGGAAAGAGCAAACGGTGTCCTCCAGCAATACCTGAGGTGTTATGTCAATGACAGAGAGAATGACTGGGTAGAAAAGTTGGCGCTGGCGGAATTTGCCTACAACAATGCCGAGAATGTGTCCACAGGGATGAGCCCCTTCTTGGCTAATTATGGGTGTCATCCCAGGGCTTTCCCAGGGGAGAGGGGAGAGATGGAGCGTCCCGGCAGCCGAGCATTTTGTGGAAGAAATGGAAGCAATCCATCGTCAGCTCCAACTCAACTTAGAAAGGGCGAAGGAAGAATACAAGAGGCAGGCAGACAAGAACCGAAGGGAAGGTGAAACCATAAGGGTGGGAGATAGGGTGTGGCTGTCAACCCAAGGGTTGCCGTTCAAAGGAGGTTGTAAGAAATTAAGACCCAGGAGGTTGGGTCCCTTTGAGGTCATTCAACAGGTCAACCCAGTGGCTTTCAGGCTCCGGTTACCCAACCACATGAAACTGCACCCAGTATTTCACAGGTCGTTACTGTCACCGTACGAAGGGGGACGAGAAGGGCTGGCCACTCGGGGACCGGTCGTAGAAGAAAGAGAATGCAGCAGCCATGTGGCAGAAATCCTCGACGCCAGGTGGAAGGGGGATCAGGTGGAGTATTTGGTAGCGTGGGAAGGAGAACCGGAGTCAGAAAACACTTGGGTAATGGCTGAAGATATCAATGACGAGGTATTGATAGAAACGTTCCATCAAAGGTTCCCAAGGAAACCTCAGCCTGTGGAGAGGTTCCGGAGGGAATACTTTGGGACCACTGATGAAGGGGAGGAGTTGGAAGGATTCCCGGACTCGGAAGGGGAAGGGGAGATGGACTCTGAGGAGGAGGTGTACTTCGAGACCAGGAACCGCAACAGGTTGAGAGAAGTGTTCGAGACATCGGAAGATGAAGGAAGTTCATTCCGGGGTTTTGCCTCCTCACCGCCCGTAGAGGAGGGGGCGAGAGGGGGTGAAGGGGGCCCTGGAGGGGAGGTGGATGTCAGGGAACTGCCATCGGACGGAAGGGAGGTGAAAGGGCTCACACAGGTTGGGAGAGACGCAGCAGCTGAAGAGGAAACCAGCAGGGAGGTGAAAGGGCTCACACAGGTTGGGAGAGACGCAGCAGCTGAAGAGGAAACCAACAGGGAGGTGAAAGGGCTCACACAGGTTGGGAGAGACGCAGCAGCTGATGAGGGAACCAGCAGGGGAGAGGAGCTGAGCTGGAGGGATGGCTCAGAGACACTTCCAGCGAAAACAGTGGAGAGGTTTCAGGACCTCCTGTAAGAACACCCACTCCTCGCCGGAAACTGTCACGCAGAGATTCCAGAAGACGTGTTTCCGTTAAGGAGCTTTTATGTTGGAAGCGATTACGAAAGCAACCACTGTCGGAATCTGCTAGTGACTAGAGTAGCCATGTCTGAGGGGCTCTGTCACAGACAGAGGTTTGTGGACTTGAACAAACTCTGAGGGGATACGATTTTACGCACAAGCAGCTCATCATCCCATCACACTTACTTACTTGTGACTTTTTCTCACAAGAACCCCTTTTTGTTTTTATTTCCTAGATGTATGGCTTTTCTCCCTGCACCCACATCTAAATGTCCATAGCATAGTAGTTCCATTCACCAGCCCAGGCAATATTCCCTTACTCCCAGAATCAGTCTCTTTCCTTTCTGGTTCTAATTGCAGCCTGTCTATTTTATTTCTACCTTCCTGGTCTTGTCCTTTCCCCTCTTCTAGCATCTGTTCCCTTCCACAAACACATAGGCAGCTCTCCTACAAACTCAGAACTGTTTGAACATGCTTAATGGCACATGCTAAAAAGCCAACTGGATCCAGTCCTACATACCCTCAACAAAGATAAAACCAAGACTTTCTAAACCATACTAGACACAAGTAGCAGGAAAAAAATGTGTACACGTTAAAGGGGAAACAGGGAAAATCTGGTAATTGTTCTGTCAAAATACGAAGTCACGTGTACAACTTCAAACACCTTTTTATATCATTCCATATTGCTTTGGCCACCTATCAAATGAAAGCAGCACTGTTCAAGAATATGTTTTTGACGCTCCCTCATTCTAAGTTTTAATGTAGTTAAATACTATTTTTAAAAATTTAGAATTATTTTTGGCAAGTATATTATTCTGCAATAGTCAATACCACTCTAACATGGCAATCTTATGCATGTCTACTCAGACATGAGTCCCACTGAGTTCAATGGGCTTCCTCCCAAGTTAGATGTTTAGGATTGCAGTCTTAGTGTCACAGAATAATCATATAAATAGTATAACTGACCTTAAAGAAAACAGTATTTTAAAATCCAGCCATAACATTTTCATTGTTCAAAAGACTTCAAAAGATTAACATGAATGAATTTAAAATATTTACTTTATACCTGGTAAATTGGTTGATCCTACAACTTTCAATTTACTGGAATCTGTACTGGCCGAAGTATGAACTGTCAAAACAGAATTTTTAAAAGTTAGCATAAAAATTCAAGCTTCTTAGGAATAAAAAAAAATGACGATTGATCATAACAAAATCAATGAACTTGAGCAAGTGCCGTATTTTTCGCCCTATAGGACGCACCGTCCCATAAGGCGCACCTAGTTTTTTGAGGTCCTATAGGGCGAAAAATACGGTATAATTAGGCAGTGACTGTAAGAAGAGACATGATAATAAATCATAGGTTATAAAGCAGTGGTCAAGGACCATGGTGGCCCATCCCCCTCCCTTCCCACTTGTCACTTGCTGGCTTTGGAGAAGAACCGACCTTGAATTATGCCAGAGCTACCCATCACATCAAAACTCCAACACAGCCTCAGTGCAGTGCTGTGGATAGAATTTCAGATGTGGATGCTACTGCTGGGATCAAATTCACACACTTTTGGGGTCACTCATTCACTTTCAGACTAAGTAACCTTACAGAATGCAATGTAATGATTCCCATGAAAAGCCGTTTGAGCTCCTTGGAAGGGCAGCATACAAGAACAATTTTTAAAAGTCTGAGAGATTTACTAGAAGAGCTGCTATAGATGGCAAACACATAACAATGATAAATATCATTCTATGGTGACCTCCCTTTTATTCCTTTCTTTATCTGCATTTGGAAAGAGGATGGATCTTCTTTAAAAAAGTAGAGTTGTACCTTGGTTGTTGAACGCCTTGCGACTCAAATGTTTTGGCTCCCGAACGCCACAAACCCGGAAGTGAGTGTTCCAGTTTGTGAATGTTCTTTGGAACCCAAACATCGAACACAGCTTCCGCTTGAGTGCAGGAAGCTCCTGCAGCCAATCAGAAGCTGCACCTTGGTTTTTGAACATTTTCAGAAGTTGAACGGATTTCCCAAACAGATTCCATTTGAAAAGCAAGGTGCAACTGTACTTTAAACATATTCTATTTTCAGTAAAGGGACGTGGGTGGCGCTGTGGGTAAAACCTCAGCGCCTAGGACTTGCCGATCATATGGTCGGCAGTTCGAATCCCCGCGGCGGGGTGCGCTCCCGCTGCTCGGTCCCAGCGCCTGCCAACCTAGCAGTTCGAAAGTACCCCCGGGTGCAAGTAGATAAATAGGGACCGCTTACTAGCGGGAAGGTAAACGGCGTTTCCGTGTGCTGCGCTGGCTCGCCAGATGTAGCTTTGTCATGCTGGCCACGTGACCCGGAAGTGTCTTTGGACAGCGCTGGCTCCCGGCCTCTTAAGCGAGATGGGCGCGCAACCCCAGAGTCGGACACGACTGGCCCGTACGAGCAGGGGTACCTTTACCTTTTTTATATTCAGTAAATAAATTTCCCTTTTTTTAAAAAAATAATTTTTATTAACCGACCAATCAAATCAAATCAAATCACATCACATAAATTTTGAATTACAAAGCCGAATTTTAAATTTTTGTTGAGGGGACCCATATTTCAAGTTCCGAAGGGGATTCCCATCAACTTCTTGCTGCTGCGTTAATATCCACAAATCTGTCCAAATAATGTCCATAATTCTATCCAGTCCTATCTTGCTGTTCTCACATCTCATCTTGTTCATATATTTTTCTTTTTTTCTTTATGATCTCTTCTGATAATCTCCTTAAGCAGGTAAACACCAGTTTTAATCCTGTGTGAATTTTCCGTTCGTCCAATCATCATATCGAGATGGTTTCCACATATCTTCACTTTCATAAATAACAGTACTCTTTCCATCATCAGTCTCGCATCTGTCGCCTTCTTTAGTCCCTCTGAGGAGGCTCACCCACAATATGAAAACAGATCTATCCCTCCTCCCAGACATAAGTCTTTCAACAGAGCTTGCCAAAATGGCGACACTATTTTTTGCTGCATCATTCCAAAGCTCTTATACTTTCCACAGTCTCCTTAAAACATGCTTTGGTTAGAAAATTATCTCCACACAGTCTTAAATCCTCAGCTTAAGTCATTTAAACAGCATTTCTGACTTGTGGGGGGAATTCTTGGTTAATCACATAGAGAAAAGAAAGTCGTCCCCCCCATCCAGTCCCGTTGCCCAACATACCGAGCCTTGGTGTGTTTTCTAATGATTTATTCCTGTTCCTCCGACCCGTCTTGTTTCTCAGAGATCTCTTCAGTAAGCAGTCTTTACTCCCCCTTCTTCCTTTAAATATGGGCATTAGCTTCCTCCTAATTGTTTCTTTTGAAGTTGCTGCAGCTAGAGGCGCGGATCAGAGACAGCGTCCAGGAGCGCCGAAGTCCGCACAAGGGCTTTCTGCCTAGTGCCCCACGCCCTCAAATTCGGGGGTGGTATAGGGCACAGCAGGCAAGGGCAGTCCCCCCCACCCACTTGTGGGGGCCGGGAGGCTGTTTACTCCCATCACAGCCTCTTAATTACCTCGTGTGGGTCGGAGAGATGTTATTGTCAGCCATCTTCCGATGCGCCCCTAGTGGCCCCTCCTCAGTAAATAAATTTCCTATTGCAAAGTGCAAGATGCTCTCAGCAAAACTACCAAAGCTCCTGATTTTACAAGCGTCAAACATGAAGAGATCTGATCTAGCTAAAGAAAAGGTTTGCAATTATGGATAAACTCTGAAATTAACAGGAAATCCCATATGGCCTTTGGCACAATAGGCTTGTGTGCTTAACTATGTGTTAACCCCAGACTAATCATTGGTTTGTCATGGTTTATCTACTAGTTAATATATTAATGTGAAAGATACTGCTTTATTTCTTTTTTCTAAAACTCTATGTTTATATTAAAATAGATCTTTGATACTGAATATTCAACACATTTAAGATTTCACAGCACTTACTGAATCACAATTCTGTATTATTGAGACAGCAAACTTTAATAAATGGATTAATAAATAAGACCCTTGTATTAATGTTTCTGGAATTGAAATTTTAAATCTAATTAATATAATTATTTGTATATTTCCTTGGGTGTTATTTACAGGAGAGAATTATAGCGGTGATATAAATATTTAACAAGCAACTAGTTACATGGGAATAAGCCAACTGAGCTTAACAGGATTTATGAGTAGATGTGTTTTTAGGGACTGCACCATAAAGGGCAGGGGGCTAAACAAGCAAAACATCAAAACACTTTTAGAACTCTATCATTTGAGTAGTGATTTCTTCTAAGCCTAAAACCACAAAACTTCAACAAGTTCTTACATCTTGGAAGTTTTAATCTAATTGCTACCAGAGGCAATGTGATCCCATCTGATAAAATTAACTTAAGGTAAAGGGACCCCTGACCATTAGGTCCATTCATGGCCGACTCTGGGGTTGCGGCACTCATCTCGCTTTATTGGCCGAAAGAGCCGGCGTACAGCTTCCGGGTCATGTGGCCAGCATAACTAAGTGAACCAGAGCAGTGCACGGAAACGCCATTTACCTTCCCGCCGGAGCGGTACCTATTTATCTACTTGCACTTTGACGTGCTTTCAAACTGTTAGGCTGGCAGGAGCTGGGACTGAGCAACGGGAGCTCACCCCGTCGCGGGGATTCGAACCACCGACCTTCTGATCAGCAAGTCCTAGGCTCAGTGGTTTAACCCACAGCGCCACCCGCATCCATAAAATTAACTTAATTTGTCCTTAAAACTTCTGGATCCATTGCATATAAAATTGAGTGTTTGTTAAACAACAAATAGGTAAAGGTAAAGGGACCCCTGAACATTAGGTCCAGTCGTGGCCGACTCTGGGGTTGCGGCGCTCATCTCGCTTTATTGGCCGGGGGAGCCGGCGTAAAGCTTCCGGGTCATGTGGCCAGCATGACTAAGCCGCTTCTGGAGAACAAGAGCAGTGCACGGAATCGCCGTTTACCTTTCCGCCGGAGCGGTACCCATTTATCTACTTGCACTTATAATAACAAATATAAACAACAAATAACATCATATAATTATATTATATTATACTATATTATAATATAATAATATACATATAATATAATATATATAATATATTATAATATATATAATATATTATAATATATAATATTATAATCGTATTATATAAGCAACAAATAACATCAGTCCAAATATGAAAAGTGGTTTTGGGGTTTTTATTTTGAGCAACATACCTGTGCTTTTCCAGCATCCTGAGCTTGATCTATTATTCAAGCTACTTTCATCCCATCTGTTCAATATTTCTTAGTTTTTAGTTTCAGATTTTCTGAACAGAAAAAACATGCAGTAGCTAGAGCCACAAGATGGAGCACTTTAACTGCTAATACAAAATACAGGCCAACCAAAATGGTCAAAGGCCTGGAAACGATGCCTTATGAGGAACGGCTAAGGGAGCTGGGCATGTTTAGCCTGGAGAAGAGGAGGTTAAGGGGTGATATGATAGCCATGTTCAAATATATAAAAGGATGTCACATAGAGGAGGGAGAAAGGTTGTTTTCTGCTGCTCCAGAGAAGCGGACACGGAGCAATGGATCCAAACTACAAGAAAGAAGATGCCACCTAAACATTAGGAAGAACTTCCTGACAGTAAGAGCTGTTTGACAGTGGAATTTGCTGCCAAGGAGTGTGGCGGAGTCTCCTTCTTTGGAGGTCTTTAAGCAGAGGCTTGACAACCATATGTCAGGAGTGCTCTGATGGTGTTTCCTGCTTGGCAGGGGGTTGGACTCGATGGCCCTTGTGGTCTCTTCCAACTCTATGATTCTATGATTCTACTAGTAGTATAAATAAAAAAACTGATTTATAGAGTATACATCAAACTTCTTTGAGCATGTTTTCAGTACACATCGTCTATTTATTTATAAATGTACTGATAAAAAAGCTCGGTAATGCACCAACGTTATGCATACATGTTTATTTTTAAACGTTATGTTATTTTTTTAATTCTACAAAAAGCTTTTTAAAAAAATCATCAAAGTTCAGAAACAGTATAAAAGACTGAAAACCAAAACAAAACCAGTTCTTTAAAATTTAGAACATTTTCCTTGAGAAAAGAAATATAATTAGAAAGTTCTTATGACAATACTCAAGGAAAAATATATTAGAAAAGTGTTGTAATGTGTTTTTGGAACCACTTTGAAGATACAGAGATTTTGAATAGATCTTACACTTTCTCTCTAAAAATACCAATATGCTTTTTATATTTATTCACGGTCCACAGTATACTACTTACTGACCTGGCTCACATGTAATGCTAAGATAAACCATGGTTTACAGCTAGTGGCGTCTCTGGAGGAGATAAATGATGAGCCTGGGTTCAGATGACAGGTAAGGCAAACCATGACTTACCTGACAGCAATACAGCATGACTAGTGGAACACATTGGCTGCAATCTGTTCTCTGGGAACCTGTACGTCTGTGGGAAGTCATGGTTTGGCTTAGTTTATGTGTGAACTGAGCCACAGTACAGTATAGCACATGATATAAGACAGTAATTGTCAGAGGGGTTTCAAACCTGATGCATGATTTTAAACTAAACTTAAAACAATCCAGGTGACCGTGTGTAAGAAAGTATTTCTTATAAGTTTTTGTTTATTTGAGTGTATATAGCAATATAAGGTAGAGGAAAACAAGGACTGACTGATTTGATTTGGGTAGTTTGGGAAGGGAAGCAGCTATAGCTCAATGTTTCCCAGTTTCCCAGTTTGCAAAAAGTTTCTGTAAGCTCAATTACTTAGAAGAAAAGTAGAGTTAATGTGGCAGGGAATTGTTATACCTGACATAAAGATATATTGAATGTATATGTTGTTCATGAAGATGTCAGTCAGGATATTTATAAATTTACTTAAATTTGTGTACAACCCTTCAATTGAAGATCACAGATGGTTCATAAATTAAAAAAACAAAATGAGAACACAAAATACACAGTAAAAAAGCAAATCAATAACCCATTTCCCATGGTTGTAGGATGTTATTCAGCCAAAGGCCTGGTTATAGAGAAACATTTTCACATGGCTTCTAGAGATACTGGTATGTAATGAAGGCCTACCAGTCAAGCCTCCCATTCACAATTACATTATTTGATTATGCAGGGATTTCCAAACTATGGGGACAAACGGGCACATTTTACATTTTAAGTAAGTGTCATGACACCAGTCCCAACATTAGAAAGAGTGCAACAGCCCACTGCTAACGTAAGTCAGCTATGTCCTGCTGGTTCTGATTGTCGAGATCACTCCTTATTGATGTTTTCCACACACAATGATGCTGTTATCTAATAATAGGAAGGGAAAATATACCTAGTGGCCACACCATGCTTTCTTGTACATATGTGAAAAATAAGTCATGTCAGACTAACCTGATCTCGTTTTTTGACAGAATTACAAGCCTGGTAGATGAAGGGAACGCAGTGGATGTAGCCTACCTTGATTTCAGCAAGGCATTTGACAAGGTGCCCCATGATATTCTTGTAAAGAAGCTGGTAAAATGTGGTCTTGACTATGCTACCACTCAGTGGATTTGTAACTGGCTGACTGACCGAACCCAAAGGGTGCTCATCAATGGTTCCTCTTCATCCTGGAGAAGAGTGACTAGTGGGGTGCCACAGGGTTCTGTCTTGGGCCCGGTCTTATTCAACATCTTTATCAACGACTTGGATGATGGACTCAAGGGCATCCTGATCAAATTTGCAGATGACACCAAATTGGGAGGGGTGGCTAACACCCCAGAGGACAGGATCACACTTCAAAACGACCTTGACAGATTAGAGAACTGGGCCAAAACAAACAAGATGAATTTTAACAGGGAGAAATGTAAAGTATTGCACTTGGGCAAAAAAACGAGAGGCACAAATACAAGATGGGGGACACCTGGCTTGAGAGCAGTACATGTGAAAAGGATCTAGGAGTCTTGGTTGATCACAAACTTGACATGAGCCAACAGTGTGACGCGGCAGCTAAAAAGCCAATGCAATTCTGGGCTGCATCAATAGGAGTATAGCATCTAGATCAAGGGAAGTAATAGTGCCACTGTATTCTGCTCTGGTCAGACCTCACCTGGAGTACTGTGTCCAGTTCTGGGCACCACAGTTCAAGAAGGACATTGACAAACTGGAACGTGTCCAGAGGAGGGCAACCAAAATGGTCAAAGGCCTGGAAACGATGCCTTATGAGGAACGGCTAAGAGAGCTGGGCATGTTTAGCCTGGAGAAGAGGAGGTTAAGGGGTGATATGATAGCCATGTTCAAATATATAAAAGGATGTCACATAGAGGAGGGAGAAAGGTTGTTTTCTGCTGCTCCGGAGAAGCGGACACAGAGCAATGGATCCAAACTACAAGAAAGAAGATTCCACCTAAACATTAGGAAGAACTTCCTGACAGTAAGAGCTGTTCGACAGTGGAATTTGCTGCCAAGGAGTGTGGTGGAGTCTCCTTCTTTGGAGGTCTTTAAGCAGAGGCTTGACGACCATATGTCAGGAGTGCTCTGATGGTGTTTCCTGCTTGGCAGGGGGTTGGACTCGATGGCCCTTGTGGTCTCTTCCAACTCTATGATTCTATGATTCTATGATTCTATGAACAGTACATACACAGACAATACACACACATACTTCTCTTTTTTGCTCTGCCCAAGAGAGAACAACATCCCCTTCAGAAAAGTCCATCAAAAGAGTAAAGGAACTACCTGCCAAAAGCTCCACATGGCTAGTGGGCAACCATGCTGAGCAAGTAAGGCTATCCCTATATTGCCCCCCAGTGGAAAATAGGCCCTTTGTGGGGAAGAGGAAGTGCCTGCCAGAAGCTCCACATGGCTGGTGGGCAACAACAGCTGAGTGATGATAGATGTCCCCCAGTTGCCCTGAAAGGCTTCCGCCATGGCACCCGCAGGCACTGGTTTGGGACTTCCAGTTTAGGCCAATTGAGAGTCTCTTTGAAGTCTTTGGATGATATAAATGTAAAATTTAAAAAAAATACACCCACTATGTCCCTTGTCCGTCTATTCAGCAGGAAGAACCTTGTGGACATAGCTGAAACCCATTGCCGGCACATAAGGATGCTTGACTCAGGACCTGGTACAGTTTTATTTACTAGAATAAAGTTTTACCCCACGTAACATGTAGGACTTTCTGGGTTGTGAGCTCTATGGGTGCAGCAGCACAGGCATGACCAGTGTTTGTAGGCAGGAAAATTTGCCCTACATGTAGGGCAAGAGGAATTAACTGGCAGTCCTCCAGATGTTGTTGGGCTCCCAATACCCACTAGCCTCAGCCAGCATGACCAATGGGCAGGGCAAAGGGAGCTATACTATAGCCCAACAGCACCTGGAAGGCCACAGGTTAATCAGCCACTGACAGAAATACCGTTTTTTTCCATGTGTAAGACGATGCTTTTTGCTTTAAAAAATTAGGCAAAAATTGGGTGTCGTCTTATACACAAATAATAACAATAATAATAATAATAATAATAATAAATTTTATTTATATCCCGCCCTCCCCAGCCGAAGCCGGGCTCAGGGCGGCTAACAACACTAAAATAATGCAACATTATAAAAATTAATTAAAATCAAAATTGATGGCAACTATAAACTAAAGTTTTGTAAAGATTGCCAAAGGAGGGAGTCAGGCTGCGCCCTGACTAAAGGCCTGGTGGAACAGCTCTGTCTTGCAGGCCCTGCGGAAAGATGTCAAGTCCTGCAGGGACCTTGTCTCTTGTGACAGAGCGTTCCACCAGGTTGGAGCCACAGCCGAAAAGGCCCTGGCTCTAGCTGAGGCCAGGCTAACCTCTCTGTGGCCTGGGACCTTCAAGATGTTTTTATTTGAAGACCGTAAGTTCCTCTGTGGGGCATACCAGGAGAGGCGGTCCCGTAGGTATGAGGGTCCTAGGCCGTATAGGGCTTTGAAGGTTAAAACCAGCACCTTAAACCTGATCCTGTACTCCACCGGGAGCCAGTGCAGCTGGTATAGCACCGGATGAATGTGATCTCGCAGCGAAGACCGCGTAAGGAGTCTCGCTGCAGCATTCTGCACCCGCTGGAGTTTCTGGGTCAGTCTCAAGGGCAGCCCCACGTAGAGCGAGTTACAATAATCCAGTCTGGAGGTGACCGTCGCGTGGATCACAGGGCGAGAGAGGTAAGGAGCCAACTGCTTAGCTTGGCGGAGATGAAAAAATGCCGCCTTTGTTATAGCTGCAATCTGCGCCTCCAGGGAGAGGGAGGTATCGAAGATTACACCCAAACTCTTAACGGACAGTGCTGGCACCAATTGCACCCCCGCAAGAGATGGGAGTTGCCCCCTCAATCCCATATCGTCCCGTCCCAGCCAGAGGACCTCTGTCTTCGAAGGATTTAACTTCAACCGGCTCCCACGTAACCATCCAGCCACAGCTTCCAAGCATCTGATCAGTGTGTCTGGGGCCGAGTCAGGATGGCCATCCATCAACAGATAGAGTTGGGTGTCATCAGCATACTGATGGCAGCCCAGCCCAAAACTCCAGACATAGTGAATGCAGAGGGGGGATGTGCGATTAATGGCAGCATCAAGCAGGAGATTGGCAGCAGCAATTGGCGGCTGCGGCCAGGCCTGCTGGCAATTGGTTGTGGCAACTGGGCAAGCGATTGGCAGCTGTGGCGAAGTGGGCAGGCGATTCGCAGCTGCGGCAAGTGGGCTGTTGGTGGCGGCAAGGGGGCCATTGGTTGCTGCGGCGAGGTGTGCAATTGGGAGTGGCAAGCGATCAGCAGTGGCAGGCAGGCAGGTGAACGATTGGCAGAAGTGACCTCCCCCACCACCCCCAAAGCTAAACAACTTAATTTCGGGTTAAAAAAAATAAGTGTCATCTTATACACAGAAAAATACGGTATGTGGGGGGATGAGCTCTTAGGCAACTATTTACAAAAAGGCAGCAGTCTACTTGTCCTGATAACCATAAACCAGGCAAGGAAATCACAGAATTAATGAGTTGGGAGTCACCTACTAGTCCAACCCGCTATCAGTGCAGGATATGCAATCCAAGATTGCATTATTATTATTATTTTACTTGTCCATATGACTGGGTTGCTGAAGCCTGACAGATGCCTGTTGAATCTCTGTTCAAATATTTTAAAACTTTCAGAAGAGGTAACCACCTCATGCAGCAGTTTCACTGTCAAGCAGCTCTTACCTTTAAGTTCCTTCTAATCTTTAGCCAAAATCTACTTCCCTGCAATTTCCACCTATTCTATTCTATTCTATTCCTATGCAAAAGCCTTTGACTGTGTCGACCACAGCAAACTATGGCAAGTTCTTAAAGAAATGGGAGTGCCTGATCACCTCCTCTGTCTCCTGAGAAATCTCTATGTGGGACAAGAAGCTACAGTTAGAACTGGATATGGAACAACGGATTGGTTCAAAATTGGGAAAGGAGTACGACAAGGCTGTATATTGTCTCCCTGCTTATTTAACTTATATGCAGAATTCATCATGCAAAAGGCTGAGCTGGATGGATCCCAAGCCGGAATTAAGATTGCTGGAAGAAATATCAACAACCTCAGATGACGTAACCTTGTTGGCAGAAAGTGAGGAGGACTCAAAGAACCTTTTATTGAGGGTGAAAGAGGAGAGCGCAAAATATGGTCTGAAGCTCAACATCAAAAAAACGAAGATCATGGCTACTGGTCCCATCACCTCCTGGCAAATAGAAGGGGAAGAAATAGAGGCAGTGAGAGATTTTACTTTCTTGGGCTCCATGATCACTGCAGATGGTGACAGCAGCCACGAAATTAAAAGCTGCCTGATTCTTGGGAGAAAAGCAATGACAAACCTAGACAACATCTTAAAAAGCAGAGACCTTGCCAACAAAGGTCCGTATAGTTAAAGCTATGGTTTTCCCAGTAGTGATGTATGGAAGTGAGAGCTGGACCATAAAGAAGGCTGATCGCCGAAGAATTGATGCTTTTGAATTATGGTGCTGGAGGAGACTCTTGAGAGTACCATGGACTGCAAGAAGATCAAACCTATCCATTCTGAAGGAAATCAGCCCTGAGTGCTCACTGGAAGGACATATCCTGAAGCTGAGGCGCCAAGACTTTGGCTACCTCATAAGAAGAGGAGACTCCTTGGGAAAGACCCTGATGTTTGGGAAAGATGGAGAGCACACAAGGAGAAGGGGATGACAGAGGGTGAGATGGTTGGACAGTGTTCTTGAAGCTGCCAGCATGAGTTTGACCAAACTGCGGGAGGCAGTGGAAGACAGGAGTGCCTGGCGTGCTCTGGTCCATGGGGTCACGAAGAGTCGGACACGACTAAACAATAACAACATTATATTCCTGTCCTTTGAAGCAACAGAAAACAAATATTTTCAATCTTCTGTTGTAACAGCCCTTGAGAGATTTGAGGACTGCTATCATGTTCCTCCTTAAATTTCTCTTGTCCATGCTAAACATGTCAGCTGTTTCTCATAGGACTTGGTTTCCAGCCCCCCACCCCCATCCTGATCACCCTTCTCTGGACCAGCTCCAGTTGGGTAAATGTCCTTAAAATGTGGCATCCAAAACTAGACACAGTACTCCAGAAGCAACCCGACTAGCATAAATGGAGTGCAACTATTATGATTTGGTCACAATCTGCCCATTAATGGAGTATAAGTTTTTCAAGTTACAGGTAGGTAGCCGTGTTGGTCTGCCATAGTCGAAACAAAATACAGTGGTGCCTCGCAAGACGAAATTAATCCGTTCCGCGAGTGTCTTCGTCTAGCGGTTTTTTCGTCTTGCGAAGCAACCCTATTAGCGGCTTAGCGGATTAGCGCTATTAGCGGTTTAGCGGCTATTAAAGGCTTAGCGGCTTAGCTGCTAAAAGGCTATTAGCGGCTTAGCGGCTTAGAAAAAGGGGGGGGAAGCGAAAAAAAATCTCAAGACTCGCAAGACATTTTCGTCTTGCAAAGCAAGCCCATAGGGAAATTCGTCCTGCGAAGCAACTCAAAAACGGAAAACCCTTTCGTCTAGCGGGTTTTCCGTCTTGCGAGGCATTCGTCTTGCGGGGCACCACTGTAAAAAAATTGCTTCCAGTAGCACCTTAGAGACCAACTAAGTTTATTGTTGGTATGAGCTTCCGTGTGCATGCACACTTCTTCAGATACCAAGTTTTTCAAGTCATGCTTCAGCTTATGATTAGCTAAGATACACACTGTCTTCATTTACATAATGCTAAATCAAGGTGTGATATGTTTAAACACAAGCTCTAGCATTCCTCTATTTGTCCACCCAAGAGCAACACAACCATGAACTTGGCTTAGCCGGATATCCAAATCAGTGTTTGTGGTTTGTTTCTCTCCAAACCACAATGTAAAGCCAAGGTTTGTTCTTGGGTTTCTGAGACTTGTGGGTAGAGGGTGGTATAAAAATTTAATAAATCACCTTCCTTTCTTGTTATCGCTCCAAATACAATATAGTGCTTTCTTAGCATTTCTAACAAGAATCAGGTCTTGGTAGGCTTATTGTACCCATTTTTTGTTATCTGGCCCACCACTTTCTATTACCTATATACTGCTCTGAGATTTTCAGATGAAGGGTGGTATATTAATTTAATAAATCAATAATATATTGCTCTTTTTTAAGCCTTGACTTCTTGAGAGATCCTCCTCTCTTTTGAAATAGTTTGCACCCACACTTCCACCATTTCACTGTTCAGAATCCCCAAGTCCCCGTTTTCTCTCTCATGGCATCCTCCTTACCATCATGAACAACTGCGCGAGTATTTTTGGGAGGAAGTTGGGGAAATACATATGGGAGCAGATATGTTTTGCACTAAACAAACGCGAGTAAATGTCTGCGCGCTCGCCTCCTATAGTTATAAATGTCAGAAACCTTAATTCAAAAACAAAGAAAGGTTGGCAATCTCAGGATCGGGGCGCACGATGCGCACTTTGTGCACGTTTTGAGGAGAACCTGATACGCAAGGGGCGCGCCTCAACAGGAGGGCCGGCTTCGCCTGAAGCGCCTCCCCCGCCGCCCCCTCACCTGAGGCGAGGCCCTGCAGCACCGAGAGCGCCACCACCAGCAGCGGCGCGCAGAGGAAGGTGCGAGGCGGCGGCGCGAGCCTCCTCCGCCGCAGGCGCCGCATTTCCCCCGCCGGAAAAGGCGCCTCCTGCTGCCGCTCGCGCTCCTTCCCCAGCGAGGTCGTTAACCGCCGGCCTTCGACTCCCCTCGTCACAATGGCCGCCCGAGAAGAACCGCCGCCGCCTCGGGGTTCGGCGCAGCCGCAGAGCAGTGGCGGGCTTTCCGCCTCGCGCCTCGCGCCCCGCCCTCTTTCTCGCCCGTCTTAGCGCCGTTGGTCTGCGCGCGCCCGCACGCGCTCGCCTCGGATTGGTCGGCTTGGCCTTTTTAACGCGGCAGAGGCGCCCCAGAAAGTTCCGCTCTGGCCTCAGGCGGCTGCGCCCGAAGCAGAGGCCTTGCGGTCTTCCATGAAGGGCAGCATATCAACTGAATGGAGGAGGAGGAGGAGGATATTTGGGGGGGGGGGACCCCTGGGTCCAGCAAGTGTTCAAATACAAGCCAGGTGCTGGCCTGGGTGATGGGCCGTTAAGGGAAGGAAGGAAGGAAGGGGTTCTTTGCAGATACCCTCCCTCAACTGTTAGCTAAAAAGGACAAAAAGAAGACGAAAGGGCAGAGGAGAGTGATGTGAACTAGAAGTGGGAAACAGCAGGCTGGGAAGGGAGGGAGCCACGGCGGCTGTCTGCTGGAATCCCAGGCTGCAGCTCTGGGGGAAGCAAGACTCTTTTGGGGTGTTAATGCTGTCAGCCCCTCCATCATAGACTCAGGTTGCGTACAGTGGACACAAGTTGCGAACGTGATCCGTGTGGGAGGCACATTCGCAATGTGCTGCATCTGCGCACACGCAGGTTGCGATTCAGTGCTTCTGTGCACCCGCAAAGCGCGATTTAGCACTTCGGCTCATGCACGAGCACCGAAACCCCAAAGTAACCTGTTCTGGTAGCTCGGGGTTTGGTATGACTGCACAAGCTGAATCGTCTGTAACCCGAGGTATGACTGTATATGCATAAATAAGTCTTATGTCACAAAGACACCACCGTGTCTGCTGTACAAAAGGAAACACAAACCCTGGATGAGTGCCTGGAACCTCGCACTGCTCAGAGATTTGGAGTGGCGTGCAACACGGGGGTTAGAAGTGGGGTCCATGTTTTCTGGAGGAGGGCCTGTGAGCAAAGTGTGCCTGAATCAAGATGGAGGGAGGAATAGCAACACTCCTTAAGCAGCTTGAGACAACAGAGCAACGGCCGAGCCAGTGGTTTGAGCAAATGACCCTGTGGCAGAACCAGCATTTTGGTAGAGTGTAGCAGCTGCAAGCAGAGTGTGTAAGAAGCCTTCTTGGAAAGAAGGAATTCATTAGCTTTTAAACAATCATCCATGTAACCTTATTTTGCTAAGTTCCTGAGTTTAAAAGCCTGCCTGAAAGTTAAGTCCTCTGTCCTTCAAGACTTTCTCTTTCATCCAGATCTGCCAGGGGCAACTGAGGGCTCACCCACACTTCCACTGGTCCTGTGTTCTCCACCACTTGTGCCGCCGCCGCTTTCCCCCAGAAAACCCACTGCTTACTGTTGAAACACAGCAAACATCAATCGGGTTTCCTGCAGATGATGTTTGCTCCGATTCAGCAGTAAACAGCAGGTTTTCCCAGGGAAAATGATGCAGTGAGCAGTAAACCTTTCAGACCAGTGCCTAGAAAGCACAGGCAAATGGCGGTGTGGGCAAGCGGGAGCAGGGGACTTTGGACCCTTTGGATGATGCTGAGCTGCGTCAGCCGTCCGCCTCAGCCTGTGTGGCCAATGACCAGGGATGAGTTGCAGTCCCACAGTGGGGTGGGTAGGGGACAACAAAAGTTCCCCATGCCCAGATACTTCTCTAATAGTCGCTGCATTCACTCACCACCTAACAGTTCTGCGATCCAGAATCGGAAATGGAATATTGGTTTAGATACTGAACAATGCCATAAAAACAACTTATCAGTCAAATGTTAATCGCCAGGATGTTATAAACAGATGTACCAGTCATCTGCTGTCATATTATATTCTTTTTAAATTGCCTTGTCTATATGTTAATTAAATAAAATTTATTATCTTTTTTAAAAGAGAAGGTCCTGCTTGCAGGCTTCCATAGACATCTGGTTGGCCACTGAAAATAGGATGCTGAACTAGGTGGGCCTTTGGCCCGATCCATTAGATCTCTTCTTATGTTATTAAAAAGAGTATACAGTGGTACCTCGGGTTACATACTTAATTCATTCCGGAGGTCTCTTCTTAACCTGAAACTGTTCTTAACCTGAAGCACCACTTTAGCTAATGGGGCCTCCCGCTGCTGCCGCGCTGCTGGAGCACGACTTCTGTTCTCATGCTGAAGCAAAGTTCTTAACCCGAGGTATTATTTCTGGGTTAGTGGAGTATGTAACCTGAAGCGTCTGTAACCTGAAGCATATGTAACCCGAGGTACCACTGTACTGTACAATCTTTTAGCTTTTTTATTAAATCTGTTATCAAACTTATCAGGTAAAAGATGTGTTTCACAGTAGATTTGGGAGCAGTATAAAGGAATTTGGTCAGCTTTTTTTTTTAATTAAAAAAAATCATTTTATAAGATTGTGTAGGAAAGTGGAATTGGAGAGGAACAGGTGGATCCAGCAACAGTACACTGTAGTACTGTGGAATGTTCTTGTTTACTCTTCTAATCAGGTCTGCCCTGTCCTCTACTGTACTGTAATCCTTTACCCACCTTTTTCCATTTCATACCCCAAGAGTCAGTCACAACATCCTGTGGAGTGCGCTCAGTTATGCCTGGGCTCTTTTGGGGGATGGAAGGGGGTTCTTCCTTTAGAATATTGTCCTCTAAAGCTTCTTTGGACTTCTGCAAACCTTGGCATTCCCTCCACATCCCTGGTACCTTCCTCTTGTATGAGGATATTGTTGCTTTGGCAATGTAAGCATTGGCACTCGCATCTACAAGATGGACCTGCAATAAAATGTTGTGTAGAGTGCTTCTGTTCAGGAGACTCTCTTCTCCCTAGTTTTCTGTCTACCCCACACACATTCAGCAGTCCATGCACACTGAACCAAAGTCTCATTGGGCTATTTTGAAGGGGTTCTGTTAGGATTTTTTCTAAAGTTTTTATTTTGTACTTCTGCAAATCTTGGGCTTCCCCAGCACCCGTGTGTGTGTGTGTGTGACGATTTTTTTTACTACGTAAGGATAGGCACTTGAAAAAATGAGTCTATGAGTCTAGTATTAGCATACTAAATGTGGTGGTGGGTTAGAAAGAGGGAAAGCTTTGCAATTCATTTTTCATTTATCTTCACAGTAATCTTTTGAAAAGAGATAAACAAACATTCCCAAAGCACCAGAGGGCTCTAGTACACTTCCTTCGCTGACCTTATAAAAGGTGACCCCCAAACATTACCACTCAGGAAGATGAGGAAGGCCAAACTATAATATTGTTACAAAAGTCCCTCTTGTTACAAGCCTGCCCCTCTCTCTGCCAAGTGGTGGCGAGAGCCCATAGGGTCTGTGTCCCTTTGGAGAACAGAAGACACGGCGGAGACTGTCTGGCTTTAAGAAATATGGTTTATTCAGTCTGCATGGAGGGAGTCCAGATCTTATGGCATAGTCATTTCAAGAGGTAGCAGCGCAGGCTGCGTACAGCCAGCCTCCAAAAAAGAATCTGCTCCTCTTCCCCCTTCTTCTTCCCAGAAACCCCTTGTCCTCCATCAGAGCAGTTACCCTGGCAACCTTCCAAATCCCCAGTCTCTGTTCACACCTGGTGGAAGGAGTTCCCTTGTATTGTTCTTGTTCCTCAATTATTCCTTGATCACTGTAGCTCAGGAATTCCTTTGCAGCTTGCATTCTCCCATCATATCACAAACAACCCAAACCCATTAATTTCTAGGGCTTACCCTAAATCTATAACACTATATAAGGTGATTATTTTGAACTTTGATGTTTGACAATCTAAATCTTTAATACATTTTAAAACATTGCAGTAGGGAAGAAAAAAGCATATAATTTGTTTGTGAAGCAGAGAAAACGATTGCTTCATTCATAGATCAGAAAGATCACTGCCTTTTCTCCTGGATCCAAATCCCTATGAAATGCATCACTACAACTTCATTGTGTGCTCATGTTCTACTGTCACTAAGCAACAAAGAGACTCTTCTCATTTGACAGCTCTGTTCCCTTCCGGGTTTCTATCTCCTTTTACTTTGGTTTTAAAGTAGTGTTTTCTTCCATAAGTTGGAAAGGTTTTTGGTTGTGTCGGTGTGCTGTTAGTTTCCGTGTGAGTTCCTGGACAGGATTAGAAAACAATCAAGACTCTAATATCTCCACTTGGAAACAATACAAAAATAATTATGACTTCTGGAGTCACTGCAGGGCAGTTCAGCCACTTCAATTCTCACAAGATGCATCAGAAGCAGCATGAAGGTCTCTTAAAGAGAATGTACATGCCTTTTGTGAGAGGTCCTGAAGACAGACACTTTTTTACCAGTTTCCACAACAAATGCAGTAATGCTTTTCTCAAATCCAATCCATTCATTCGACCTGAAGATAAATGCTACCTTTTAGCTCCACATCGGGATGATCTGCCAATAATTAACCCTTGTTCAGGATTTGTGAGCCCAGGAGGTGCAGTTGAAGCTAACCAAATCATGTACAGCAAAAATAAGGAACCCCTGGGGAATGGTAAAGATGTGCAGCCTCCACCGTCGGCCCCCATCCCACATACGACACACCAGCCTGCAAACAGAAGACTCTCGGTATTGGAAGAGATAAAGCAGGACCAGCAGTGGAACTCAAGAGCAGTGCCAGATATTTCTCTCAGGTCCAAACTTGGAGGTACATGGTGTTATCTTTTACGGTTCTCATTGTATTCACTATATTGTCTGATGAAAGGGCACAAGGTGCAGCTTTGGTACATAAATGATGTCCCTTAAAGTGCCAAAATGCATGCTATGCAGTGTTTTATTTAACTTTCCCCCTAGTGAATGAAAAAGTTGCAGTGCTGAAGAAGAACAGGTGAGGGGAATGGGTTGTTTAACCTTTTCCCTGCTGACCATGGTTCTACTTAAGTTCAGTTGGCAGGGCGTTTGCAGGGGCAAAATCTGTTTCCTCCCTGCACTACTGGGTTTATCAGATGTAGAGGGTGGACTTAACCCTCACTCAGACAGGGTTCTGGGTGCACCCTTTTGGTTTCTTCCATGCAGTATGAGTAAATGCTGTCATGCACTTCAAAGGGGAAAAGTGGAGTACTGCATTTGAGGACACTGTTCTATGGAGAGCAAATGCACGCATCCCTCTCCTGATCCTGAATAATCTATCCTCCACTGACAGAGACAACAAGTTGTCGCTGCAATATACAGGCACATTTCCCACTTCCCCCTCCTTCGTGATAGACTGCTTCTGTTGCTGCAATTTTTATTTCCTGATTTATTTTTACATTGTTTGATATTTTGTGGTTGCAAGCTACCTTGACTTATTTTATAAAGAAAGTAGGTAGAAATCTTAAGTTTTTAAAACAAATAAATTTAAATATTGATAGGTGGTTTGTTAGCTATAACATAAGAATATATAAGATGAGATCTAGCTTGCCTGTCCAAACAACTCAGATCATGTAACTGTTTGCTAAAGTATACGTTGTGTTGTTCCAAAGGCTCACTAATCTAAAGCAGAAGAGAGCTGGTGGTTCATTTTTAATCTAAGAGGCTAAATTTAATTTCAAGTCCCACCTCTGCCATGGATTCACTATGTGGCCTTGGGTAAATCACTGCACCCCAGCCTCGGATCACATCCACACCACACATTGAAAGGACTCTGTCATTGCTTCCCCCAAAGGATCATGGGAACTAGTTTAAGGTTCCAACAATGCTTAGCACCTGTTACAAACTACAGTTCCCAGGATTCTTTGTGGGAAGCTGAAGGGAGGGTATAAGAGTTCTTTAAATGTATGGTGTGGATGTAACCTATATCTGTGGGAGGGAAATAAAAAGGAACTATATGTACTTCATGGGAGAGTTTGAAGAACAAACACAGAAAAAACTGTAAAACATCAAATTTAAAATGTTATATAAATTATATTAAAAGGGGGAGCAGCAGTAAAGAAAATGGCACCCTATTGGGCCTGGTAAACATATAAGCAATTGGCTCTCTGGGTCACAACCTCCAGCCTCCTGTCTACTTCCTGACAGCAGCTCACTGTCTCTTTTGTCTCTAGATCCAGGGACGAAACTAGGCTTTATTTTAACCGGGCCAAAGACCCAGTTTGGCCCACCCACCCACTCACATTGTGTACACACCCACCCACCCAGGCTGGGAGCTCAATGGTGCTGCTTTGGAGGCTTCACCCAGGGCAAAAAACCCAGCTTACCCCCCCCCCCCCCAGTTAAGGCACTGTCTAGCTCTCTAGATCCCAAACAAACTTCCTTCTTAACCCCTTTTTTCTTCAACCATGCACCCACTGCCCCATTTCCTTGGATCTTTATTCCTTGATGGCTCTTCCCGAACTCTGCCCACCATGTCTTCCTTTGTGTGCCCCCCCATTTCCTTGCCCCCCCCATTTCCTGTCATGCAGCCCCTCCTGACATTATGCGTCTCCGCAGCTCACGCACATTATTAAGTGCTCATTTTGTCAAGCCCTTTGTTTCTCCTCCATCTGCCCTTCCTTCAGGTTCTTGCTTCTCAGTACCTGCTCTGCCCCTTCCTTCAATTACTCTGCCTCGTTGTTACCTGGCTCTTAGGTTCCCCGGCATCTTGGGACCACTTTCTCACTGTGTCTGCTAGCCACTGATTTCACTCTCTCTTTTTGACCTATAGTGCTCCTTCAGGGTTTTCTGTGGTATTTTCTCAGCCAAACTCAAAATTCACTTCAACTCATTGAAGTGGACTGCGGCAACCATTCAGTTGTTGATATCATCCCTCATTAGAAAGTATGTTTGCAAGCATTTCATGGTATAACATTAGTTTGGCAAATTACTGCCATAGACTGCATTGTTTCCACCACAGTAACCACCACAGTCATCATAAAATCATTTAAGTTAGTTAACATAGCAATATAAGAGTTATTTAACTTAGTTGTAATCTTTAATACTGTAGTAGGCTGCATAGCACAAGAAATTCAACATTTTTTTTCAGGATGGACAAGTCCAGTAAAAGTTATACCTGCTCCACCTAAAGTCAAAGGAAATTTTTCACCTCATACATTTGCATTTCATGTGGACCCAGACATTAAGGTATTTTTGTTTCCCGCTATTGATTTTGTTGTTTGTATAAACCTGGAACATATTTTCAAATTAATACTAGTCCAACAGGCATCTTAAATCTAGGGGGCCGAGGCGTCTTCAGCCCCCTCTCTATTTGTTAGAAAGGGGCTGGGCCTCCTCAGTGTTGGGAGGGTGTGTTGCAGCTTCAGCAGCTGGCTCCTCCAGAGTGCGCAGCCTCCTCCAGACGATGTGCGGTTGTCTGTGTGGGGCGTCATTCACACGTGGCACGCGATGGGCCCCCTCAATTGTAGGGGCAACCTGGCACCTCTGTAGTCCAACTACCTGCAATGCAGGAATCTTTAGCGCAGCGTGGGGCTCGAATCCATGCTCCTGACATTAAGAGTCTCATGCTCTATTGAATAAGCCACTCTGAACATTTTAGGCTGCTCTAAAGGTGCAGGAGTAAGAAAAGGGGTGGCAATCATATGCTTGTGTGCTTGAGACATTATACAGCTTGGAAAACTATTCAATTAAAGGACTAATCCCTGCATTATCTTTTATGGTTTCCCTTCATCATGGTTTCTTACGAAGTCAAGTGATCCTTCCTCTGAAGCCTTCAGAGATGAGAAAGCGCGGAAGTATATGTATACCTCAGTGGCTCAAAGGTGAGCTTCTGTTTCTGGTAAGGAAAGGATTCTTTAAACAGCTTGTGTTCACCTGGATGACAGGATGCTACGTAGGAGCTTTCGGTTGAACCCCTCCTTTAGGTCTCACTTTGTTTCTGTGATTGTAAGTTGTTTTAAACTGTTTTTAATATTACATTTCAATGATATAGCCTGCCCTGGAACATTACAGTCAAGTGAGGGTAAATAATAATAATACAAGTTGACATGCTTCTTTTCCAAAGATTAGCCATCAGGTAGGGGAGAGCTTGTGAGGGGTTTTTTATTTTAAAAAAATACATGGAATAACATTCAGTCATATGTATCCCCACTTGTAATCTGAAATGCTACAGCTGACAAATTTAGGGAAATGCTTCTTCAGCTCCCACTTCCAAGCTCTCCCCTACCTGATGTATATCAATATATCTCAACTGAACTGAAGAAGGCATCCTGTTTCCCTTCCTTTCCCCCAATGTTGTGCCCCACTTTCCTCCCCCCTATTACTTTTCATGCCACCACTGCCACATTGCCAACAATAGCACTCGTAGTTTCTCCAGTGCCTCAGTAACGCAGGACAGGATCTTTCCTCGGAGCCAACCATTCTGGATGGGGTGGGCAAAGGAAGGCTGTTTAGACTTAGAGGGGTGGAATAAAATAGCCCTTTTTGCTGCCAGCACCCGCACCCTTCCTCAAAGCAACGTAGGGAGAAGAAGAGAAAGGGGCAGCAGAAACCATTCCTTCCACAGGTAGAGGGGTGAACAGGTGACTGTGCCCGCAGCAGGGCGAGATGGGGGGCCAGGGGGCATGCCAGTTCACCCTTCCCCTTTGCCCACTGCTTGAGGCAATTGTCTCATGACTGGGCTGACCCTGCCTGCACATAAGAAATTGGAGGTCAGGGACAATAATTTTTGCCGAAATTTCTTCATGACATGCTAGTTTCCTATGTGGAAGGATTTGGGTTTTGCTTTTGAGTGCGAGACCTGCAGTCTGGAGTGATGCAAGCCAGACACAGGCTTACCACCTCAGTGAATATTAGGCCTAAAACAAAGATCTGTTGGGATATTTTAGTGCCATTCAGGTACACATGGCCATGTCATTGATCTGAAGGTATAAGATGATGGTTATTATTTATTAAATTTGTTAGACATAACGTTCAAATGTCAGAATGAGAGAAACTTTGGAAAAATGATTTGAAATTTACAGCTTGTACACTAATTAAATAAAATTATATGAAAATGATGTACAGGTGGTATCTAACACCAGTTAAATTAGCACAAATGTATAAATCAAGAGAATACAAATGTTGGAAATGTAAAGAGCTAGAAGGTATGTTTTATCATATGTGGTGGCAATGTAAAGTTATTTAAAAAAATGGGAAATGATATATAATGAACTGGAAAAAAATGTTTAAAATAACCTTTGTTAAAAAGCCTGAAGCCTTTTTATTAGGAATTACAGGAAAGCAGATACCAAAAAAATATATAAATCTTTTTATGTATGTGACTACAGCGGCATGAATATTGATAGCCCAATCTTGGAAAGAGGAAAAGATCCCCACAAAAAAAGACTGGCAAATTAAGTTAATGGAATATGTAGAAATGGCTAAATTAACAGAGAAACTTAGAAATCAAGACAATAACATTTTGAAATGAATGGGAAATCTTTATTGCATATATATCAAAGCATTGTATACAAGTTGATACATTAGGGTTTTAAGAAACATTTCCTGGCCACAGTGATCCATGCGACGGTCACCTCCAGGCTTGACTACTGTAACTCGCTCTACTTGGGGCTGCCCTTGAAGCTGTCCCAGAAACTCCAGCGGGTGCAGAATGCTGCAGCGAGGCTCCTCACGGGGTCTCTGCCATGGGAGCATATTCACCCAGTGCTTTTCAAGCTGCACTGGCTCCCGGTGGAGTACAGGGTCAGATTTAAGGTGCTGCTTTTGACCTTTAAAGCCTCTCCTGGTATGCCCCACGGAGGACCTCAAGGTCCATAAATAGCAACACCCTAGTGGTCCCGGGCCCTAAGGAAGTTAGATTAGCCTCAACCAGAGCCAGGGCCTTCTCAGCACTGGCTCCAGCCTGGTGGAACGCTCTGCCTCATGAGACCAGGGCCCTGCAGGATCTGATTTCTTTCAGCAGGGCCTGTAAGACAGAGTTGTTCTGCCTGGCCTTTGGCTTGGAGTCAATTTGATTCCCTCCCCCTCTTTCTTTTTTCTTTTTCCTTTCTCCTCCTGTGATGAGGCTGCATTTTAATATTTTAATGTTTCAATATTTTAATGTTGTATTTTAATCTTGTTTTTAAGTTGTATTCATTCAACTTGTTTTTATTATTGCTTGTTAGCTGCCCTGAGTCCGGCCTTGGCTGGGGAGGGCGGGGTATAAATAAAAATTATTATTATTATTATTTGCATTATTATGATAAAAGATAGAACAGGATACAAATAGATTAATAATATTACATAGACATGCATGAATTGATCATGAAACAATGGAACCATGGGAGGGGGTAGAGGGAAGTCAAGGGATTTGAGAAATCCCACATCTGGATGTTTTATTGAATGTATAAACAGCATTGTGAATTTTTTAAATGTTTGTTTTAATGTGATGTTTATTATAATGAAAATCACTAAAAATATTATTAAAAAATTGTTAGTCACTTTATCTTGTGCAAGGTGACCCAGGGCCCCCTACAACCAAGTAGATATTCCATCATTCTGTGTGTTAACATTAAGGCAAATAGACACTTAAACACCCATGTAAATGAAACTTGTGTTCAATGAAAACACAACTCTGTATGCACCGAAAGTATAATATGCACTGAATGTCCCAATGCAATAGGTATTATGACTCAAAATAATATCCACACAAGGTATGTACAGTTACAAAGAACTTGAAAATATACATATGCAGGCATGCAAATTGCTATGCAATATCACTGAGTTCAATAGTTCAACTCTGGCGTAACTCTAGATAAGACTGTGTACACGAGGGACTCCGGTGCTTCATAATACAGCCAGATTCCCCCCCCCCCCATGAAATAAGCTCTTCCATCTTAGACACTTTTTCTGTGAACGTATAACATAAGTAAACCCCCTCTGCCCCCCTCCTTATATGCACAGTCAATGGCTCTTATGGAACAAGCATTACAAAATCTGTCCACCTTTGGGGGGTGGAAATCTGTGTTATTTATTTCACTGTCTAGCCACAACCACTGCTGTAAAACCTCTTTCCCTTCTTTTTAATGAAGAGCAAATGAAGACATTCCCTGGGATAGAATGTTGCCCCCCAAAGTCAAGCCTCCAGATTCGACATTAGAGCCAAGGGCTGATAGAGTCTCACAGCGTTTTTCAATGAAGCAGTATGAACCAGAAGCAGAAACAAGCCAAGTCAGTGAACTTCATTTTAGCTTGTTTATGGGGGGTTGTTTGTTGTTTAAATCATAGTCATAGATCAGTGGTAGAACACACACTTTTTATACAGGTCCCCCCCCCCATATTTAATTCCCTGGCTCTCCAGTTAAAAGGATTTCAAGTAGCAGAGCTGGGCAAGAACTCTACTGGAGACCCCCCAGAGCTGCTGCTAGTCAGGAATGAACAGTATGAGGCTAGATGGATGCTCTGACTAAGTATCAGGTAAGTTCACGTGTAATAGAGGAGAGCAGTAGTTCCAACCGTAGATGCTGAGCTGCTCTGGATTTCCCTCCTGCTTGATTGTGAGTTGATGGCTCAGTTTAAATGTTGTCTCTTTTCATTATGTTTTCTGTAAGTATTTAGCTAAGTTGCCTCGGGGCTCATTTTTAGTGCTGAAAAGTGAGGAATGAGTTAACCAGGCAAGAAATTGGGGACTGGGACAGGATTTTTCCATGTGGAATTTTTTGTTTACTCTTTTATTTTTAACAAATTTAACAGAGAACTAAGAAAGGAAAGGAAAGTGTGTGTGTGTGTGTGTGTGTGTGTGAGCAAGAGAGAGAGAGTGAGAAGGGGAAGTGTGTGAGAGAAAACCCGTAAGTTCACATTATAAATACAATAACCATCCCATCCATCCACATTAATTAAAAAACATAAATCCATATGTGCTGCCCAGACAGGTATCCACATGAAGCTGACGTTTGTCTGCTCTTAATAGCTGCTCCGTGGGGGAAGCCTTCATGTAGGACTTGGATGAGAGGAGCTATAGTCATTTAAGAAGCCTTTATGTCACGATTAAAGGCATCCTGTCCCATGGCAGATCAAACTACCTCAGTGCCAAAACAAGTTTTGTTCCATTCCTCTCATCCATATTATTCCCACCATGCTCACTGGCTACAGCAAAGACCTGCTATGGCATGGTTGAAGCGAAGGTAGGTGTCATAACCTCACCGCTCTCCAGAAGCCATCTTGGTATACAGTGGTACCTCGCAAGACGAATGCCTCGCAAGACGAAAAACGCGCTAGACGAAAGAGTTTTCTGTTTTTTGAGTCGTTCCGCAAGACAAATTTCCCTATGGGCTTGCTTCGCAAGACGAAACGTCTTGCGAGTTCTTGCAAGTTTGTTTCCTTTTTCTTAAAGCCACTAAGCCGTTAATAGCCGCTAAGCCGCTAATAGCCGTACTTCGCAAGACGAAAAAACCGCAAGACGAAGAGACTCGCGGAACGGATTAATTTCGTCTTGCGAGGCACCACTGTATAAGCAAATATCTAAATGAACAAATAATAATCGTAAGAACTCGTGCCTGTGTTGTCTTTCTGTGACACTGAGCGAGCTTCTTGTGATACTTTCTACTCTTCCTGTGCAGAAATGTGTGCTGAAATTGTAACCCAGGCATGTCCCAACATCCGCATCCCATGTACATAAACTTCCAGTTCTTCTTGTCTGCCTGAGAGAATAACCAGCTACAATGTGCCAGAAACTTTTCAGTACAGTACTGAAAATTCCTGTGGAGAATGTGATTATTCTTATTGTTACTGTGATTATTAGCAGTAACGGTGTTATTCGCACAGGTGGTGATCCCAAAAACATTCTTATTGTTCCAGGTTGTTGGAAGCCTCTGGGACAGATTTCAAAGAAGAGCCTTCATATCACCGGACAAGCCAATTAATTTGTGAGCTACATTGATTTCTATAGTTTGAAAATGTTTGTAGATTTTTAAAAATTATCTGTACTTTCTTTTATGGTTTCACATCATGGGAATTTTAAAGTGACACGAAGCAAGATTTTTGCTGTACGCATATGTACAGTTGTTTTGGTGGCACTGAATTTGGGCTGGGAGAGAGAGTGCAATTGAGCTAGACGGATCTTTGCTATGACCAGAAGTGCTTTTCTGTGTTTGTAAAGTGGAGCAGGGTGGTGGCAGGGGGCTCTGTCAGGGGCTGGGTCACTCTCTATTAGCCCCTGACAGAGAGTGACCAGCTGAGGTGGGAATAACTTATACTGCAACATTTGCTGCCAGCGACCTTGAAGGCCAAACTATTTTAGGGGGTTGTGTTTGGGGATTTTTTAAAGGGGAATGCAGGGTACAAGGGCCTGATATGCTGGTTGCAGCAGAGGTACTTTCCACTCTGCCTGATTTTGCTATCACCATTACCCTTCCTCGCAAGAATCCATCTGCTCCCCAGCACCACCTGGGAAAGGAGAAAATTCTCTCCCAGTACTGCTTCTGCAAAAGGACAGTTCAGATAATACTTGCACATTTGAAGAATACATGCACACACACACAGGATTGTGTGGACTAACTCCACCCCAGCTGTCAACTTGCCTAGTACAGGAGATTGGTGAATCTTGCCCATTTCTGCCTCTCTCAGTTTCTCTTTTTTCCTAATCTTAAATTCAGTTCTCTACATTTCTGTAACAGTTTGTTTTTAGTTTCGGAAGGTGCAAATCAGGTTGATTCCCTTTATGTGCAAGCTGAATTAAATCTTTTGTCCCTACTCTAGGCAGCTTAAGTTCTCCCCGGGTAGCATGAGTTCCTTAAACGTCAGCCACAGCTATGACTCTTCTCATTGACTAAGAAGAATGGTATTTCTTCTCAGAGTTCTGTGATGAGGAGGAGGGACAGACTGACAAACAAACACATGGGAGTCAAATAGGTGCAACCATGTTTCTTTAGCACATAAACTTAAGAGCGATTAATGATCGCAAGGCCCACCCTAACCAGTCCCAAACCCTGCAGGCAGGGGCAGCCTGTCCTGTCTCACCATCTGAGGCGAAATGGCAAATTGCTGCCTCCTTCACTGCCCGCGAAGCTTCACCTACCAGGCTTCTGGCAAGATCTCACAAGAGTTCTGTAATTCATTGCAAGATTTCACCCCCAGCCACTGCCACTGCTTCTCCCAAAGTGTGCAATTCTGCCGCCTGAGGAGCTGCCTCAGTCTACCTCATGGGTGAGCTGGCCTCGCCCACACAGAACTTGGCAACAGCAAGTTTGTTGAGCAGATGAATAGTCGCAGTTGGCTGCTGCTATAGTCATGTGACAGTCTGTGTCCCTGGTCCTTCTGTCCCAGGTCTTTCAGGCCACCAGAGTTTGCTATCCTCCTTGTTCTCTCCTTTCTTCCTCAGATCTCTGTCTCCAGTTTCTTCAGTCTGCTTCTCTCCTTTGCCAACTGCCCTTCCTTAACTGACTCTCCCTCTTTCCTCATTACCTCATTGCCTTTGCAGAGCTGCATTCTAAGGAGCAAGCATCACAATGGAAGCTCTTCAAGGAGTAAAAAGACTTGCTGTGTGTGTGTGTGTGTGTGTGTGTGTGAGCGCACGTGCATGCACACTTTAAATGAAGTCTGGTGATCCAGGGCAAGCTGGTGGTGCAAAAGGCACCCGGTGGCAAGACTAGAATCTGCAAGACCTAGCCGGTCAGGCAATGGTATCACCCTAAGTGTTGGAAACCCAGAATTAAAGTTTTTACTACCTACCAAGGCTGAACTAGGACCCTGCGTCCACTATGTGTTCTTAAAAATATATATGCCATTGTAAATTGTCTGAAAGTTGTCACATCTGTTAACTTACCAAATATTAATTGTACATTAGTAGGAAGTAAGTTAACCAATTTAATGTGCCTTTCATCTTTAACAGTGTTAGTCCTTGCTCTCGAACTCAACATCTCCCTTTATACACGTAAGTAAAAGTTGTTAGTGAATATATATCTTTTCTCTTAAGCAGGGAATTTCTTCGTTCAAAAAGAGACACAGTCTGTTTGCATAAGTGCTCCTTGGTCCTATGGATGCCGTTGACTCCTGTCTTCCGATTTACAATGGCATCCAGAGGACCAAGGAGCACTTAAGCCTGAGCCACAGCGAAACAAAGCAAGAGCAGTAGGCAACGGATCACAGAAAGAGATTCCAAAAGTGAGGCGGAGATTCAACAATATGAGGAGTAATGTCATGAATCTGAGCTGGGGAGATAGCAGGACTCTGCACCAGAAGTAAGCCCAGTTGAGCTGGATGGGTCTACTCTCAGGTAAGTGTAGGACTGCAGTCTTCTATAATGAGAAAATGGATGTTGTGTGAGTTCATAATATTAGAATTCAGAATCACCAGATAAATTAATTGGCAGGAGGACAGAAGAAAAATACATGTATTTATTTAAAGCATTTTTAACCCACTCTACAACCAGAAATAAGGTGGTCAGACACAAAAGAATGCAGGGCTCTTGCACTTTTAATGGCGGTTTAGGGGAGAAATTTTCAGCAGGCATAGCTTGCTTTTACATGTATAGCTACTGAAATTTCTTCTACACAAATGTGCATCTTTTGCATCTAGTCTCCCTAGCCATAAAATGTTTTCAGAATGGCTTACAAATGTCATTGATAAGAAAATCCTTGTCTTTAGGCTTCCTGTCTCAAAATACATGACAGAAAGAAAAGGGATTGGGAAGGAGGAGGAAAAACCAAAATCAGGACTCATCAAAACTTCCTTTTGCGCTGCACTTCCGAGGCACGGTCCATGCTTTAAAACTCCATGTCCGAGCAGTTATTGCGTTTTGTTTTTGTCGTGGCACTTTCCCTGGGAAAACCTGCATTTTACAATTGAATCAGAGCAACCAGCAATCTGCAGAAAACCCCATTGACATTTGCTCTGATTCAGTAGTAAAACGTGGGTTTTCCTGGGGAAAATGCCAGGGCAAAAAGGAAACCACTCAGACACAGAGTTAAAGCCTGGATCTGTGCCTAGAATGTGGCACAAAAGGAAGTCTGGATGAGCCCTTGAGCACCATTTCTTAAGTTACAGAATGTAATGACCAGCTGAAATGGAAAGATTTAAAGGAAGAGATAAGCCAAATGTTGCTGATCTTCCAGTGGAGTCCATGAGGAAACACAGTACATAATTAGCATATTAAATTCATTGCCACAAAATATACAGTATGTTGTGGCCACCAGATTAGCCTGATATTTAAAGGACTGGACAGATATATAGAGAATTTTTTTTTACTAAATATCAGCCATGACAGTTAAACAGAACTTTCCCATTCAAAGGCAGTGTGCCTATTTATGCTGGAGATAAACAATGTTGACTTCATATGAGCTTCCTATCTAACTGGTCACTTCTAGACTCACTGGATGTTTGGTCAAAATTCATAGAGTTTGGTCAAAATTTGTAGTTTCTTATACTCGTATATGCTTCTTCTCAGTTTATGGCTGTTCATGGCAGAAAAATCAACTTTGTACCACCCCTCCACCATTTTAATATACATATTTTCCCTACATTGAGATTATCCCAATGTATAGAATTGATTTTAGAAGATTGTCAGTTGAAATGAACTCACTCTCATGCTTGACTTCATATTAAGAGGGCTGATAAATAGAATAGGCATGCAATTCAGGCTATTACCTGCTGCAAAACCTATCCTATGGCTGTGTGATTTCATAAATCATCTATGAGCAGCTTGGAAACTGACTTGAGAAGTTGCTCTAGCAATTGTGATCCTTGTGGACAGTTGAACAGCCAGCTGGGACAAGTCAGACCTATGACAAAATGTTGCAGTGAATCCTCACCTTGAAGCACCATATTATAAGGTAGAAGGCATAAGGGGCTCCAGCAGACCACCCCACCCTTCTCTCCTTTCTCCTTTTCATTGTTCTTTTCCAAGTAACATTCAACCTGCTATGCCTACTGAGCATACTCAGTTCTCTTTGGGCTATGCAGGAGAGGTCCCCACATCTACCGGTGGGTTTTAGTATATCTACTCCCCGGTTTCTCAGTGTCCCTTTTTGGCTCCAGCCCTGTTGGCACTTGCCACATGAGTTTTGCCATTCTAAGCAAGAGGCAAAAAACAGGAGGTGGGTTTTTTTTGGGGGGGGGTGTTTCACTTGGAGGTGAGGCTAGGCAGTTCTAAATACCAGCACTGAATAGGTTTGAAATGTGCAATAAGGAAGCCCCACTGGAGGATTTAAGAGGGTCTTATTAACTCCTACATCCCCGGGCAGGGTCCTTGTGTTTAAGAAATCGTGTCTCCAAAGCATAGTGTCGAGTCAGACATGAGAGAAGAGATGCTTGTCAAAAGGGATAGGAACAAGGCACTACAGAAATGGCGATAAGCGCCTTTTGTGGACCATTATGGATATACCAAAAGCATTTTGTCTCCAAAATGCAGCAGAAGGTCAAAGATGATACTGTGCTCCTCCTCTACACCCGCTGTCCATGTTAGGATGCAAGCGTGTATTAGGGCTTGGCAGGAAACTCCATCCATGTCTGGTTATTGAGGCCAACTAAAATTTATTTGCCCCAGGCCTGCACAACTTGTGATCCAGCAAGCCAAGCACAGCCCGCCAGCCACATCCACTGCCTTCCCAGTGGCTTGAGAAACCTCCTGTTTTTTGCCACTTGCTTGGAATAGCAAAAGCATGAGGGGGATTATCAAGCATGTAGCATATCACAACATGAGAGTAATGGGCTACATTCAGCATTGTGGGTCAGAAATCATGGCTTCTGAGACATTGCTCTGCTATTTCCTAGTACTATTACTATGGTTGGTTTTTTGTGTACTGGATATAGAAATATGGAAGAAACTAATGAATCTGTTACAAAAAAATGAGCTATACCAGTTTCTTGGGGCTGAATACTGAAAAGGCAGTGGAAGCAATGATGACTCCATTTCTTTCTCACATTATTTACAGTTTCCCCAAATTAGCTTATTCCACCTACGTGGTAAAACGTTGTCATCCATTTTTTCCTACAAGCACACTGCCTAGTTTTATGTGTATTTTGGTACGTGACTGCACAAATCTCTGTGTATGTTTTTGTGCACCTTTTAAATAAATAACGAAAAACTTGGAGCTTCAGTGGCCTCAGCCAGCTGTGTTATAAATAATACATATTTGCCTTTTGATTCATTCCCCCTTTTCATCCAAACAGAGGCTGTGTTGGTGCAGAGAATCCTGATGACCTGGACAATCCCTATGTAGATGTAATTGTTCACAGCAGAGTTCGAACTGCAGAACCACAATATGTGAAATCTTCCTAGTATGTAAACCTCAAGTTTCCTTTCTTGTATAGTAATTACTGATTGAGAACCTGAGAGACTCCATATCATGCTGCCAAGCAGGATTTAAGTTTATTTGGAACCAGAGCATATGGGACTGGATGCGGGTGACTCAACTACAGACTTCTGGGATAGTAAAGGGACCCCTGACCATTAGGGCCAGCCGTGAACGACTCTGGGGTTGCGTGCTCATCTTGCTCTATAGGCCGAGGGAGCCGGCATTTGTCCACAGACAGCTTCCGGGTCATGTCGCCAGCATGACTTAGATGCTTCTGGCGAACCAGAGCAGCGCACGGAAAGGCTGTTTACCTTGCGTGGCAAGGTCTCAACCCCACCCCCCTTTTGTTGAATAAAGAAACAAGACTCAAATAATTAAGGTTAATGGGCTAAAAAAGGCCACAACTTTATTGGTTACAGATGATGAGCGGTATCGGCTTAGGCATTGGATCTAACCAACTATATCTGACTCCAGCCCGTCTGCTGGGAGCCCAGAAAGGGTTAATCAACCAGCAGGTGGAGTCCTGCTGATGCACATCAATTAGGAGCTCCCCCGGGGGTCATCAATAGGGGTCGTGCCTTGGGCCCTCACCTCCCTAGGCTTCGGACAGGACCACACCTCCCAGAAACCTTTAACGGAATGCCCTTCAATATGCGGTGCAGGTGATGGCGCTACCTCCCCTCATCTCTTCTCCAGAATTATTCCAATGCCTAACCGCCATACGATAAAAGTTGTGACAATTTGCTACGAGGTAGGCAAAAACCAAGTGGCTGGTGCCAATTTGCCAAGTGGAAAAATTCCTACCAGGCCCCTCAATGGCATCCAACCAAAGTCCATAGCAAGGTCAAAAGGGACAAAAACCTTAAAGTGCGGGAGGGTGGGTAAACTGGAGCACTGGAAGCCAAAAGAGAGAGATCTCCTGGCTGCATCCTGCCCTTAACGGGCAGGCCACACCCCCAGACTGATCGGATTGGCCGGCCCGGCCAGTGACACAGCCGGGAAACCCCAATCGTGCAGGGCTGGCCACCCACCCCCTGTGCACGTGGAGGGGTCGTGAGAGCCCGCAATTCCACCTCCTCCTTAAGGCGGAAGTGGCCTTCCCACTGCAGCGGCACCTATTTATCTACTTGCACTTTGATATGCTTTCAAACTGCTAGATTGGCAGGAGCAGGAACCGAGCAACGGGAGCTCACCCCGTCGCGGGGATTCGAACCGCCAACCTTCTGATCGGCAAGCCCTAGGCTCTGTGGTTTAACCCACAGCGCCACCTGCGTACCTTCTGGGGTATTATGGCAAATCAGTTCATGCACTGTGTGATTCCAATGGGATTTATGTATTACATACATCCACACATCATTTTATTTGTATGCTGCCTTTCCATTGTTGAACCCGGCTCAACGTGGCTTACAACATGGAAAAAAATATTACAAACATAACTAAAAGTAATTATGCTTATGACTCATAAACAATAAATATGACATCAAAAGCTACACAACCAAATTTAACTATTTCCACATCAATCATATGGTATAAGGCAGGTGGAAAAGACCTGCAAGACAGGGAGCAGGGCTTCCAGGACTCACGGCCAAGATGGCGTTGTATTGTGCTTTTTAATTCCATGGATTTCAGTGGGACTAAGAGCCAAGCCACACAAACACAGTCAACTTTGTCCAGTTACTGCTGAAGTACCTCTTCACACCGTTGGCAGCGATCACTGGCTGGCATGCTCTCTCATAAGCATATAGACAAGCCTCATATCAGGGGGCCTAGGATAAAATCATCTGCAATTGTATGCTACTTTTCTGTGTACAGGAAGCATTTTCATAGGTAAGAGCAGTCAGACAGGGAAGGCTTTGACACACATCTGCAATCTGTAGTGTTATTGTCTGTCAAGAATATGTAAGATATTATTTGTGTGCTCAATATGGTTGTATAGCTCAGTTTTTAAGCTGCAGCTAGCCTTTGGGTGCAGCTATTTTAACTTACTCATTAAGCATCAGCTCTTAAAAGGAGCAGATAGTGACATATCTCAGAATTACTGCAAGGGTAAATAATAATAATAATAATAATAATAATAATAATAATAATATATTTATACCCCGCCCATCTGGCTGAGTTTCCCCACTCACTCTGGGCGGCTTCCCACCAAGTGTTAAAAACAATACAGCATTAAACATTAAAAACTTCCCTAAACAGGGCTGCCTTCAGATGTCTTTTAAAGGTAAGATAGCACCGCCACTCCGCTATTCCCAGACCTGGTCTGGAGGCTGGCGGGGGGGGGGGGGAGAAGCAAGCTCGGGGGACAGCGGGGAGGCGGATCACCGCCACTCCGCTATTCCCGGACCTGGTCTGGAGGCTGGCGGGGGGAAGAAGCAAGCTTGCTTCTCCCCATCGCCAGCCCTACAAGCTCGGGGGACAGCGGGGCAAGCCACTGCCCCACGGAGGCTAGAGAGGCTGTCCCTGAAGGCAGAAGAGGGAGACGGAGCGCTCCGTCTCCCTCTTCTAGCTTGGGGATGGCTGCGCAAACCTCGGGGGGAAATAATTCCCCCCCCCCTGATTTCCCCCCCAAAAAACTAGGTGCGTCTTATGGGCCGGTGCGTCCTATAGGGCGAAAAATACGGTAATTATTTGTTTGTTTTTAATTGATAATAGATTGATAGATACACACATATAATCAGGGTGTTTTTTAAGCCGAAACTCAGTTCTGGCACCTCTCAGGCCGTTGCCATTATATGAAGACAAGGGAGGTGTTCATGGTGAGTTGAAGCACCTCTTTTTCTTGAAAAATTGCACTGGTTTTAATTCAACCTATGTTTAATTGTTTAATTATTCCCCCCATGTTTTTAGCAGTTATTTCTGTCTGTAATCTGCCTTGAGTCCCTGTCAGGGGGGGAAAAGGCAGGATATAAATTTAATAATAAGTATGGAGGAATTTCTCTTTATTTCAGTGTTTCAATGGATATTTCCCAAGCTCTCTGAGGCATGCTTTTTTAAAGATTGAAAATGGAGGCACTCTCCAGCAGTGTACTCACTACCTACTTAAAACTCAGCAAAGTCATTGTTTCCTCACCCCCCCTGCACTTCTAATTGAATATATGGGATACAGGTGGCGCTGTGGCTAAACCACCGAGCCTCTTGGGCTTGCTGATTGCAAGGTCGGCAGTTCGAATCTGTGTGACGGGGTGAACTCCCGTTGCTCTGTCCCAGCTCCTGCCAACCTAGCATGAGTAGATAAATAGGTACCACTGTAGCGGGAAGGTAAACAGCATTTCCTTGTGCTTTGGCTTCTGTCACAGTATCCCGTTGCACCAGAAGTGGTTTAGTTATGCTGGCCACATGACCCGGAAAAATTGTCTGCAGACAAATGCCGGCTCCCTTGGCCTGAAAGCGGAGATGAGTGCCACACCCCATAGTCAATTTTGACTGGACTTAACCATCCAGAGGTCCTTTACCCTCTAACTGCATGTTGCATGTCATTGTACACATCACTATGGATGGATGCGTTTTCGGTTGCACACTGCCTGTCCACACCAGTGGGTGGAAAGGGGGCATGGAGGTCTTCCAAAGGGTTCTGTTTTCAAATCAGTTCAAAACTGGTTTGAAAATGCAGTGTTTCTCAAACTACAGGATGGATAAGCATTGAGTCTAATATCATGAGAACACAGCTTCACAAACTATCCATGGGAATCCCCTGGATACAGAGTAAACCGGAGTGTGTACAGAGCCTTCATGCTTAAAGTCTTTTTTTAAAAAAATCTTTTAAGGTCTAATGCTCAGATATCTGATGGCTTTAGGAAGGTGACAGAGTGGGGAGCTCAGCCACATCCGTGGGTCTTGGAAGATGCCACCAGCATGACATAGGTGCCCATGGAAGAATCCTGATGGAAAACAGTGCTGGCAGAATACACACATTTGCCAAGCCTACACCCCTTCATTTCCCAGCCACTCCCAGGCAGACTGTGGAAATTTACAGCCACCCCAAAGCTGGTGTGAGGAATTCCACTCCCAATGACTTTGGGCTCACAGGAGACTTTAATTGTTTACTATGCATGGTGCACAATGGGAAATCCCAATTTACTGTCTCATTTGAAAGGCAGGTTATATGTGTGTACTGAAATGTAACTAAATATATATTCATTTCAATTATAAAATTGTCAGGTACGCTTTCAAAACTAAGAATTTTCCAGAGAAACAGAACCCTGTATTTCAGGGGGCTGGGCTAGACAGAATACCCTTTGGGTCCCTTCCAACAGTTCTATGATTCTTCACCATTAACAACACAAGAAGAAAACATGGGGTTATTTGAAATATACTCTCTGCCCAAGCAAAGTACCTCCTTGTACTTTAGGTGTGGAGAGGACATTTGGCCACTAGAGGTCGCCTGAAGATGCTAAAGGTTTACTGCTGTAAAAATGTTGGTTCTTTTAACTTTTCACACAGCTGCTAATCGTGCTTCTGCCGCATGCCATTTCTGAAAGATAGTCATATGAACTAGAGAATCTTAGTAGTGGAGCATGCCAAAAGGAACAAAAACCAGAAGAGGATATATTGTGCTACTGCCAAATAATCATTTTTAAACCGGGTGGGGAATTCTGCTGTTCCTTGGAAGCCTCTTAGGGATTCCTGAATGAGGAGATCAGTTATGGCTTGCAAGCTTCCCTCTATGACAGCTTGCCATCTGCAGCAGTGGGAGGTGGCAAGGACAGGGCTTGCAGGGGAGGCCAACTACACCCACTGCTGGTTGCAAGAGCTGTGGGAGGTGCCAGGGACACCACAGGGCCAATCCCAGGGCCCAGCTGTTGAAAGGAGCAAGTCTTGCCATAGATAGCAGAACACTGTCAGTCAAAGCAACACCAAAGGGGTTCATCCTTTGGGGAGATCACAGAATTGTAGAGTTGGAAGGGACACCAAGAGTAACCTAGTCCAACCCCCTGCAATAAGGGGAGACGTACACACGGACACACGTTGGTTTGGCACAGGGATTGGAGTTGGCTGGGTCTCTGGACACCAGGTATCTGTGACTCCTGAGGTGAGAGCCTGGACAGGATTAGCTTTGGTGTGGTGGTATATTTCCTGGGTGAGAGACGGGAGGCCACTGGAGGAGGGGACTGCTATACCGAGCACTGGCCGCCTATTGCAGAAAATCTTTGGCCATCCCTTAATCAATTAAAGCTGATGGTGCTGCAGGGTGGTTTTGTTTTGTTTTGTTTTGCAGCATCACACTTTAAGTTGGGTGGGGAACCTCTGGCCCAGGAGCCAAATACAGCCCTGCAGGCCTCTCTGTCGGACCCTCAAAATTCTCGCCAGGGTTAGCCCATTAGCTCATTAGCCCTGCTTGGCACCAGTTGTTTCTGCATGGCTTGGATGTGCCTGTTCCTTTCGTTTGAAGTTAGAGAGGGGTGTGCGTGTCACTGGACAAAGGCAGTCTTGGTCTGTCACTCCTGTGACCAACCGAGAGGAAAGAGGCAGCCCCCTTGCTCAGGCGAAGGCAAGCGTGCAGGCAGGCAGGCAGGCAGGCAAGCAGATGGGAGAGCACCTTCTTAGGCTCCCTTGGCTGAGGCTGGGCTGCAGAGGGAGGGAGGGAGGGATCAGGCAGGAGCTCCTTCACCTGAGTCAGCAGCGGCCTCCTTCCCTTCCTCCTGGTCGCTTCTCCCTCCCTCCCCAGCCCAGCTGCTTTTTCAGCATTATTTCAGGCATCGTGATATATCACTATATCACCATGGTTAGCTGGTGATATATCACAATGTTGAAAAACAGATATTGCCTAGCCCTAAAGGTGAGGTCTCTTGCACTTGGAACATGGTCCTTCTTTTCTGTTATTAGATACTTTTATTTCTTCTATATCTGCACTCCATTGCTGCTTGGCACTTAGGCAGTTTTACACAGGGTTGTTCATTACTGCATTTGTTGACTGTTGCTTGATTAAGAGGAGATGGCGCTGTGTGCCTGGGCTAGGTCTGGGGGTCCGGAGCAGAGGGATTCCATTTTTGTAGTGACAAGCATGGGGCCGGTATGACAGTGGGGTACAGATAAAGGAGTGAGAGAGTTTTTAATCTATCATTCCTTCTGCACTTGTCATGATTTGGTGGAGCGTGCCAACCAATCCCCTCCTGGTGATGCCACTAACCTCCAGGGTGGTCCAAAACAAGTGATCTGTCATTCATGATCTGATCATGGGTGAGGGGGCTGACTTGGCGTGAGGGGGCTGGGCTGACTCAGCACTGCCCCCCCAGGTACTTGGTGCAACACCAACCCAGCCCAGTGGGACAGGGTGCAAGTCACTGTCATCCATAACATTTCCATTGCTCTCACCAGGAGGCCAGCTTGCTCTGACTGATTTCAAGGGGTTGTTCCTGGTGTTGGGCCCAAGATGATGTTGGTGTATAGCCCACTCAAATGCACCACAGCGCCCTCAGCTCCACAGCTTAGAGGCGATTTCATGCCTAACATTTGTGCTGTGGTGGCCTTGTCATGGGCTAGCTCGCGATTTCATGGTCTCTATGACAACCATGGAGCTATCTCAATATGTCACAGGCCTGACTGATACATAGATGTGGCAGGGCAGGTGTTTGGTCTGCAGAGTTGGCTGGCACAGATCCAGTGTTAGGAGGGCTTGAGGAGGCCAATGTGACGGACAGACCATTCCCCGGTGAGATTTTGGCTGACTGGCAGTGTCCCCCGGCATGGATTGTTATGGATGAATGGAATCTGATGCATTCCTGAATGCTCAGGGAGATTTCCTTGTTGTCATGGCCAGTGCTCCTGTCAAGGCTGTGGTCTTGCTATGGAAGCGCAGGGTGGGCAGGGCCAGGGATACAATGCTTTTCATGTGCCCTTAATGGCTTGTAACAGCAGTTGGGAGATGCTGCCTTTAAGAATAGTCCTCATGATGACCTAAATGTCAGAGAAACCCCAAAATATAAATAGCAGTAGAAACCCTTCTTCCCACCTATGGTGCGGTTTGACATTTTATGTGGATATAATGCTTATATCTGCTTATGCTGTATATTTCAAAATAGTATTGGTTTCTTGTAGTAAAAGTTCAAAACAAAACATAGGTGCTGCTGTCTATATTTACCCTAGTAGAGTTTCTGGTCCGTCCGTCCCCAATTTATTTTCTATTTATATTTTTCCTTAGTTACCGTATATTCTTCCAGTGGGTGATATATCCAGTACTAAGCATACCTGAAGCTACTGAAACCAATGATCTTAATTTATTCAAATCCAGTGCTTTTTACTGGGTCTACCATAATACCCAACTTTTCCTTTAACTTTAAACAGCTGCTGCTCTCTATCTCATGCCTAGTTTTCAAACTAGCAGGGTCTCTCTTTTTAGCTTGATTGGTGCAACTTGTCATGAGCGTGATGAGAAGCTGCATCTGCAAAATTCTCTTTTTACACAACAATTTAAGGCATGGGAACTCTGTCGTCTTCTGCACCTGCGTGCTGCTACCTAGATACCCTAGATCAGGCATAGACAAACATGCCCTCCAGATGTTTTGGGACAGCAACTCTATCATCCCTAACTAACAGGACCAGTGGTCAGGGATGATGGGAATTGTAGTCCCAAAACATCTGGAGGACTGAGTTTGCCTATGCCTGCCCTAGATACTCTCCCAATGAATGGATTTTGTAGAGGAGTTGCTGGACTACGTTCCCATCATCACTGATCAGTGATCAAGCTGGGCTGAGGCTGATGGGCATTGGAGTTCAGAAACATCTGCAAGGCCACACAGTAAGCAGCAACCTCTATTGTACAGGAAGTTGTATCTGGTAATCTGAACCCCTCTGTTCCTTATACATTAAACAGAAAAAAACATACTATTAATTTTTCATTGGCAAACAACAAATGATTCACACACATAAACAGAATTGCACAGACTTGATATTTAGCACATTTCTCAGCTTCATTTAGCTGTATCTTATCCTTTTTACTGCTCCCCCTCCCCACAAGGATGCAATGAGGTTACAGCACTCAAGAAACTTTGTTCTGCAGGTGTTCTAAGTCAATGGGGGAGAAACGCCACTAAAGATGGGGTTTTCCTGTGGAACATTCATGAGAAGGAAGAGGGAGGGCCATGCAATTCTTAGCCAAATGTCATATCAACAACTACAAATTCCTTTTCATTACTGGTGTTGCTAACACATCATTGCTTTGTGTGACAATGCTCAACACTAGCAAATCTCAAGTGCCCTGCTCTCTAGGCCTGGTGCATGGTGTATCATTAAATTTATCTATGTTGCACCATGGCAGGTCTGGCCCAAGACATTTTGACACCCAAGGCAAACCACAAAATGGCGCCCCCTCTCTGTCAGGGCAGAAGGGGGGAGTGAAGATGGACATCAGGAACAAGGACAAAATAAATATATCTATTGGGATCTGCTGCCCCAGTGGATCCTTCCACTGGAGGCAGTTGCCTCACCTTGCCTCATGGGTGGGCATGCATTGCATCACAGTACACTTGAGGACCAGCTAAACCTGAAAGTAAATGTTCTTAGAAATACAGGATTGCTACCAAAAACAGCTCCCTGTTTTATATTTCCATGCTGGGGATACACAACAAGTTTCCCAGCCTCTCTCTCATGTGATTGGATGCTGATTATTGAGCAATGTATCACAACAGCAATCAGGAATTTATCACATCATACATTGAGAAATTCTAGATATGGAAAGGGGGAAGAGATACACAAGTCCACTTAGCCTTCCTGGTGTGGCAGCGTTGCAGATGAGTGACGCCTCCCCAGCCTGGATCCAATGTAGTCTTTGGTTGCTGGGCCTGTCCAGCTGGCAGGTTCCCTGTTGGCTTGTCACTACCCCAACTTCTGCCACTTGAGCTAGAAAAGGCAACCGTTTATACTAGACAGAGCTCTGGGTCTTAATTTGCAAAATTCACTAGTTCTGGCAAACGGGGCTTGCTCACCACTGTAACTTGAACAACAATCTAGTAGTGATTATCAACTTGCTAGGTATTTGCCTGTCACTTTGGGAGACAGAGATGAATTTGATGTTTCAATTTTAGTGGCAGTTTCCAATGCTTTCGATGCCATCGAAACAATTATTAATTGTCTGTATTTTTATCTATTTCTTATTATGTATTTATATATTATCTTTCTCCCCACCCCTGTCTCCTGTTGTTGTTTTGATAACTCTCTACTGTATTTTATGTTTATGGCCAAATAAACTGAACCTGAAATTTATTTTTTGCCCACACACTAGACAATTTGTATGCACAAATTCATTCTACATGTATGTAGTTCTGTTGCTTGAATCTAATTTGTACATTAGTACATAAGATTCTTTGCTTCTTTATTGTGCTGCTTTATTTTGCAAATGGGCCTTGTGCTGTCATTTTATGCTTTAGAGCTGTATGTGTGAAATTTGGTTTTAGGGCAAAATTCCATATCCATGAAAATACAGCTGCCAAGAGTATGTGGCAGTCTCTTATATCAGTTCTTCTAGAATCAGATGGTATTCCATTACTGTAGTGCAAAATGCTGCCCATGGAAAAAAGTGAGAAATCTGATATTGGGGTCTAAAATACAAATATGTGTAATTTTGCGTCATTCTGTATCTGTGCAGGATAAGGCCTGCCATCTAGCTCCCAGCTGAGGTGGCCTGTTCCCTCCTTCATCTGCCACCAGCAGATACTTAACCATTTTGCCCTGCAAAGAGGAGAGATCTGGCATTCAAAAAACCCTTCACTCCCCACCCTTGTAGCTTTTCTTGACTGTTTTTGTTTAACTGATATTTAATTGTCTTTATAGTTTAATGTAAATTACTTTGTGAGGTTATACTGAAAAGTGGTATAAAAGTATATTAAATGTCAACAAGATCCTCATCTAAAATGATTGAGTTTTATGAAGATGAGTGGAATAACAATTTTCATTTAGGAAGTAGCCTGGTATTTTCCTGCTGCATCATCTTTTCTCTCCCCACCCACCTCAGATGCAACAACAAAAGCTTTTGCCTTAATTAGAGCTATCAAGAAGTCATTATTTCAAGCCTGTGCCCATTTAATCAATTCCTTTTCTCCCTTTAACTTTTACCCTTAGCTCTCCGAACACCTTTGGATACACTGGCAAGGTTCATTGGTCAGCCACCCAACCAGCAAATTCTAATCTTCCACCAACATCACCATCAATAATTTCACGAATGTATTGGTAAGTGTGAGGCACATTACTTAATTTGCTCAGATACATTAGAATTCTAATTATGGTTATTTCATTAAAGAACAATTAAATATTAAGCACAACATTTCTTTGGTTTTGAAAAATTTGGAGTCAAAACCCATAAGAAAAGCTTTCAAGATTATTTGACATCTGCTGTAGTTTTCAGATTCCTTTGTATTTCCTTTGAAAACAGAGAGAGGGGGGAAAGAATTCTAAAGCATGGAGGGCAAAACTGGGCTTCTCCAGATGACCTATTTATTGAGCAATCATCCTGACTTGCTAGCTCAGAGTTTTCACAGAGCTCAGCTTGCATGTGGTCCTCACTGAGCATTCATTCTGGTGTGTTTGTGAGCAGTGGGGGTTATACAGCAATGAGCAGTCATCTTTATTTGCTTGCAGGCTGTTTATCTGTCTTCCTAGGAATTATTCCTTCATACCACACTTTTCAATGCATTTTCCTATTACTTCCTAAACACAATAAGTTGCGTGTTTTTAAAATGGATTAGTTGGGCTGAAGCAACAAAGCCCTTTAATTCACTTTAATTGCCAAAAACTAAAATTCTGGTATGTACATGAAGTCCTCCCACAATATACTGCCAGTCTGCCTGAAGGAGCATCTCCACCCCCGTCATTTTGCCCGGACACTGAGGTCCAGCGCTGAGGGCCTTCTGGCGGATCCTTCACTGCGAGAAGTGAGGTTACAGGGAACCAGGCAGAGGGTAGTGGCCTATGGAATGCCCTCTCATCAGATGTAACAAGGAAATAAATAACTATCTGACTTTTAGAAGACATCTGAAGGCAGCCCTGTTTAGGGAGGTTTTTAATGTTTCATGTTTTATCGTGTTTAATATTCTGTTTGGAGCTGCCCAGAGTGAGTGGGGAAACCCAGCCAGATGGGTGGGGTAATAATAATAATAATAATAATAATAATAATAATAATAATAATTTATACTCTGGAAGCACCCTATGTGTCATATAGTTTAATGCCATTTGTGTGTGTTTTAAAGTGTAAATTTCTCGATGGCTGCTATCAGGCTTGTGAACATGGCACTTGGAATGGGGGTTAACTCTTCCCTCCATATCATGATCCTGAAACTTTTAGGCATCAAAAGTTTATCCCAGAGTGGTGGCAGAGGGACTCAGGAGCGGCAGGGACGGCGTCACCTGCGCTATTCCACTGGGTGAAGCAGCCACCCCCCTTGGCCCTCATACCAGTCCTGGGCAATGTATCGGTGCAACACCCAAGCCTAGTGTGCACCCGCCTGGCTTGGGTCAGTTGTGTATGTCTTTTTCACCTGACTGCCTTCCCTTCAAGCTAGGCAACAACTGGGGCAGAAAGAGCCACGCCATTGACCCCAAACACGGGGTGCCTCTGTTTATTTGCACGCATGACACAGCAGTGCAAGATCACACCAGGAGGAAGCAGCTCTTATGCCTCTGCAGGAGTGTGAGAGAGAAGGGGTCGGAGGGAATTACTGTTATTGCTCATTAAATTTCTATACGGTCCTTTGTCCAAAGATCACAGGGAGGTTTACCGTAGACAGTGGTACCTCTGGTTACGAACGCTTTGGGTTACAAACTCCGCTAACCCAGAAGTAGCTGCTCCTGGTTGCGAACTTTGCCCCAGGATATGAAAGGAAATCGTGCACCGGAGGCGCTGGCGCAGCGGGAGGCCCCATTAGCGAAAGCGCACCTCAGGATAAGAACGGTTTCAGCTTAAGAACGGAGTTCCGGAATGAATTAAGTTCGTAACCAGAGGTACCATTGTAACTATATAACATAATAACAAAGAAAAACAACAACCCCTTACAGTCTACAATTGTTTGGAATACCAGCAAGTTCTACCCACACTCTCTTGGTGTCAGTAGTGATTGTGACCTTGAAATTCACATTCAGGTGAGAAAGATGCTTGTCTCCTCTTGTGATTGCAGTTACCTGGCTAAGCATGGGCAACCATCTGAATTTCCGCATCTGGGGCCTTTGTCACAGACCCTTGTACCCACTGAACCTCAAAATCCTTTCAATAAGAAGGAGAAAAAAAGAATTGAACTTTGAAAGAATATCTGTCTCTGACGGCACAACTCCAAGCTTTAAGAGATAATGGGAAACAAGTAAGGCTGTGGAATGAATGCCATCTTCAAGAATGGTCAAGAAACAAAACTTCATGAGGGCATGCCTTTATGATGTGGGACACCTTCTGTATATTCCAAACGACCATTTCAAGCATACACCGATTAATGCATTTCTTTTTTAATGTGCTTTCTCTCTTCGTATTCATTAACATTTCCTCATGCCCGGCTGCAGAGGCCACGCATGTCTGAGGTGCTTCATGCTGTTCAGCCCACACCACTTGTGAGGCCACTGGGGGATCAACAGGCCTGCCCGATCTGCCACCCATCTGCTGCCAGGTGGGACTCCTGTGTGTGCCCTCAAATAATGTTAAACTGATCTTATACTGCAATCATTACTTTGGGTCCTGTGGAATGTTTTGACTGACTTAAATAAAGAGATATTCTTATGAATGTAGCCTAATGTGGAGCATTTTTGCCTTTACCATGTCTGCTCAGCTAATTGTGCCTGAATTTAGCCTGCCAGCCCTGCAAGAGCCTGTTTCTTCAGCCTCCTTGGAGGAGGCTGGCCACAGTGCATGCAGGTGGAAAGCATTGGACCCGACAGGTCAGAACTTGTGCAGCAGTCTCTCTAGTCCATACAAAACGGCATGCTTTGTTCCAGGAGCCACGTTTTTTGAAATGCTTCTCAGAAGGTCCCTAATCCTAGTTTTACAACCCCCTATTACTGTCGTCTTTTCTATACGTATGTTGAATTTATGAATGTTTACCCATTCTCCACCTTGTTCCTTGTTATTACAATCTTCCCCCCTCCAACACTTCAAAAGAATTAAGCTGAATTTGCACAGTCACCACAGAATCTCACCCCACTCCAGCATTTTAAGTCACTGTTGTTCTACATATGTGCTTTCATTTTCTTTCTCTCATTATTATCTCTGGTCCAGCAGGTTTTGTGTGTTATAGATTACTGACGTGCAGCCCTGTGCCTGTATTTCAGTGGTGGTGACAAACCAGGAGCAAGACCTTGGGGTTATAGCAGGTAACTGGATGAAGATGTTGACCAAGTGTGTGGCAGCTGTGAAAAAGGCAAATTCCTTTCTAGAGATCAGTAGGAAAGGAGTTGAAAATAAAACTGCCAATATCATAACGCTGTTATACAAATCTATGTTGCGGCTACATTTGGAGCACTGTGTACAGTTCTGGTCACCTCACCTCAAAAAGGGTATGGAAGATTTGGAAAAGGTTCAGAAGAAGGCAACCGAAATGATCAGGGGAATGGAGAAAGTCCCCTGTAAAGAAAGGTTGCTGTCTTTAGGCCTTTTTATATATATATATAATTTTTATTAATTTTCCAATAAAAACAAATTTATAACACAAACATTTAGAATTCATCACACGTCTTTTTTCTTTAGACTTCCATCAACATGTCTGATAATTTTCCGTAGTTATTACATATCTTCACATTTCTTCATTTATATTGCACTATGTATATCTTATCTTACCATGTTATTTAAACAATATTTCTACCAAACCTTCTTACAGAGCTTCTTGGAAACTTACAAACATTATATCATTATCACAAATATTTTTAATATATTCTGTAAATTTATTCCAGTCCTCAGTGAATCTTTGGTCCCGTCGGTTGCGAATCCTCCCTGTTAATCTGTCCAGTTCTGCAAAATCCATTAATTTCATTCTCCATTCTTCAATCGTGGGCATTTCTTCTTGTTTCCAATTCTGGGCCACAAGAGTTCTAGCTGCTGTTACTGCATACAAAAATATTTTCTGATCCTTCCTTTTTATCTCACCACCTAAAATTCCTAATAGGAATGCTTCTGGTTTTTTAACAAATGTATATTTCAATATTTTCTTTATCTCATTATATATCATTTCCCAGAAGCACTTCATTTTTTTACATTCCCACCACATATGATAAAATGTCCCTTCTTTCTCCTTACATTTCCAACATTTATTACTCACCTTATACATCTTACTTAATTTGACTGGTGTTATATACCATCGATATATCATTTTCATAACATTTTCTTTAATTGTGGTGCATGCTGTAAATCTCATCCCTTCCTTCCATAATTTTATCCAATCATCAAATTGAATGTTATGTCCAAAATCTTTGGCCCATCGAATCATAACAGATTTAACCTCTTCATCCTTCAAATGCCATTCTAATAGTAATTTATACATCATAGATAAATTTTTAACTTCATTATTCAATACTTCTCGTTGAAACCTAGATTCTTTTTCAAAATAGCCTCTTTCTGCAATCTCTTTTCTAAACATTTCATTAATCTGAAAGTAATGCAGCCAATCGTTTACATGTTCTTTCACTTCTTCATATGGTTTCATTTTCCATTTACTTCCTTCTTTCTCGATTAAACTCCCATATGTTATCCACCTCCTAGTCATATTGATCTTTTTAACACTCATCACCTCTAATGGTGATAGCCATTGTGGGATTTTTGGTTCCAGTAGGTTTTTATACGTACCCCCATACCTCAATCAGAGATCCTCTAATAATATGATTTTCAAAACCTTTATGCACTCCTTTCTTTTCGTACCATAAATACGCGTGCCAACCGATTCTATTATCATATCCTTCCAAATCGAACAAATCTGTATTTTCTAATTTCATCCATTCTTTCAACCAACATATACATGATGCTTCATAGTATAACCTCAAATCTGGCAGGGCAAAGCCTCCCCTCTCTTTTAAATCTGTTAACAACTTAAATTTTATTCTCTGCTTTTTGCCCTGCCAGATATATCTTGAAATTGCTTTTTGCCATTCTTTAAATATTGCTACTCCTTTAATTATTTGGAATTGCTTGGAACAGAAACAACATTTTCGGTAACACACTCATTTTTATCGTTGCAATTCTTCCCCAAAATGATAATTTCATTCTACCCCACACCTCTAAATCTCGTTTAACTTTATTCCATACTGGTATATAGTTATTTTGAAACAAATCAATATTCCTGGAAGTCAATACAATCCCTAAATATTTCACTTTCTTTACCACCTCAATCTCTGTCTGTTGCTGTATTCTTTCACTAATTTCTTGGTCTATGTTTCTCACCATTATTTTGGTTTTTTTCTTATTCAATTTAAACCCAGCCACCTGTCCAAATTCTTCCATTTCTTTTAGTACTTCTTTAGTACTCTCTATAGGATCTTCTATCATTATAACCAAGTCATCAGCATACGCCTTTACTTTATATTGATTACGACCAACTGATACCCCTTTTATCTGATCATTGTTTCTTATTGAACTTAATAAGACTTCCAGGACCGATATGAATAGCAATGGTGATAGAGGACACCCTTGTCTTGTACCCTTGGTTATTGCAACATTTTCCATTATTATATTATTGACAATTAATTTTGCTCTTTGTTCTGAATATATTGCTTTTATACCATTTAGAAAAGATTGGCCCATATCCATCGCTTCTAAGTTTTTTAACATAAATTCCCGTCTTTAGGCCTTTTTTGTCTAGGGAAAAGGTGAGTAAGAGGGGACGTGATAGAGGTATATACAATGATGCATGGCATGGAGAAAATGGACAAAAACAGTTTTTCTCCCTCTCTCGTAACACTAGGACTCCCTGGCGTCCAGTGACGCTGAATGTTGGAAGCTTCAGGACAGGTCAAAGAAAAGATTTCTTTGTGCAGCACATAGTCCCCTTGCAGACTCCCCAGTAGGCAGGGATAGCCACCAACTTAGATGGCTTTTAAAGATGATCAGGCAAATTCACAGAGGAGGAGGAGACGGCTCTCAATGGCTCCTGGCCATAATGGTTATGCTCTACGTCTGCAGCTGGAGGCAGCAATACTTCTGGACACCCGTTGCTGGAAACTGCAGGAGGGGAGAGTGGGGCTCATGTGCTCATGTTCTGCTCCCTGGTGTCCCACAAGCATCTGGTTAGCCTCTATGGGAACAGAATGCTAGACTAGATGGACCATTGGTCGGATCCAGCAGGCTCTTCTTCTGTTCAAAGAGATGGGGAAGAGGACAGGAATGAAAAAGCCTGCTGCGTGCCCCTGATCTCCTAAACAGAGTTCAGAGATTGATAATGGTACATCTATGCCAGAGACCTTAGTTAACATTAACATTACTTAAGTGAACAGGAAATGAGTTGACTTCCTGTGTGAAGTTAAAACACTGAACAAACCAGCACTCCACAGAAGGAGAAGTTACGCTTCTTCAAGCCATCATCTGAAGCTGATTATTTTGTTCACACAAAGGAAAAAGCTATACAACTTGTTGCTTGCAACAACAGCTTTATGAACTAACATGAATACCGTATTTTTCGCCCTATAGGACGCACTTTTCCCTCTCCAAAAATGAAGGGGAAATGTGGGTGCGTCCTATGGGGCGAATACAGGCTTTCGCTGAAGCCTGGAGAGCGAGAGGCTCTCGCTCTCCAGGCTTCAGGAAGCTCTGCGCAACCCTCCTGCGCCGGCCTCCGGAGGGTCGTGCAGAGCTGCCTGCCCTCCCGGGGTCCGCGCAGCTCTGCGCATCGCTCCGGAGCCCGGCGCCAAGCCGCGCCCGCCTCCGGAGGATCGCACAGAGCTGCCTGCCCTCCCGGGGTCCGCGCAGCTCTGCATTCCGAAGCCTCGGGTGCGCTGAAGAGTGCGCTTGGGCTTCGCACAGCTGTCCGCAAGCCTGGGGAGACCGGCACGGCTCCCTAGGCTTGCGGATAGCAGGCTGTTCTGGGGTCGGGGGCAGCTTGGGCTTCCCCCCCGTGCCAGCCCCGTGCCTGGGGGGGAAATAATTTTTTTTCTTTATTTCCCTCCAAAAAAGACTAGGTGCGTCCTATAGGGCAGTGTGTCCTATGGGGCGAAAAATTCGGTACTTTGAAAGTGAATGAGCCTGGAATGATTCAGTATCAATTTGTGTGTGATACTTACACAATACTTAGCTTCAATACTTAAATGCACAGCACAAAATAATAGCTTGAAGGTGGGGTGAGAGCAAAGGTGTGCAGAGCAACCAATGTGGATTTTATCTTTGTACAGTTTCTACCTATGTTGTCCCAACTCCTCTCTCTCCCCATCCAGGCAAGCAGGAATCCAAGTCGAAGGAGGACTCATTCCAGCCGGGCAAGCACAATCGAGGGCGGGGCAAAGCAGGTGGCTGGAAGCAGTGGAAAATGTGTCCCCCTCACCATAAGCTGCCATCAGAACAGCAGCCCTGGTCCTTTTGTTGCAACAGACATTTTGAGGATTACTAGGGTGGGAGGAGGGATGTCGTATCTATAACTAAAGAACAGCAGCAGAGGTAGTGTGACTGGAAGCCAGGAAGCTTGAGCACCCAGGAATGCCGTACATCCCTCACTACAGTGGTACCCCGCAAGACGAACGCCTCGCAAGACGGAAAACCCGCTAGACGAAAGGGTTTTCCGTTTTGGAGGCGCTTCGCAAAACGAATTTCCCTATGG